TTAGTTGAAGGACAATCTTATTCACTCAACAAAAACATTAAACATATCTTGTGGTACCTAACTTGCTAATGCACATGACCTCATCAACGCGTTCATGAAAACTCCATCCCGACTTTCATGATTTGTCTTATACCACGTTATTTCACATTAAACTAAGTAACTATGAATGATACATCTAGTCAATTACCCTATTGAAATCATCTATAAAATTGGTATTCATAAATTGTGTTCTTTTAAACTCACCCATTTTTTCAAGCATGCCATATATAAAAGAAAGTTAGGATTCAACGATTAACCAAACTAAAACTTTCAAAAAACTGGTAACTTACAGTTTGCATAACAATATCGTTGCTTTAATTGTTCTAAAAATTAATACCAATTTAATTTTTTTTTTTTTGCATTAATAGGAGGCCGCAGCCAAGAAGAAGAACAACGAAAGGGGGAAGGAGGAGGAAGAATAGAGCCTATCTATCAGAAGTTACAATAACTCGACGCTCAAAAGAGATACCCTGATTATCCTCCTGCAGGACGTGACATAAACCACTGGGAGGGTCAACAAGCTCTCGCATACCGTAGGGATAGACGAGACTGTGCTTCGAGAGCCAGTCCGCGGCTCTATTCCCTTCCCGGTACGTGTGAACAATGTTGACCAGCCAGTTCTGGGCCATTCGTCTACGAATCGAGGCTAGTAGACACGCATAGGGATGAATAGGATCCTGCCTGTCCTTTATTAGCTGAATTGCTAAACGAGAATCAGATTCCACAATCAAATTAACACACCTGTGCCTCCAAGCAACATCCAACCCGTGCAGAATCGCCCACAGCTCAGCGAGAGTCGCCGAGGCCTCCCCGATCTTGGCCACAAAGCCTGTCACCCACCGCCCCTGATCATCTCGAATCAGCCCACCCGCACCTGCGATGCCCGGGTTGCCGGCCGAGGCACCATCCACATTCAGTTTCATCCACTCCCTTGGGGGAGCGAGCCATCTAATCCTCTCCACCCTAGTGTCGTTCACTAACTGAGGCTTCCCTGGAGAGACTGCGGGGGCATCCCAAGCTTTGTGCCAAAGATTGGCCTTGTGCCTGATCGAGTGACTCAGGGAAGGCGCTGACAAAGTGGCAGCAGTCCCTTTGAAGCACCCCGTGCATCTATTCTTCCACAGCAGCCAGATCGCAATACTGAAGAAGGCGTTCCAGCTAAGACCAGTTTCCATGAAGTCTTCCTTAAGGAGGTTCGTGTGCAGCCAGTCACCTATAGAAGCGGAGAAGAACCGATGTTGCTCTGCAACGGGTACACACCTGCTCCAAAAGAAACTCGCCGGCGGGCAATCCCGGAGAACGTGACCAATGGTCTCGACAGTGCCATTACAGCGGTAGCAGTCAGGAGATGGAGCACACTTCCTTGAATATCTCAGTTGATTGGTCGCAATTTTTCCCAAAGAGACCAACCAGGCGAAACACCGAACCCGCTCCGGAACTGGGAGGCGCCAAATCTGCTTCCACTGCCGCTGTCGGTGATCTTGCCGAGGAGGATTGGCCAGTTGGTACGCTGACTTAGTCGAGAAGACACCATTGGAGGAGCCCGTCCAAAAAATCGTATCCTTCTCAGTGGCGAGGGGGTCAACGGCGATCGCTGTTATTTTGTGAAGAATATCTGCTGGCAGCCAGGGGGCCAGCCGCTCGACATCCCAACTTCCATCATCCCCGAGGTAATCTGCAACTGACTCCATCAGCATCTCACTTGGAACAGGCTGAAGCGCAACCTCCATTAACGGGACCTGCATCAACCAAAGATCACGCCAAAATTTAGTGTCCTTCCCGTTATGTATATTCCAACCACAGCCTTGCTGCAGTAAGAAAGAAGCTTTGGTAAAGCTTCTCCAAGCAAAGGAACTTCCCTGACACTGGCGAAACATATCCAATCCTTCCCGTTGTCTCCCGTACTTAGCTCGAAGCATCCGCGTCCAGAGCGTGTCTTTCTCCTTAAGCAGTCGCCAACCCCCTTTGGCCAAGAGGGCAAGATTAGCTTGTCTCAGAGGACGCAGCCCTGCTCCACCTTGATCCTTCGGCTCTGCTAGCTTGTCCCATGCCACCAAGTGCATCCTCCCTTGCTGCTCGTCCTTACCCCAGATGAAATCCCTGTTGATCTTATCAATAGATTTGCAAACATTCATGGGGATTAGTTCAGTCTGCATAGGATAGGTAGGAATGGCGAGGGACACAGAACGAGCTACAGTTAGTCTCGCCGCTAGAGACAAACGCCTGGCTTTCCAAGGGGCGAGCTTCTTTTGGATTTGAAGGATCAGAGGTTGATATCTGCTCTTCGTGATCCTCCCATGGATGGCTTGCAGACCCAAATAGCGACCGAGGTTGTGGGTCAAAGGGATTCCAGCTCTGTCACTAAGCCGTTGTGCTCGATTATGCTCCACATTGGGTGAGACATAAAGCAGGGACTTGCTGAAATTCACTCGCTGACCGGAGCTGGCGCAGAACTCGTCGAGACACTGCTTGATGGTTCTAACTTGAGAGCTTTCAGCTTCAGCAAAAAGGATCAAGTCATCTGCAAAAAAGAGATGAGTTAGCGCCGGGCCGTCAGTCGACAGCCTGATAGGCTTCCACAGCTTATCCTGGACAGCCCGATCTATTCTATGAGAGAGCCTTTCCATACATAATACGAAAAGGTAGGGTGAAAGAGGATCTCCCTGTCTGACTCCCCTAGAAGGGGAAATGGGCTGCAACAGCTCTCCGTTCCACAAGACACGCATAACATTCTTTTCGACGCAGTACATGATACATCTAATCCAGGAGGTAGGAAGACCAACTTCGATAAGAGTGTCCCGAAGGAAATCCCATCTGAGCCTGTCGTACGCCTTCTCAAGGTCGATTTTCATCACCAAACCCCCTTTCTTGCCACGCTTCTTTCTCATAGAGTGAAGGAATTCCTGGACAATAATGATGTTATCGGTTGTCTGGCGGCCAGGAATAAAACTACTCTGCCTCGGGGAGACCAGAGTGCCCATGACTTCTTTCAGTCTGCTAGTCATAACCTTAGTGATAGCCTTGAGACTGACATTATTCAGAGAGATTGGCCTGAGTTGCCCAACTGTCTCCGGATTCTCTACCTTGGGAATAAGAACCACCGTAGAGGCAAACACCTCCTCAGGAAGGTCCCCTTCCTCAAAGAAAGACATAGCCATGTCCGTCAGAGATTTCCCCACAGTCTTCCAAGCATGCTGGTAAAAGATGGCTTGAAAGCCATCCGGGCCCGGGGCCTGAAAGGGTTTCATCTCGAAAACAGCCCTATGAACATCTTGAATGTTGAAGGGGCGGAGGAGCTGGCTTAACTCCGTATGACTGAGGTGGGGAAAGGCTCCTCTCGGCATCAGGTCGCTATAAACTGGGCCATCCTGTCTATATAACTCTGAATAGTAGTGAAAGACCATGGCAGCCAGCTGCAGCCTATCAGTCACCCAATCACCATTCTCATCCTTCAAACTAGCAATCCTGTTGGCCCTTCTCCTGATTTTGGCAAGCTGGTGAAAGTAGGAAGTGTTCCTCTCCCCGAACTTGACCCAGTTCTCACGAGACCTCTGAAACCACAGTAGCTCTTCCTGCTCTAAGATTTTGTCTAGCTCCGTCGACAGTTTAGAGTGGAGTTTAGCTAACCCCGGAGAAAAGCCCTCAGCCAGCCGCCTCTCTACCCCTCCAATGCGAGCTAGCATCCTCTTCTTTCTTTGGATGATATTGCCAAACACTGTAACATTCCAATTTTGCAACTTGATCGATAAATCCTGCAAAGCATGAGGTAAAGCGGCCTGTGAGTTCCATGAGTCTGCTAAGAAATTGTAGAAATTATCATGGGTAATCCAAGCAGCTTCAAACTTAAAAGGTCTAGAAGAAGGGTTCGGGACTCCCTGGCTGGCAACAGAAGTAAGAATTGGGTGGTGGTCAGAACCCACACGCGCCAAATGGAGGACTGAGGTGTCAGGGAAAGTCTCGTTCCAGCTCAGATTACATAGGCTGCGATCCAGTCTACTAGCTTTGTAAGTGGAGGCTTGGGATCCCCTCGTCCACGTGAAGCGTGGTCCAGAAAAACCCAAATCCACCAGCTCCGCCTGATTGATCCATTGACTGAAACGCCTACATCTGCGGAGAGTGGCTGCCGTGCAAGGCCCACTCCTTTCCTCCGGGGAAGCAATCGCATTGAAGTCGCCCGTCAAAATCCAGGGACGAGTAATACTCTTGCTTTCTTCAACAAGGTTGTGCCAAAGCAGGCTTTGAGGCTGCTGACGAGGGGAAGCATAAATGGCTGTTAAGAACCAGCTCGGCAGATTGTTGCGGCAAATCGCGAGAGTTAAATGTTGACCCCCTGCAGAGTGAACTTGGACATCGAAATGCTGGGCATTCCAAAAAACCCAAATGCCCCCACTACGCCCTGCAGCTTCCACTCGTGCAACGTCAGGGAAGCCAAGCTTCTCGCACACAGCATCGGCGACGGCTCCGCTAACCTGAGGCTCCAACAAAATCACAAAATTAGGCCGATGGAGCTGGATTGCAAGTCTGAGAGACCGGCAAAACGACCTGCTTCCAGCACCACCCACATTCCAAGAAAGAATTTTAAAATTGGTTTGCAGAGAACTAGACATAGGAAAAAAAGGGAAAACGAAAGAGCAGAGAGGGACAAGGAAAGGCAAAGCCTCGGCAAGCACTAGATTGCTGCAGTAGGTGACTCGGCCACCATAACCACTCCGTCCCCTTGCAGAGGTGTAGGGATATGAGCCACCGTTGCATTCTCCAACTCTCCGTTCGATTTTGCCGCATTAGTCCATTCCTGGATTTGTTGAAGTGTCAGCGAAACACGTCTCTCTCTGTTCTTCACTTTTCGATCCTTGAGGGGGGACCAGATTTGAAGCGCCTTAGCCGGGTTGTGCCGAATCGGGGTGCCCCGCTGCGGCTTCTTGCTGTCCTCGCCAGCGTCTTTCCTTTTTCCTTTCTTTTGCTTAGTCCTTTTGTTTGCCGATGGGGTAGCTGGGTCAACATCCCGCGGTGGAGGAGGAGAATACGGCTTTGGTTCAATAATTTGTATTCGAGTTGCAGACTCTCCTGACTTAGCCTGGGCCGAGGCAGCAGTTGGAGCTTTCTGGCCTGGGCCTATCTTCTTGGTGTGGGCCGACCCACCTGCAGCAGCCCCAACTTGAGTCTTGACTTCTATGGAAGCTTTGGGCTTCTCTGATTGCGGACTTCCCATGGAAGAAGAGGCCTCATGATCATTTGTAGCTTTAGTGGGCCTGGAGGAGATAGTCAAAAGACTGGGTCGCGGGCCGAGAAGCCCTTTCTCTGCTGTGTTTGTCGTAGGTCCCATCGCCCCCTTCCCTTTTTTGTTCTCTGATTTTTTCCCAGGAGAGTTTCCCGCCACTTTCCCCGATTTCGCATTCTGTATTTTGGGCAGGTTTTCACTCGTCGCCCTTTCCTCTTCCTCCCCTTTCCCTGAGTGCCATGTATGGTGACCGTTGGGGGACTGGGGTTTTTGATCCGACTTTCCTTGCCCCACTACCTCCCTTTGATTCCGCCGAGATTTCCGCGTTACTAGCATCCATGGCCCGAATCCGGCACCGTCCTCAGGACTTTCCTCTCCGGCAGCGACCTCCGACGCCGGAGCCGGCAACCTGTCCTGCACCCCCGCTATTGGCCGATCCTTATAGATGGTGGGGCATATGATCTTAGTATGCCCAACTTTCCCACATTCAAAGCACACAACAGGGATGTTTTCGAATTCCACCTTTTGCCATTTGCCGTCAAGTCTTATTCTTGGCACCAGGGGCTTCGAAAGATCTACCTCCACAGCCATTCTGGCAAACTTGGCACGCTGTTGGTGTTGAGTGTGAAAGTCGAGTTTAATCGCCCTCCCAATCATATTACCAAGCGCGAACAGGAGCTCCTGGTGATAGAAATGAACTGGAAGTCCCGGAAATTGGACCCATATCACCATGGTATTGGGAAGCTTGTCCGTAACTCTGAAAAAGGGTGTCCATTGTTGAACCACCAAATAATGATCGAAAATAACCCACGGACCATCCGACAGCGCACTGAGATAGTCCTTGTCATTCCCGAGCTTGATCAAGAAGCAGACGTCGTCCAGAGCGAACACTTCCATCGCGCTAGTTGGACGCCAGAGAGCCTTGAGCTTATTGCACAGGGTAGAGTACCCAATCGAGCGTCCTAGCAATCTAACCACGAGGGTGCGTTGCCAGGGTGCACTGAGCTTGTTTCTCAGGGAATCAGAGACTTTGAGCTCGGGTTCGCCGTTGAAGGTCCCTGGAACCAAGTCATGCTCACCCACAGGGATCCATCGCTGTTTCAGGGGTGGTTGGGAACTAGGGTTCCCTGTCACCACGTTAGCATACGAGGTCAGGGGTAACGTGGCTGTGTTCCCGATTGACTGACTCAGATCCGAAATCGCGTTGCCTATCGAAGTTGAATCGTTGACGGCCGCTACCGTGGCAGCCGACATCGCTGTTGACGATGGTGCCGCAGTGAATCCCACGCCATCCACCTGCATTCGCGAGTCAGCCATGACCTCCGGATGATTCTCAAGGATATCTGTTGTACTTGCTGGCTGGGCAGGGTCCGGCGGCCGTCCCGGAGGGGCAGCGGTAGTCGCCGGAGCGCTCAGCTCAAGGGAAGTCGAAGAGAGCTTTTTTTCCATCCCGCTATTCTCTGAAACTTCCAATAATAATTATACATCACATCTACACATTTAATATTGCAATTCAATATGCAATATTCGAATTAATGATATTTGGGTTGCAATTTTAAAATTATTCTCCATTTGTAAGAGGACTTAAATTAAACTTAGTATCAAACTCAAATTAAAATAATATAAATATAAAAATTAAAATATCAAATAACAAAGAAAATACTTTCGCGAGAGTTAGTGGGCTAGCTAACAATAGTGGAAAAGTCATATAATTTTTAGATTTTAGATTTTTATATTTTGTATTTAAAAAGATACAAAACGTTTCTTTAGTGTAACTGGTAATGGTTGTTGTCTTCGTTTGGGCAGACCATGGTTTGAATCCTGGAATTGATGTTTTTTTCTTATGAATGAAAAATAAATAATGATTGTGAAGACACAATTACCCTTCTTACTTTCACTCTCGTTGCAGAAAATTCGAAATGCTGAAACAACTCCACTTTAATATATTTGTAGATGTAGAAGTTATGTAGAACTTCATAACTTAGGTAACCCAATTCGTGGGTTTGGGCCCAACGCTCCCGCTTTGGAGCGTCAAAACGCGGATCCAAGGGAGAGCGTAGGTAATTCGCGAACTTGTTTTTCTGGGAGCGCGAATTTTGTGGGAAAGAGCGCGATTTGGCAAACAAGGAGTCATCTTCTTAGCGTGGATACTGAAAAGAGAAGGAGAGAAGTCAAAAGTGGGGTAGAAGTCGACGGCGAGGGACATGCAAGGTATTCCCGGTGATGGAGGCAGAGATTGAGATGTATCTCAACGACGGAACAAGAAGTTGGATCTGTGATAGTGGCGATATCTTGGACTTCTATCGAAATAAAAGTCGACAGCAAGTGTGAATTCTGTCCGCGATGGTGGAGGTTTGGGGTGATGGTTGGGCGATGGGGATTGCCTTGGCCATTTCAAATTGCCAGAGCTTACGGCGATGGGGATTTTTCTGTTGGAGAGAGAGAAAGAGGAGGGATAGAATTATGGTGGATACTGGATAGAGAAACTGAATCTGTTTCATCTTAAACAACCATTAATTTGTTGGGCTAAATTAATTTTCCGGAAATGTTCTAGGCTTGGAGGAAAAAGGTCCAATAATTTCATAGCCCGCAGGTCCATTCAATATAGTTCCAAGTTTTAAGTTTTTGTAGAAGATGGACGATATTCATCAATATATATTATATATAATAAATTTACAAAATAACTAGATTATTTATTTAATTTAAATACTATAATTTGACGCTCTTGTCGCGCTCTCAATATTGAATTCTTGAAAAACAAGCGCTCTCACGCTCTCGCTCCCGCTCCCGCTCCCGCTCTGCGAACTGGTTACCTAATTCATAACTCAATCCTAGCATTTATTTGAAAAGGATAGATTTGCCCTTTCTATTTTCCCTCTCGTTGCAGAAAATTCGAAATGCTGAAAAACGACTCCCAACTCCACTTTAATATATTTGTCGATGCAAAACTTACGTAGAACTTCATAACTCAATCTTAACATTTATTTGAAAAGGATAGATTTGATGGTCCTAGGATTCAAGACAAATCAGGATAAACTTGAGCCTAAGGTTCAAATATAACCCAACCCAATCAGAGGGTGAGAGTACACAAATGAACATTTGTCATTTTTTGCTGTAAAAGACAGCTTTCAACACTACAGTTACAGGGGGGTTTTGGACGAGCAAAAACGTTGATGAAAAAGAGTAGAAACACTAGCTCATTTCGTTCTTTCTTTACTTTTTTTTAGTTAATACTGGTAATTGGATTTACTAAATTGTTTATGTTTAGTTACTAAAAAAATTCATATCAATAATGGTTACTAAGTTTAGTAAAACATGTTATGTTTGATCACTCTTCATTCATCTCCGTCCAACTCTGTTAATAGAGTCCGTTAAGTGCTGACATGACAAACAAAATCGCCTAATCAGCCGGATTTAACACAACAAAAATAAAACCCGACCCGCAACGTCATTAAAAATACCCTCACCCATGACCCAACCATTTAGTGGCGGAGGGAGAGAATAACAGGGTGGGTCCTGGGACCAACCCTGACTCGGAAGGAAAATTGTTCAATTAGGTACAATAGTTAATATATATCGAAAATTAGGGCGTATTTAATTGAGAATAGTTGATCGAAAGATTTTGTGTTCGAATCTTGGCCACCTCATTTGTTAAGTACACGGTATACAGATTTGTGCAAACTTCATTTTTCTATAAGTTGACTTTCTTATATGAGGGAGCGTGCTAGTAAATAGTATAAGATATATTATTGAACCTCTTCCAACAACTCAATTTATTGATTCGAAAAGATTCTTGACAAATAACATCATTTGTAAGCGAATGACTAACTAAATCATGAATTATTGTTTGGTGTAAGATTTATTATTAAATATCTCTTGACAACTCGAGTTATAGATACTAATGGTTTTTGACAAAGAACATCATACGAAACAGAACGACTAACTAAATCATTAATAATTGTTTGGTATATAGAGTAATATTCTTGATACTTTCGACTGCTAATCTATTTTAATTAACCAAAATTTTCCAATATAATATTATGTCATGAATGATTCGCAAAGTTAACAAAAATTATTTTACCAGGTGTATTTTTCTTCTAAGTGGACCCACCTTAGATGAAATCTTGGCTACGCCACTACAACCATTTCTCTTCTTCTCTATTCACTATTTGACCCCACTAACCCGAATCTTCTTCCTCCTTCCTCTCTGAAAATTTTCATCTTCCCCATCTTTCCTCTCCAAATCCGGCCACCTCCTGCTCCACCGCCATCGCTGCCCACTTCCTCCTGCACTAGAACTATCTTGAAGTTCGTTAGTAAGATCCCGACAAGGATCGAAAGTCTCCAATAGTGAGCGCTATCCCACCACACCTCTTCCAATCAAATTCGAACCATTCTCTAGTTAATGGGTTCCCTACACGGATAGCTTTTGAGAGGAGCAACAGGTGCAATAAATCAAGCCATAGCAGGAAGAGACCTTCTTGAAATCGGCCGCATGGAATCAATAATGTTTTGGAGAAGCATTGGTTGCACTTCTTCTTCTTCTTTCCTCTCAGCCGAAATGTAATTCACGTCAAGGACATTCGACCCCGTCCATTCAAGGTTCTTTTGGAACAGGAGCTCGAACAGTGACGGCGGCCGCTGCCTCGAATGTCGCATCCCGAATGAGCGGTCGAGGATGATGTCCTGCCAACTTGTGGAAACGCATTTCATCTAGCGAAGATGAGATTGTCGGGATAAGTGCTCGAGTTTCTCCGTTCTTTCGCCCATAGCCGTAGGAAAAAAAATGACATGATCGAACGAAGATGAGATTGAGGTGGTCGGATTTGGCGGTGGAGCAGGAGGTGGCCGGATCTGGAGAGAAGAAAGATGGGGAAGATGAAAATTTTCGGAGAGAGGAAGGAGGAAGAAGGTTCGAGTCGGTTGGGTCAAATAGAGAAAAAGGAAAAGGGTTGGGTCACTGGTTAAGTTTTTTTCTTTTTAATGAAGTGGCGGGTCTGGTTTTATTTTTGTTGGGTTAAATCTAGCTAATTAGGCGATTCCGTTTGCTACATCAGCGCTTAATGGACTCTATAAACAAAGTTGGATGGAGACTAACGGAGAATGACCAAACATGACACGTTTTACTAAAGTTAATGACCATTATTGATATTAATTTTTTCTAGTGACTAAACATGACCCATTTTAGTAAACTTAGTGACCAAACATGACATTAACTTTTTTTCGAGAGTGACCTCAGCCTTTTCTTCTACGAGAGACAAGAGTGTAAGATTTGCCTCCTTCAAACTACAAGAGCTACGGAGTATCCTATACAGAAGCAAAGGAAGGATGTTCTTTGAATATGATGTTGGTGATTTGTACACTTTGTTTCTCTATTATGGCGATAATATCTATATATTACTTCTATTATTAATCCCTTCTACCAAGCTCATTCTAATTTCTACGATTATCTACTTATATATCAGCTTGTTTCCATTTAAGTCCACCTCCATTTATGCGATGTCCAACATAATTTTCGCCATATTTAATTTCCTTTATTTTATAGAACATAGATAGAAACACTACTATCGTTATATGCATATTAGAGTAGCAGCCTAAAAGTAAAAATCCAACACAGATCCAAAAGTGGTGAACATTTCTCACATTTTTTAGTCTTGGTAGGTGAATAATTTGGTCACAACAACCTAATATTCGCCGCGTTTATCTAAAACGGTTTTCCCTTCACCGATTTAGACAAACGCGGTGAACACTGGTTGTTGGTCAAACAAATAACCTGCCCACGTAGCTGCTGAACCAAACTCTTCCCCCATTTCTGCCGAACCCCTCACCCATTTCTACCAAACCCCTTCCCCATTTAATACAAAAACTCTAATTTAAGGTATGTTTTAATTTGATATTGTTTAGATTGTTGATGTTTTAGTAGTAATATGTTTGTATTTCACGAATTACTGTTAGTTAGTTTTTGTTTTAGATGAACTTGTTTAGTATACTCATGTTAAAGTAATGCTAATTATGCTACATGTTTTGATTAAAGTTGATCGTTTTTTTATAAGGCGATTACAGTTGATCGTTAATTATTATAAATTGCGGACATGGGTAAATTCAAGAAGTTTCAACTTCTTTTTCGGTGGAATGGTAGGGTGACAAACTCCCATTTTGTGATCGATTATAAAGATGGTGAATCCACTATGTTAAAAATTGAGTTCTATTCACGTGGCAAGAACTCCATGATATTTGTGCTGACAAGATTTGTACGGGCAGACATACGCGAGTTGGTAAAACTTCTTACTAGTATCCAAACATGAGTGGAGGTGGTGTCATGTATGAAGAAGTTGTCATATATGATGATGAAGCGGTTACCATGATGTTACAGTTTCTAACAGACAACAAGATCGTGCTGGCAGAGGTCTATGTTGAGACTGAGGTGGTCGGTGAAACTCATTCTCACCAATATTCTTATGATGATGGTTTTGCAGGAGGGTACGAATTTGGTGGTAGGTCAAGCAACTACGAAGGAGGTAGTTCTAGAGTCGGGGTGCTATGGGAAGAATACCCGCAATGTGGTGACCGAGCTGAGCCTGCTCCATTCGTTGAGCCCGACGACATTCAATGGCCTGCTTGAGGCCAGAGTGGGCTGACGTTGAGAACACCATTCGATCAGGCGTACTTCGCATGAGCTTGAAGACTATGTTGATGGTGCTGGTCACGATGATCCTCTTGACCTGAGCTATCCATTCGCCTCCAACGACAAGGAAAGTGAGGAAGATTTGAGATTAGTGAGTGAGGAGGAAGATACGAACGATGAGGTAGCATTTCGTGAGCCATCGACTACATACTACACAGAGGTCCCATCTCATAATTTATATGGTCAGAAAGATGCTCCTCACTATTTCCCTATGCCCGTGTATAATCCGAAGACCGATTTGGAGATGGGTATGATGTTCGCTTCAAAGGGCGTTGTTGCTGATGCTTTTTGCGAAGAAGCCATGCGGCGGAATTTCGTGTGGAGGGTAAAATATTCTGATGGCAAACAACTCCATGTCATATGCAAGAATGCTGGAGAGTGTTGTATGTGGCTACTACGGGCTGCAAATATGAAGAGAAAGGGAGCTTGGGTAATTTGCATAGTACAGAACAACCACACCTGCTCCTCTACCATAATATCCCAGGATCACCGCCAACTAAAAGCAAAGAAAGTGGGTGCAACCATTAAGCACTTGATTGAGGCTCGACCAGATATCACAATCAAAGCTATCATGGTTGAGGTGAAAGATCGGCATTCCTACACGATCAAGTATAAGAAGGCATGGCAAAAGGCCATGTCTGAGGTTTATGGTGATTGGGACGACTCGTACGCTTTACTCCGAAGACTGATGAATGCAATGGAGGAGTTCGACCCCGGGATTGTTTCGTGCTTAGAGAGAGGAGCAAGGGTTCCACTTGAAAAAGAGAGGGAGCTTGAAAAGCCCTTCACTTTGGAAAGTTTTGGAGATGATTTCTAGAATTGAAGCCCTCAAGATGATGATCCCCTTTTCCTCTTATTGTGTTCTTTCTCAACCTTCATGGGGTGATTCCTTATGTGTTTTGGAGAAGAAACCCTAACATATAATGTATATGTGATTTGTAATGAATAAGTTTGTTGAATTTCTAGCGGATTATGTCTATTTTTATTGAATTAATTGCTTATTCATGCCTCGATTGTGTATGGATGATGATATGGTGTTTGACCCATAAAGGTAGTCATTCAACTGAGTCAAGTCTAGACCTAAAATCAAGTAGCATAGCTAAGTATCTGCATGGTCATTGATGTACCTAGCTAAGTGATTGTTGGGCTTGTCCCTAATTCGAGAATTATACTTAAAACCTAATTATGGTGGTAAATTACATTTACCATTTGCTCTTCTGATGCATCACAAAAAATAATTTTATGATCGGCATAGAAAATATGTGTGACTTCTATTCTTTGAACTTCATCAATGCAAAGCCCAGAAATAAAACCCTTTTTTCTGAATTTCTTGCCGCATGTATGACACCAGGTCCATTACTAAATTAAAAAGAAATGGCGACAATAGATTGCCTCGCTTCAGCCCTAGGTCCCCCCCCCCTTTCTTTCTACTACCGAATGAGCTTGTTTGCGGTCAGGCTAGCTTCACGATTCTGTCTCCCACTTTTATTTGCCAAAGATATCCCACATTGTGAGAGACAAAAAATACGAAATATAAGTACGAGACATTTGCATATCAAATCACAAAACAAAAATAAGAAAGAAGTATCGAATGATCCAACAATAATAAGACTTTTACTGCCATGATATGGGCAGCCCTAATACCAGAATCCATGTATCTGTCTCCCCTTTCATTCCACCAAACTGGTATTTTGACACAAGGAAAATTTCCCCTTATGTCAGTTCTGGAGGGTTTGAGACGGTTAATTGGACGAACTTCTCGGTAACAAAATTGGAATTTCGTTACCAAACCCCAATTCACAATTTTACGAAAAGGGTTAAAAAAAAATTGTATAGAACCATGACAGAGAGCTCTCTGATCCGGGCGGAGGTTTCCTTAGGGATATCCACACCACTTCGGCGGCGTCGCTTGCCAAGCACACAATAATTGGACGCATACAAACAATACAATGTAACATGTATCCAGTATTTTAAACATGCATATATTACTAGAAAAAACGTCAACACGGCTGTCTGCGTCTCTCTCATTCCTTTCCTTTGTAAGAATCTAAGCCTCCTTGGCCGGTTTCATAAATACCCTACACACTAGCTAGAAACGATATATCTTTTTGTTTAAAGAAAGTCCTTTTTGCGCAAATTGCTTCAAATTGGTGATGGCGGCGGCGGCGGCCAGCAACTGGCTGAACTGGAGGTTTTTGCTATGCGTAGTGTGGGTACTGGTGTCGATGAACATCTCTGTGTTGCTGATATGGAGGAGGAAGAAGAAGAAGAAGAATGGTGATGAACAGCCTGATGACGGTAAGATTGGTGGAGAAGGAGAAGAAGAAATTAGCAGCAATCAAGCATGGAAGCCATGCCTGAAATGTGTTCACCCAGCTTGGCTTCTTGCCTTCAGGCTCTGTGCATTCTCAGTCCTCTTGCTCCTCCTGGTTGCCATTGTTCTCGTCGATGGCGCCGTCATGTTTTACTACTACACCCAGTCAGTAGTATACATATAATTGGATCTCTTCTTTCCTTCTAGCCAAAATGGGCATTAATTGGGGGTTTTTTTTGTTTTTTTGTTTGTGTGGAAGCTGCAGGTGGACGCTTACTCTGGTCACCCTGTATTTTGCAGTGAGTCGTTTCTCTGCCTTGTTAATTAATTGGTTGCAATGCATATTCTGAGCTTCAAGTTTTGACTTAAAGTTTGTAGCTTTACCTCAAAATAATGAAATGATTTTGAACTATGCAGATGGGGAGCTTGATCTCGATTCGCGGATGCTACGAGTATAGCAAAATGGGAAGCGTGGATGTGGTTGGCAATACTGCTGCGGCAGAGTTGGGCGATGCAGAGCATGGCGGCGGGCAGAGTTCGATGAAAGACTCAAACTCTGCAGGCCAAGCTGCGGGTGGATGGGGTTGTGCATTATTTCAGATCATTTTCCAGGTAGTATAAATATAATACAGAAACCCAACAACAGTATATGGTCAGATTCTACCACCAAAAAAAAAAATTTGCTGAGATTCTGCTGCTGTTTGTGTTTGTTTTCCGGGTGATTATAATTCCTATGTATGCTTTCTCTGTGGGTTTTGTTGGACGGATTCAGAACTGAATCTGTATGATCTTTTTCTTGGTTTTGGTGGCAGATAAGTGGTGGAGCGGTGATGCTGACAGATATTGTGTTTTGGTTTGTAATTTTCCCGTTTCTTGCTATCAAAGACAAACGCCTCAACCTAGTGAGCAGCCTTCACTCCATGGCTGGCCAGCTGTTTTCTTTCTGTGCTGTTTTTTCTTTTTTCCTTCTGCTTTCTTTGTGTCTGACTCTGTTTTTTGTTTTGTTTTCATTGATTGGGGCGTGGGGATATGGGCAGTTGATAGTAAGCATGCATTCCATGAATGCCATCTTCTTGCTTGGAGACACTGCCATGAACTGCTTGGTGAGCAAGTTATTGCTTTCCCTCCCCACTTCCCTTTTTGTGTTTTTTATAACCCGGAACCTGAATGATCTGAACCCAATTAACACGTAATTTTTTTGGGTCGGGTTAGGCGGTTTAGCGGGTCGACCCGTTAGACCCGTTCTATTTCAAATGTCCCTCTAAAAAAGGATCAAATCACTCATAAATTGGTGAGATGTTTAGAAAAAATTCACGAGGATTTGAAAGACATGTTTGCAGTTTAAGGATAATCAAATATCATGTGTTTCTTGTAGTATTATTACTCTTGCGATTGTTTTTTCGATGATTTGTGCAATTTGTATTTAATTTCATTAGCATTGATGATTTGAGAATATGTTAGTTGACATGTGTTAGGTAAACTATTGCCCTGCATATGCAAATATTTGTGTTATTTTAAAAAATATGAAGCATGTTTGATATTGTTTCTGAGAGCGCTCATGACCCATAACGACCCGAAACCCGACCAGCAACCCGATGGATTCGGTCAATAGTCAACCCGAAATCAGCCAACCCAACATGACTCGACCCCCAACCCGAGGCCCCAACCCGACCCGATTGCCAGCTCTATTCTAAATCCATCTATTCATAAAATCCATTACTCAAACCACTCATAAAGTTTCATCCAATGACTTTGGAAAATATGCTGATAGGGTGATAATTCTGCTCAAATAATTGACTTTATCAAAACAAACCCAATGTTCTGACTGGACATGATTATATTATTTATTAAATTACCACCACATCGATCCAACACATGATCTTCCATCAGGTTGAATATCGCGGGGGAGCCATGGCCAAGGCCAACATATTAGCTATTCTCACCATTGTTTCTATCTCTGATCTTTTTTGTTTTTGTTTTATGGTGCAGCCATTTCCGTTTTTCAGGATTGGATATTTCATCATGTGGACAATCCTATATGTACTGTTCCAGTGGATTCTGCACGCTTCTGTCAAGATATGGTAATAACCTTCACTGTACATTCATGCAAATCTTACCTCTCTTTTTTTTTTCTGTTCGTATGTAGTTTTGGATCTCCTCTTGCATCAATGGTTATTGTGTTGTGCCAATATTTTTGTAGGTGGCCGTACCCATTCCTCGATATTTCGTCTCCTTCTGTCCCCGTATGGTACTTGGCAGTAGCAGCAATCCATGTTCCTTGCTATGGAATGTTTGCTTGCATTGTGAAGCTGAAGAACACTCTGTTCGTCAAATGGTTTCGAGACTCCTACCGCGGCTTCAACTAGCTAGCTGTTTTCACCCACACATTAATCGAGATACGACACGTACCCCAAGCAAAGTCGAATCCCACGATACCTCCTTGAAAGAGAGATGTCTGAAACCACTAGACGATAGAGGCATATATATTTACCCGATTGTGAGCATGCTAATGCTCATATTATTATACATGTATAAAATCATGGAGGTGGTATAAACTGCAAAGAAAGAAAGAAATTAAAATATAAATATTTGTTTGTTTCTTCTCTTGTGATTATTGTTTTTTTTTTCCCTTCAAATGTAATTCCTCTGAGGGAGGATGTCTTTCTGAAAGTTTGATGGCTTGCATTTCTCATCTAATTGTTTTTCTATATAATGACAACATAAAAGATATTTGAAAAATCTTAGAAAGAATGCACACAGAAAGTTGAGACTTCAAAAACAAAACAGGGTGATTTTCTTCTTCGCCTATCAAATAAAAACCACATAATACCACGCCACTATCACACAAAAACTTATTGTTATCTGGTTTCTGTAGCAATGTTTCCTCTACAAGTATATATTTATATTTATTAATAAGGTTGAATGGTTGATGAAGAAACCACAATTTGTACGTTAAGTTTGCAAACCTGAAAAGGGAAAATGAGTGAAGAAGTATCATCACAAGCTTGTCGAGCATAACAAGAGATTCCCACATCACAACACACACTACAAGAAAATTAGTTTTTAGCGTCTAAACTTCACGGCATATAAAACATGTGTCTCTAAAAATATGTTATCCACGACTAATAATATATTATATGGCTCCAAAAGTATTATTATTTGTCGTTAAAGTATTATTCTTTTATATTACATTATATTTATATTAAAATATTAGTTTTAGCAACACATTTTCTGTAACTATTAATGTCTGCCTTTATATCGTGTAGAAAAAAAGATAATTTTGATAATTAATTATCATAGTTTTTTACAGGCAGATAGTCATTTGCTTCTAAGGAAAAGTTTTTAGAGGTTAAGAAAATAGTTGTTGTTGCTTCTTTAATTTAAACGAGCTAAATTGACAAATAGTTGGTCTCAGGGCTATGGTGTAGGGATGGCAATTTACCCACCCATGGGTAATTTTGCCCAAACCCAAGTAAATCCATTTATTATGGGTAGGGTTTGGGTGATGTGTGTATGGGTTTGGGGTTTGTGTATGAGTTTGGGTTAGATATGGATATTATCTAAATGGGTATGGGTTGGATATGGATATCCATTTACTTGAGAGTGTTTTAACTACACATGCAAAAATTGGACTTATTTGTAAAACTTGAAAAATGTAGGTACCAAAATGTAAGACCAAAAAAATTTAGGTACCAAAACGTAATTTTCCATACATATTTTGAGGACTTATATGCAAAAAAAAATTAAATTTAGGTACTAAATATGCATATCTATTAAGTTTAGGTACCAAACTGTAATTTGTATTTGGGCATGAGTACAAACCCAAATCCATTTGTTATAAACCCAACCCAACCCAAAGTAAATGGGTATGGGTGCAAACCCATCAAACTTTACCCATATCCATATATTTGGATTTCATACCCAACCCAATTGGGTTGGATAGTAAAATACCCATGGGTATGGGCAAAATTGCCATCCCTACTATGGTGAATTATGTGTGGCAGGAATCCGTCCAAGGTACTCTTATGTTCCAACGATGAGAAAACCTTAAAAAGCTTCGACATTTGCTCTATGATTGGAGTAGGGCGGGTACCACAAACTCTCTCCGCAATATTAAAACTCTACAAGCTGAAATTGACCGGATTAAAGCTCTTCACCCCAGTAACTAGGATGAAGTGCGGATCCTAGAAATGGAATTCAATAGGCAATGGGAAGCGGAGGAGGTTTACTGGCAGCAAAAGTCTCGAATCCGATGGTTAAAAAAGGGTGATAAAAATACTTCGTATTAAAATGCGGTCACGAGGGCTCATAGAAAACGAAATTTTGTGTCCGGCCTGCGGAATGATAATGGAGAATGGATCACTGAGGAGAATGGAAAGGAAGACATTGCTAGTACTTTCTATCATAATCTCTTCACCTCTAAGAACCATGTGCTCAACATGGATGAACGTGTGGCTGCTCTTCCCATTGCTCATAGTGTTACCCCGAAAATGAATGACATTCTTATGACTGAGGTTCTTCCTAAACGAAGTGCTAAGAATTGTCTTCTCAATGGGATCAAAACAGGCTCCGGGATCCGATGGGTTCATTGGGAAAAAATTTAAATCCTTCTGGGACATTGTTGGTAACTCGGTGAGTGAAGCTGTCTGCTCATTCTTCGCAACTAGTAGAATGCTCCGGAGCTTTAATCATACCTGGTTGACCTTAATTCCCAAGGTGGATAATGTTGAGACTATGCGGCAACTTCGTCCAATCAGCCTTTGCCAGTTTGTTTACAAGATCATTACTAAAATCATGGCTGAAAGGCTTGCTGGCCTCTTACCTCATATTGTCTCAGAAGGACAAAATGCTTTCATCCGTGACAGGCAAATTGTTAATAATATTCTCATTGGTCACGAGTTAATGCATTATTTGAAAATCAAAACACGCGGTAAGAAAGGGTACATGGCTCTAAAGGTTGACATGGAAAAGGCCTATGACAGAGTCGAATGACCTTTTCTGCTAGCTGTTTTGGAGAAAATGGGCTTTAACTCCGTCTGGAGAGGATGGATAATTGAATGCCTACAATCAACATCGTTTTAAATCCTCATGAATGTCACTCCTTCGGGATTTTTCACACCTTCCAGGGGACTCCGGCAAGGGGACCCCCTCACTGCTGCTTCTGTTCGTCATCTGTACGGAGGGGTTTGCGACTCTCCTAAGAAAAGCAATAGAGGCGGGGAAACTGGAAGGGGTGAAAGTATCCCCTCGCGATCCTCCTATTTCTCATATGTTTTTTGTGGAAGATTCTTGTTTATTCCTTCGAGGTTCTCTCCACGAATGTGAGGGTTTGATCGAAGTGTTAAATGAGTATGAGGAACTGAGTGGCCAGAGGGTGAACTTAGCGAAATCGACAGTATGTTTTAGCAAGAATGTTGCCCTACCAGACCAAGAGTTCTTGGCTCAGATTCTGGGAGTCGGGGCAGTAGGAGTTCATGATAAATATCTGGGGTTACCTACCCTGATTGTCCGTTCGAAAATGGCTACCTTTCGCTACTTGGAGGAGAAATTGCTGGAGAGATTACAGAGTTAGAAGCAGAGGACGTTATCATGGACTGCTGAGGAAACCTTGATCCAATCCATCGCCTTAGCATTGCCGCTGCATGTGATGTCATGCTTCAAGTTACCTCTATCTCTGTGTCGACTCTTGGACAAACATGTAGCCCGCTTCTGTTGGGGTATGGAAGATGGTCAATCGAGGATTTGGTGGATTTCCTAGCAGAATATGTGTAGGAGCAAACATGATGGGGTATGGGATTTCACAGATTTAAGCATTTTAATCAGTCGTTATTAGCCATAATCGGATGGCATATCCTTAATGAACCCCACCCTCTTTTAGCCCAGGTTTACAAAGGAAAATATTTTCCGACTGGGGGTGGCAGAGTATCCTCTATGGGCGGCAGTTACTAGACATGGGTTACGATGGAAAATTGGCAATGGTCCGACTACGTCTCTTCTTCATTCCAGCTGGATACCTCGGTTGCATCCCTACTCTCCAATGTATAATCCCCAGGTGCTTCCCAATGGGGTGACCCTCCGATTGCCGAGATTATCTGTCAAGGGGAGGGGAGTTGGTGTGACATCAAGCTGGGGCAGTGGTTTGATCCGCCTACGTGTCGGGCCATCAAAACTATTCCTCTTCCGCGCCATAATGTGGATGATAGACTTATCTGGCATGACACGACTGATGTGGTTTTCACTGTTAAATCCACCTACCATTTTGATGTCTCTCTTGATAAGCGGAATGGTCATTGGAGGTCTATGGCTAGCTGGATGGATAGGGCCAGTTGGATTCGTTTATGAGAGGCCAATATTCCACCAAAATTGAAAGTGTTCGTCTGGCAAATCTTTCATAGAATCCTTCCAACTACTGAATCTCTCATTGAGAAGGATGTCCCTGTGCTTCCTCGATGCCTGGTGTGTTGGAGTGAGTCGGAAACAATGGAACATTTGTTTCTTGACTGCCCAGTAGCACGCACCCTTTGGGACTACTAAAGTCTGGAGCATCTTGGGAAAGGGTTACCTTGGCATACTTTCCCACTGTTCCTAAAAAGGTTGATGTTAATACATCAACCTTCTCTTTTCATGCCGGTTGTTGCTACCCTATAGAGGATTTGGAGGTCGCGTAACTGGGTTGTCTTTGAGGGTAAACGATTTGAGATCCCTGCCTTGATGCGCCAATTTAACCAACAATGTCAGGAGTGGGAAAGTTTGTCGGTGGATAGCATAACTCAAGTTTCATTTCCTTTGATACAACCCATGGGTCCTGGGGGAGTCTAATATGGTTGTTTGTATGTGGGATGGGGCTACAAGGATTGGGTCTCACTCGGCTGGCGGGATGGTTCTTCTGAACCCCAATAGGGAGGTCCTTATATTTCAGCGGATTCAGTTTCTATTGATTGATGATCCTTTGGTGGTTGAGCTGCTCGCGCTCCGGGAGGCTATTTTATGGTGTCTGGATCATGGCTTCACGGAAGTGAGGTTCGAAGCAGATGCTAAAGTAGTAATTGAAAAGATCAATCAGGCGGATACCAGAGATAATAGGATAGGGGCTATTCTTGAAGAAATTGGGCAGTGCTTTGACGCTCACTCTGGGTTTAGTATTCTATTTGTAGGTCGACGTAGCAATAGGGTAGCCCATGCGGTGACTAGAAATGCTCTTAATTTGTATCCGACTATGAGTCGGTTCTTTGATTTTCAGACCTGGCTGAACTCGAGACTGTAACTGTCTCTTTGAATCAAGGTTGTCAGCCCGCGGGTTGACCCGGACCCGGTCGAGCGACTGGGTCAAGGGTTAACGGGTCACCATTTTTAGCCCGAAAATATGGAAAGAGTCATTATATTATACTTATCCTGATAAATTATATAAAATCTCATCTAACATATGAGTAATAACATATAACATTACACCAAAGTAACATGTCGTACTTAGATCCAATATATAGTGAAAATTCACACACACTTATATAACATCAATATTCAAATGTTCAATTAAGGATTCACAAATATTGAGTTAGGAAAAAAGAAAAATCAGAAAATAGGTGCATTTCGCAAACAAAAACGCAATTTGACCTCCAACCTGGTAACTGGTAGCGGTCGACCCGGCGGATGCGTGTGACCCATTTTTCTCATCGGGACAGAGTCAAAGTGGGTCAACCCGTGGGTTGACAACCTTGCTTTGAATCAATATATGATTACCTTTTGTAGAAAAAAGTTGTCTTCTTCATTTTAAATGAGCTAAATTGACAAATAATTGATTTGATAATTATAATGATAACCATTTAAACACCCCTTAACCAAATGTGTATTTTGATATTTTCCCATCTATTTTTGACTCGCTGCTACTTCAAAAAATTAAAACAGCTATTCGTTAAACCCCGTCCCCGGAAATCTTAAACCCTAATCAGAGAGGAGCACTCTTGCCGCCGTGGGAGGACCTAGCAGTGGGGATGGAAGCGCTGCTCCGGCTAAAGTCGACGGAACCTCCGCTATGGTTGGCGCCATCGGCGCCACTTTCCGAGGCAGCACGGACGGCCTCTCAGCACCTGTTCGCGTCTCTCAGACCTCACGTTCGGAAATCGCCGTTCGATGAATTGTTAGTCGATAATTTTGACGCCGAGCAGATTTGGCAGCAGATAGACCTGCTGACGCAGCCACTGGTTGGTAGCATCAGGCGTCGGGTTAAGCATTGGGAGAAGAATCCCGAGGAAATCGAAAATTTACTGCCAAAGGTTGCCGAGGAAGGGAAGAAGGTTTCCGAAAGAAAGAAAGTGGAAGAGCTTAATGATGATGGTGATATGGATATGGATATGGATATGGATATGGAAGATGATGAGGAGATGGATGTTGATAATGATGGAGAGCAGGATGGTGGGAAAGACAAAGGGGATCAAAGTGAAGAGGAGGAGAAAGGTGGAGGGATAGAAGACAAGTTTTTGAAGATAAAGGAATTGCAGGAGCATTTGGAGGATGAAGAAGCTCGGCATTATGGATTGGATCCAAAGAAGAAGAGTAAGAAGAAAAGTGGAAGCAAGAAATTGAAAGACGAAGATGAGGACAGTGAAGAGAATGAGGAGGAGGAGGAGGAGGAGGAGGATGAGGAGGTGAAAGGGTTTTCTCTATCCTCTTTCTCCTTCGATTTTCTGGGCCAATTTTAAAGCTTTTTTCAGTTTTCATTTTGCTTCCCTTTGCTACTCCGCGTTCTGATGGAGTTCTGTTTTGTACAGCTTGATCTCTTTGCTGGGGGAGATGATGAAGAGGACGAGATGGGAAATGCCAGGTCCTTAAAACTTTCTTGTGCAGTTCACTATTGTAGTTGATTATGGTTTAGTTTTGTTTAGGCGTATAAGTAAATTGATTTCTCTCCCTGGCACTAGTGAAGTGCAGACGCTTCAGCTTAACAATTTCAAGGCAGTAACTTGAAGTTGGTTTTGTTATTTTAACTTGCTAGTGTTCGATTATAGCTGTTATTCAATGGGAAAGCATGAACCCTAGCTTTGAGAACCTTGAACTAGAATCTACTGCTTTGCTTGTGCTAAGAATATCTACTTGAACTTAATGTTACCTCACTCATGCTTCCGAATGTTCAGATATGAAGACTTCTTTGGTAAAAGGAAAGAAAGCTCAGAAAAGAAGGCCAGATATAAAGATGAGTTGGGCGAAGATTCAAGCTCAGATGAGGATGAAGGGGAGGAAGAGTTGAGCTCAGATGACGAAGAAAAAGATGAGAATGCAAATGAGGTTGATGTTTATATAGGCTCACCTAGCCATCTAAGTATTATGATGAAATGTGTTTTGTCTCCTTAGCTCTGTATGCCTTGTTGTATTTATGCTAGTTTGATAATAACATACATCTGTAGAAACGGATGTTCACAAGGTTAACTTTCCTAGTGCAGAAACCGAAAGTGCTTTCTACCCATGAAAAGGAAGTTCAGAAGATCAAATCTGAGATAGAGAAAATGGAGAAAGCAAATCTGGATCCAAAAACCTGGACCATGCAGGGAGAGGTAACTTTATATATTTTTTAATGTAATTTTGGAACTGTCAATTTCTTTAGTCCTTAATTATGCAATGATGCCATTGATGGCAGGTAACAGCTGCAAACAGGCCCAAGAACAGTGCACTAGAAGTTGATTTAGATTTTGAGCATAATGTTAGGCCCGTCCCAGTAATCACTGAGGAAGTCACTCAATCACTAGAGGAGATTATTAAGAAAAGGATCATTGAGGTATGAGCTATTACTTGCAATTTTGTAATTTTTCTTTCTTTTGGATTGTTTGTTGAACTTCTGTTTCAATTAAGAATTTTCTTCTAGTTGTATTTTTTGATGGCCTATTTCTAATATCAGAAAGTCTAATAATAATTTCAGTCTGGTTTGCGGGCTGTAGCATGCTGATCCGACCTATATATTAAAACACTTAAACCTCTAGTGGCTGTCAGACCTATTTGCTCAATGCGTAAGCCAATCCAGCTATACACCTAGCTTTGGCAAACATAAATGCATAATGGATTTGTTATTGAGTTTCTGCTCTATGCTTGGGTTAGGAAACTGGTTGTAAATGCTACAACTCTGTAATATTGTGTGGACTTGTTCTGGCTACCATCCCGTGCTCACAAACAGCTTGGTATTATGTTACAGGGACAGTTCGATGACATTAAAAAGGCTCCTGGTTTGCCCTCCAAAGCACCAAGAGAATTGAAAACAGTGGTAAGAATGTGTTTTTTTTTCTTATCTTGTTTGTTTGTTTGTTTTCTTTTTCACTTTTCCATTCTTTTCGTAAGTGAAATTAACAGCAATTTCATTTCTAAAAAAAAACTGCAGGATGAAAATAAGAGCAATAAGGGTCTTGCTGAAGTTTATGAGGTTTGTCCATCACGATCGTCATTATGTTCATTTTTTTATTCTATCAGCTCGATGTCAGTGACAGTTGGCTTTCGGAAGTTTTTAACTTTCCTTCTACTTGCGGCTCAACTGTTTCATCTAATTTGTTCCAGGAGGAATATGTACAGCAGACAGATCCAGCTGCTGCTCCATTATCTTTCTCAGATGAACAGAAGAAGGAGGTAAATAACCTGTATTTTCGTTTCTGATCTCAGTGTTGCATCTTTTTCCATTCTTATATAATCAATGTAAACTGTCCTGTCATTTTGTTATCTGGATTTCTTTCTCCAATCTCTTTGAATAACTATGGCAGGCAAGCACCTTGTTCAAAAAGCTCTGCCTGAAGTTAGATGCACTTTCTCACTTCCACTTCGCCCCAAAACCTGTACGGTTTTCTTGTCCTCATTAAGCTTCCCGAGTATAGATCTTCTATATGCTTTCCCCGTATTTGCTGGTTTAATCAATTTCTTGTTGTTTGGCATGAATAGGTTATAGAGGACATGTCTATCCAATCAAATGTCCCTGCTCTTGCCATGGAAGAGGTAAAAAGGAAAGCTTTTTCCTTGTTTTTTTCCAGACTCTTGCAATATCTCAATCCTTTCTGATCAAGTTATTGTCTTCCTTTCATAGATTGCTCCAGTCGCGGTTTCAGATGCTGCTATGCTGGCTCCTGAGGAAGTCTTTTCAGGCAAAGGGAATGTTAAAGCAGAAGTTGAACTTACACAAACAGAAAGAAAGAGAAGGAGAGCAAAAAAGAAGCGAAAATTTAAGGGTGGGTCTCTACTTAGCAAGAAATGCGCTTTTTACCATCTTTTTTCCGAGTGTATCCAATGTTTCGGTTAATTCAAGTTGGTCATTTGCCCACTAAACTGTGAAAATCCTTCCACTGCTCACAGCTGTAGAAACCAAAAAGATGGCAAGTAAGAAGGCGCGAGAAGATGAGCTACGAAAGCAGAAAGAAGGTAAATCTTTCTTTGTGGATGAACTATAACACATGTTTTCAGATTGGCATGATCTTAACCAATGGAGTTCTGAATCTCTGTGCTCAATTCAGCTGCGGGGAACCTTGAAGAACAATGACTTGTTTACTGAATGAACGGAGCTCCAGCTACGACTTCAATTTTGGGGTAATTTTGAGAAACCCCTATCCCCAGCACAACTTTGCAAGATGAATTGGTCATGTGGGAATAACGACCCAGACCAACACAAATTTGGAAGGAAGAACTGCGCTGAACATAATGAATGAAGGGCCCTGTTGATATGAAGCTGCAAAAGTGGATCCATGGGATAGAAAGAGGAAATTTTTACCTGTAATTAAGTGGATGAAACGTTTGGCCTTATTATATATATAGCCTTACCATTGTCATTACAGCCAACTATACTCTACCTTTCCTTATGATAAAGGTGTTTTACTTTATGCATTTTTGGTGATGGATTCTGAAGCTTGAATGTTCCTACATGTAACATTATTTACATTTTACACATTTCATGCCTTCTAACATTCTGTAGTCTTAGTTCATTGTTCTTGTAGTTAATTCACTCAGAACTAAAATAAGTTCATGACTGAAAATAACAATAATCGTCCTCCTCCTCGTAACAGTAATAGTAGTAAGGATACTAGCTGCAAGTAAACTGTAACTATCTTTTTTTTTGGGTAAGAACTGTAACTATCTTTACACAGTTGAAAGTGACAAAAATGGGTAAGCGTTTGAACACTCAATAGTGTTTCTATAACAGCCAAAACATTCCTCAAAATTTGTATTAAGCAATTTAAAGGAGTCCTGCAAACTAAATTGACAGGACCCTGCACTCCTGCAGTGTTATCAAGCAATTTATTCTGAATCTTGAACCCAAATAACATGGGAAGAAGAGAATGTCGAGTAAACCGTTCCAACTTCCATGGTAGTCAGATAGATCCACAAAGCCATCTCTTTCCTGTCCCGTCATGGTAGTCATAAGTAGCAGAAGGTTTCAGTCATGTCTCTTTCTCACCTTTTCACTCTTGCTTCAAGCCTCTCAATTGCAGCTCCAACACCACCAACAGCAGCAGTAGCGTCACCTCTGGTCGAATTAACACCACCCTCATTTGCCTTCTCCACCAGCTTCATTTGGACCCAACCTGCACATTTTTCAGGGTTAAAATCCCTTCACCTGATGTCTAGATGCAACCCTCTATCTTATGGTTCTTCGGCTTAGCAAAAACAACGATCGACTACTTCGAATAATACACCGAATGAACAGGAGATAGGTATGTGAAGTACCTAGAGGGAAGCATACTACTGCACCAAGAACCGTTCCAAGTAGCACATTCCTCGCACGCCACCTAAGAGATCCAGGCACTGTATGAAGACAGTCGAAAGTAATTGTCACTCAGCAGTAGCCTATGATGCATCTTCAATAACAAGTTCATATCAATTGCACTACAGAAAGCTCTATGGAATCTAAAACGAAGAAGGAAAAACAGTAATGAACAAAGTGTTCGAGAGCATTACGGATTAGCCCAAATGTTGCAGCAGTGACCGAACCAGCTCCGACGACATTGTAAACATCATGCACTCCCCCGCGTTGCTCAGCCATCAAGTTTTGCAGACAACAGAAGCCTGCAGTGAACATGCCGAGTCTCGCCCCACCAACCAGGGCGCCACGACTGACTTTAACGAATCGTCTCTCCATCGCGTCTCGCATCAAGTTGTACTGCTTGGCCTTGTTTGGCGTGCTGCCTAGCTTCAGCATCACGTCCGCATCTATACTCTGGCAATGTAGTAGGCAAACTTCTAGTTATCTGGCCTTTTTTTTTAGGGAAAAGACGAATACCCAGAGACAGGAAGGATGGAAGCAACAACTTACAGCTGATGCAGAGGCTTCCTTAGCGCCTCCATATAGCATTCCTGTGAAAAATCCTATCAAACTTGCTGTACTCCAAGATACCGTCCCGGCCAATTTTTGAGAGTTCTGATTGAATTGCAAGACAACAAACATGAACATCTATATACCGTGGAAGTGAAAATTGAAGGTCTTGAACCCTAAATTCGTGATGCAAGGCCCCACATGAAAGCAATGACAGCATAATGAGAAGGGAAGTCTCTCTCACCCATGGCTTCTCATTTTCGACGGCCTCCATCGAGACGACGAGATGACGAGGTGAAAGAGAATGGAAGAATCGAAGGACGCACAAGAGAGAAGAACGAGAGGGAAGCGATACAGAGAAAAAAAAGGGAGAAATTGTAGTGTTGTCCATATGCTCTAGGGGTGGGCAACCGGTTCGGTAAACCGAACCGAAATCGAATTAATGTTATTCGGTTCGGAATTCGGAAGAAAAATATGGATAGTTCGAAAATCAGGGTTCTTTCAATCGAACCGAATTTCCGACCGAAAATCGAAATACTATAATTGCAAGCTCCAAATGGTGGATTTTTATGTTTGTAGTTGTTTTTAGACTTAAATATTTAAAATATTTTATGACTTATGTGTTGAAAATGTGATTTAATCATTGATGATGCATATAATTGCATATTTATTGTTTATATTAGGGGTGAAAAATAATTTAAAAGTGAGAAGATACAAGTAGCTTCACAAATTCGGTTTTGTGTGAAAAACCAAACCGAATTATAATTCGGTTTAAACCGACCGAACCAAATTATAATTCGGTTCGAATTCAGTTTGAGGTTTGGGAGAATTCGGGGACTCGGTATTCCTAATCTCGGTTTGGTTGAAACCGAACCGACCGAATGCCCACCCCTAATATGCTCTCTCTCATAAGGGTAGGGGTGTACATGGGTCGGTTGGTTCGGGTTTAACCATTTTAATCACCCAACCCATGCACTACGGTTTGGAAATTATCAAACTCAAACCCACCCAAGAATATTTAAACCCTACGGTTTGTTTCTAATTGGGTTGGGTCGGGTCGGGTTGGCGATATTTTTAAGTAAAAACCCAACCCAACATAAAATATATAATTATTATACATCATAAAAATATTTTATAACTAATTAAAATTTTAAACGAATAAACCGAGGTGAAAGGTATCAAAATTCACAAATGTTATTTGAATTTTAATAAAATGTGATTTACTTCAACATATGTCTGGTTTTTTTCACGATATTTGTTGAAATAGGCTAAAAAAGTTATAAACAAACGCATCCATAATATATTATTCTATTAAAATTGTACACAAGAAAAATGATTATGTGAATCATAACTATATTCAATTTATGTCTAAACTTTTAGTCGAAGAATGCATTAGATTAGGGAGACCATGATAGGAAAACATGGCGAAATATCTTAATTTTCTCATAAGTATGGCTATATACGACATAAATATTTTTAGATACGAACTCATACTAATAGGTGGAACACGGGTTGGGTCGGGTTCTACGGGTTGTGTAATCCAAAATCCAAACCCAACCCAAAAGAGGCGGGTTGTACAAAAGAAAACCCTCACCCAACCCAAAACCTTCGTTTTAGCGATAAATACGGGTGGGTTGGATCGGGTTGGACGGGTGAGTCGGTTTGCGGGTGTGTTTATTCACCCCTACATAAGGGCATAAAATGAGTTAAGTTGGCCAATTACAACATAGCTATTTTACTTCTAAGTATTTACAGTAAAGTTCCAGCCACTACTCATTACTAGGGCTGCAAATGAGTCGAGCTGTTCGCGAGCGGCTCGACGTTCGACTCGGGAAAAGTTCGTTCGAAACTCGGCTTGTTTACTAATGAGCCGAGCTTGAGCTTAGCCTTCTGCAGCTCGTGGAGCTCGTGAGCTAGCTCGACTCGGTGGCTTGTTGAGCTCAACTCGTGAGCTGGCTCGTTAAGAGCTCATGAGATGTCTCAACTCTCAAGATTGTGGCTAGAGAGCCAACTCGATTACCGAGTTATGAGCGAATCGATCTATATGAGTTTGATTTTGATAATTCATAGGATTGTTAAATTATATATCTCACTCTATATGAAGTTTAACACGTAGATTATGTGAGCAAATATGTTTTATTTAATTTTAAAAAGCAATTATGTATCATAGATTGCTTCGATACTTTGAAATAACATAATTTTCACATATTAAAATTTATTAACTAAATAATTTGATACCACAAAGTATAACATAAAATTAGTTAATATTGAACACTTAACTATTCTTATTATTTTCTTCATCTTGGCATTAATCACATGTATCATGTATTACATACAAAACGAATATATCAAATACGAGTCAAGATTTTATTAAGCAAGCTAGCTCGCAACTCGACTCGGCTCGTTAATAAACGAGCCGAGCTCGAACTCGACTCATTTGTTAACCATTCGAGCTCAAACTGAGGAAAACTCGACTCGGCTCGGCTCATTTGCAGCCCTACTCATTACTATACAATATTCCGAGAGAAGTTGCTGGCTTCTACAAATACTCGATCAAACGAGTGATTTTCTTGCCTGCGACGAATCCCATAATTCTGCCATAAATTAAAAGTCCATAACTTCAATTGCTACATAGTTGATGTCAGGATAAGTATCTGAGTATGATTGAGCCATTAGATGAGAAGTACGGAGTTGACCCAAGTATGATGGAGGTGTCGCAAGCTATAGATACCATTGATGTAGTAGCTTGGAGTATGAAGCCATCATGGAGACGCGTCAGTAAATTACCAATCCAGCACCTCCTAGAAGAACCAATTCCAATATCGACGACGACGGACTAAAGCAACTACTAGAAGATGTTCAAAGCATCCAAGGTGGTCAAGAAGCCAATGAAGGGTGCCCTAAGGAGATGCATGAAGGATTTGGAGAGATCGTAGACCATGGAGAGATCAAGAACCATAGAGATGTAGGTCACTTGAAGGATATCCCATTTGATGAAGAAGAATAAGAGCATACAACTCAATCTTCAGACAGAGAAGTAGGTGCAATGGATGAAGAAGGTTGCAGTTCTGATGAATACATACTAATCCAAACTTTCTTGGATTTGTCGGAATATGTTTAAGGCATCACACCACTTGAGGGCTTTCATCACTTCCTATATCTTCTTCAATCTGAATCCACAAGCAATCCACCTATTGGAGCATCCTCAACCATTGGAAACATACAAGAGTAGGAGACCGAGTGCGATGACCCCTCACAACTCTAAGTCAAGGTTTAGATAAACCCTTGGAACCCATAAACCTTGAACAAGAGGAAGTAGAGGCAAAAATTTCATCTAAAGATGATTAATCTAAAATGGACCATAAAGATGAGGAGCCACTAGACAAGCAACCCTCTCCACCTATTCAGTCAAAGACGGAGCCTCAAGAGGAGCCTGGCGAGGAGCATAAAGACAAAGAGAATAAAGGTCGAGCCACCATCAAGAGATGTGGTGGACCATACCAACTTGGCGTCCAATGAAGGAAGGGAGCAGATACCACCATCATCCAAGATATAGTGGAAGAGATCATCAATGAAGGAGTATCATCGAGTTGGCCATTGTTGAGATCATAGTAAGGAGCATCTATTTCGATGGAGGAAACTTCAAGTGACACTCTTCTCGACTAAAACTTCAGCTGGGAGGGGGAAATTGATGAAGGCTGCAACTTCGATCTTCAAGAAGAATGATCATCTACAACAATGGGAGAAGAGCCAGGAGTAGTGGTCCCACTCCCACCTACTCTTGACGATGATGCTCTACATAAACTCATAGAAGACCCAAGCATTGGAATTGGAGGACTTTCTAAGTTTAATGAGAAGTCGTTTGGAGACTCAAACTTTGAGCAAGAGGATATGAGGAGGGAGATTGAGAAATTCATCAATTCCAAGGAAGATTGTAATAAAGAATTAAGTCTTTCATGAAGTTCGAAACCAATAAAAAAAATTGCAAAATCTTTATGGAGATACATAATGGAGTCGGTCGAGACTACTTTTGACTCCTTGAATTAATGGATTCCTTTACAACATTTCTAGAGAGCCATAAGACCGTAAAAACAAAAGATACAAGTTCTTCCTTGAATCATTACCTCTACAGCAACCACAAAGCCATATCTAAGTATGAGGTAAAAGGTGGAAGGAAGAGTCTAAGGTTGCATCTTCTTCATGGCCTATCATCAACCCAAAACATAAAGAAGGATGGCTTTCAATTGGTATATGCACTTCTAACGATGAACTTGAAAGAAGTCTTGAGTTGGGGAGATTGATGAGTTGGGAATTACGCCTAACTCAATGGCGTAAAGAGAAGGTGCTTCATGGGAGGCAACTCATGTCTGACATCAAACTTAAGGGTGTAAAAGAAAAGTGTTATCGAAGAGACTGTCCGGATTTCTAAACCATCATCATTTGCATCACAAGCTTCTCTCTTTAGACTTCCTCTTGATCAAGGTAAGTACCCAATACTCTTAGATATGATCTGGGAATCATTAGTTGCATTTTGAATCAAAATTTAACATTTCTACTTGTATAAAAAAGCATTCAAATGCATAAAGTATGAGGTAGACCTAAATGATGAATTAACAGTTAAAGAGATGTCTCTGTAGAATTATTTTGAAACAAATCTTTGCTTTTTATTTTCATATTTATATTGAGGAGGACCAGCATTTGCTCTCTCTCTCTCTATTTTGTTGCTTTTATGATTTTCGTTTTGTTTTGAAATCCATGGAGAAATAAAAGGAAAGATGGAGAAGTAGAGCATGACAACCCATTAATGTCCAGAAATATTTCATCTGGCGTATCTTGCAAGAGAAAGGAGAACAAATCTGAAAAGGAGAAGGAAAGAATTCTTTCAGAAGTCCATTCCTGCATGGAGAATGAAAGAAATTAGCGACGTGCAAGGAAATGACCTATGGCGGTCGAACCAGCCACGCCACCATCGCTGTCCACACCCTCGTTGCCGTGATTTTTCCTTCTCCCACTCGAATAAGGGAATACTACCATCCATTTCACCTAAGGAAGTGGATGGTGGTGGGACCACCACGACGTCGCCTCGCGCTCTCCTATAAAAGGGAGGCAACCCTTCTTCGTTTTCCTCACATCCACTCACGAAATTCAGAGTAAGATTTGGTGATACAACTCGTTGCATTGGGTGTGTCTGTGAATTGTCTTAGTCTCTTAGAAATTATAAGAGGGTCAAAAAGTCATTCTCTTTCTGGTTTTCATCTATCATGATGTATGAGTTTTATCTAAATTTGGGGCTTAATTGCAAGTTTGGTCACTGGAATTGCTTAAAAATTTTATATTTGCCACTAGAATTACTTTATTCCATCCGTAGTCACTTAAATTAGTTCATCAGTTCAATTTTGGTCACTCTCCATTAGTCTCCGTTAACTTTGACTGACGTGGCAGTCAACTCTAAGAGTTCACCGTTAAATAAGTGACGTGGCAATTAAAAAATAAAAAAAAATAAAATTCAATATTTTAAAAGTGCCACCTCATTATCACAATAAAATAAAAAATATATAAAACAAAATATCATTATAATTACAAATTACAATTCAACCTGATTTCTTCCTTCTCGCTGCGGAAGTGGAAATCGGCGGCTTGGATTTCCATTTTCTTCCCCATCCCGGATTCCCAGTCGGATAAAATGCCAACCATCTCTGCTTTGCCATTGCTTTTTCCTAAATATTCCAATAACTTTTCCTGTCCCAGTCGCAAAGCAGAAGAAGAAGACACAGAAGAAGAAGATGCAGAGTCGTCTGAGCAATCGGAGCTGAAGCTCAAATAAATTACCCCATTGGGGCTTCCTGGAAGCAATAGGCCATCGATTCCGATTATCAGAACGAAAACCCCCATCGATTCCTCTGTCTTTCCTACTTCATCCTCGCAACCAACCCTAGTTGACGGAGACTGATCAATAGACAGGTGTGGCGAGAATCGGTTCTCGAGTCTAATCAGGTTTCTTCTAAGCCAACTCGGCGGGAATAAGAAGCGTCGCCCTCTGAGTACTCGCCCGCAGCAGCGAGGACGACAGCGGCGACAGGTTCAGGCGGCCGAGGCGGAAGTGGTGCAGCTTGGTCGCCGGCAACGGCCAGAGGAAATAAAAAATTTATTTTTGTATTTTTAATAGTTTTAAAATGAGGTGGAAATTATAAAAATATTAAATATTATTTTTTATAATTTTTTAATTGCCATGTCACACATTTAACGGTCAAAGATCAGAGTTGACTGCCACATCAGCGAAAGTTAACGGAGAGTGACCAAACTTGAACTGTTAACCTAATTTAAGTAACTATAAATGGAATTAATTAATTTGAGTGGCAAACGTGAAATTTTGTAGCAATTCGAGTGACCAAACTTGCAATTAAGCCCTAAATTTGGTATTGATATGTTGTTGTCTATACTATACAAGAATAAATATAACAAATATAGTACAAGAACAATAATGAGATTTATTTTTGAATGAGTTCGAAAGGGAGGAATGCTTTACGCTTTGATTGGTTATGCAAATTATGAGTATATAATATATTATATTATATATATGACTTATGCTTAATTGGTTTGATTGGGTAGTTGTGTATGAAACCAAATCCCAATTTTGACTGCTATGACCACAATAACCACTCTGAACATTCCTACATCCACCTATTCTTGCTTCCAAAATTTCACTCCCGTGTTCGAGAAAAGCAAGACCACAAAAAAGAAAAAGGAGAAGAAAGCATACTGCAAACAACTTAATTGTAAAAGCAAAAGCTGATTACAGATTACCAAAGCAACCACATCAAATCAAATATAAAAACATGATACTGCCTCCCCGTAGACCAAAAAAGCAAAGCTAACGAGAGAAAAAGCAGCAGCCGACCCCTCCAATGGATTCCTCCACAGTCTCAGTCTCCATGCTACTAATCAATAAAGCGGCAGCAGCAGCAGCTGATCACAACTTCTTCTTCTTCCCCTCGTCCGAAGCAAGGCATCAAATCACCCAGCAATGGAAACTCCACCACCTTCTTCCACCTTCCTCCTCCTCCTCCTTTTGTCCATCTTTCTAATCACTCCACCACCGCTCACCTCCGCCGCCGCCGGCCCCGGCCCCAGCTGCCGCTCCTTCTGCGGCAACATCACCGTCGACTACCCGTTCGCCCTCCACGACGGCTGCGGCCACCCGGGGTTCCGCGACCTCCTCTTCTGCATAAACTCCGTCCTCATGTTCCACATCGCCTCGGGCTCCTACCGCGTCCTCGACATCGACTACCCTTACCGCTCCCTCACCCTCCACGACCCGCACCTCTCCACCTGCGACGACGTCGTTCTGTCCCCCACCCCGTTGGCGAACGGCTTCGTCCTCGACCCTTCTCGCTCCCCGTATTTCTCCCCTTCACCGGACAACGTTTTCATGCTCATCGGCTGCTCCCCTACCTCCCCTCTCTTCCAGGTATTAATATTTTTTTTCCCTTTTTAATTAAATTTATACAAGTTTTCAGATATATATACGGGAGTTCTACGATACCCAGGATGAAACGCTATTCAGAACTTGAATTGACTAATCTTTCGGATATGATACCATACTATAACCCTTAAAGATCAACATTTAGGTCTTAATTCTCTGAATTTTATACTTCAAGATCAATTTAATTAGAAACAATAATCGACGGTTATTATTCGACCAAATATAGGCAAAACAATCAATGCACCATCTTAGGGTTTATAGTTTATGATTTAGATAATTAGAACCTAGGGTTCACTCATTAAGGGTTGGGTATAGTATCATGCCCAAATATCCTGCTAATTCGAGGTTTAAATAGCGTTTTCATACTCAATGTATACGGTATCCACGATTTCACACGGAGTACCGGCACCATATATATCTATATATAATATCCATGTATCATATGTTCTAAATATCATTAGGGGTTCCCGGGAAAGCACCTCCCCTGCCGGAACGTCTCCGGGATGGGTTGCGAGGAGTATTACGGCTGCGAGGGGTGGAGCAAGCTCGGATCCCACCGGCGGGGCTCCGACTCCGGGTCGTACGGGTCAAGTCCGCCCGAGTGCTGTGCGGTGTCGTTTGAGGCGATCAAAGCGATTAACCTGACGAGGCTGGAGTGTCAAGGTTACAGCAGCGCGTATACTCTGGCGCCGCTTCGGGTCGACGGGCCCGCGGCTTGGTCGTATGGGATCCGGGTTAAGTATTCGGTTCAAGGGAGCGAGGAGTTCTGTCGGGCCTGTGAGGCTACGGGCGGGTCGTGCGGGTTCGGGTCGGACGGGGAGAGGCAGCTGTGTATGTGCCCCGGGTTTAATTCCACTTCCAATTGTGACAAGGGCAGTATTGGTGAGTGGGCTTTGGGCCTGGGCCTGGCCCTCTTTGTTAGAGTTGGCCAGACGCTTTGAGATTAATAGATTATGGTTCAAAACTTGATTTAGTAATGTTTATCTATGCCGCTTTGCTTTAAAAATTGTGTTTATTAATTATTGACCTCCAATGATATCACACAGCGGATATGTCAGCGTCGGTGAAAAGGGAAATGGAATTGGAGTTCGTCATAGCCACGTGGGCAGGTAATTTAATTATTCACTGGTCACTACTTTATTTGATACCATAGGATTTTATTCATTAGTCATTACACTTTTGATTCCACACTGCCTTTTGCTTCTTACGCTGCTAACAAAATATGCATCTTTTTTATAAATAAAATAAATTGGTAGGATTAGTGGATTTATGAATTGAATTAAATGAGTGGATTAAATGGATTGAATTGTGGATTCATGAATCCAAGTGATATTTAAATTTTGGATCATTATGCAAAAATTAGGTACTAAAATGTCATTATATAAATTTTATGTATCAAATTTAATTTGTCAATGATATTATTCTTTATGAAATTAAATTTTAGGTATCAAAATGTAACAATTAAAAAATATAGATACTAAAATGTAACTTTTCAATGATCAATTAATCTAATACATGAAACCACCAATTCAAGTGGATTTGAATTAATCGGATTGGATTAATTGGATATTTTAGTAGATGAATTGGTGGATTAGTTTCAATTTGTCACTTAAGCTGGAGGAGGTTAACTTACTTTGTTGCCTATAGTCTATGTTTGATCAGGCTTTTTAATATAAAAGAAATCTCATAAGATCTGCTTTTTTAAAGAATTTTTTTATATTATTTATTATAAATCATTTTTAGTAATTTTACGTAACTTCTTACATTACAAAAAATTCTAATAGTTTTTTCAGCCAAACACTCAATTGTTTTTTTTTAATATTTTTCTAAAAACTTCAATCAGAAACTGCTTCTGCCAAAACTAGAGCCGAGCCAAACTAACCATAATGCAATTTTGACAGATAATTGTTTGACTCAGTAGATTCGAAACACCTAAAGAAAATACATGTGGATTTAAATTTTCTAGAGTACATTGTTTCTAATAAGTGCATGCTCTGCGACCTATTACAAATATTTTTGATCTTACTGAATCACCATTTTTTTTCTTTGCGTGAATGTGAACCTTCGCAGGATTGTTGCTGCTCGTGTTAGCATGGATGGCATAGAAGAGTTTCTTTCACTTGGATTTTGAAAAAGACCAATCGCCACTTGTAAATCCCAAATTTCTATCACTATTCACTACTATAGAAATACAAATGAGATGCTTTTCTGTCGAGGAGGGAGATTGGGTAACGGGATGTGGAAACATGGTCACTGGGTTTATGCATAGACTTGTGGGAACGAGGGAGTTGTTGGGTAGATAGGTCAATTATATGTTTGATTCTCAATTAAATTTGGATAATGTATCACCAACATCTGATTAATAAGAAACTTCAGGGTTTTTTTTTATTGAAAAGTCTTCCATATATTTACTTACCCATGCAATTTTCTTTCATTACTATTTGGGTAAATTGCAAGTTTGCTCACTGGGTTTATCAAATTATTTCACCTTTGTCACGAAAAATATTTTATTACACTCGTGGCCGGTTATTAAGATTAGTTCAATTGTTCAAGTTAGAACACTAACCGTTAAACTCCTTAACTTTATCCAATATTTATATCATAATCAACCCTTATAATTAACTTTATTTGAGCTTGGCCCGACGTGAAAGTTTGACAGTCAAATTGGACGGTCAACTCTATTGACCATTAGTCAAGCGCCATGTCACTTGCCATTTCAGCAAACCCGAAATAAAAAAGTTGGATTTGCAATTTATTTAATTCATTTCATTTTCAAATAAAAATAATAATTAACAAGAAAAATAACTCAAAAATTTGGATAAAGAAAAATAATTCCAAAAATTCCAAAATCCAAAATTTTATTTTGGGTTTGCTAACGTGGCAAGTGATCGACGCTTGACTAATGGCCAATAGAGTTGACCGTCTAATTTGACGGTCAAAACCCGCGCATGGTCAAAACAATGAAATATGGTGCATAATTCGAACCAGGGGAGCAATTTCACAAAACCACAAACCAAAATAAAAAGTTTGAATATAGTTTGAACCAAACTCAAATAAAAATACAAACCTACTTTAATCCCTACTTTCTCAGGTCTTCACATTCCTAACATTCTACAAATTACTTTCCCCCTTTTCCGTTCATTGCTATACTACTTCAGATTTCCTTTTCCGATGGGGAAACAAAATCCTTCTATCTATCCAACTGGCTCTTCAATTCTCTATATAAACAGCACACGGCCTTAGCTTTGCCCATTCACCAACCCCATCCGATTGCTAATTGCTAATTGCTAATTGCTCCCTTCTCGCAGCACAGAAATCATACCCTAGAGGAATTGCGAAAATGTCGACGGCCGCGGCGGCAGAGAAGAAGTTGATCACCCTGAGGAGCAGCGACGGCGAGTCGTTCGAAGTGGAGGAGGCGGTGGCGATGCAGTCCCAGACGATCAAGCACATGATCGAGGACGATTGCGCCGACAACGGAATCCCTCTCCCCAACGTCACCGCCAAGATCCTCGCCATGGTCATCGAGTACTGCAAGAACCACCACGGGTCTCCTGACGGCGCCGCGGAGGACGGCCTGAAGAATTGGGACGCGGAATTCGTGAAGGTCGATCAGGAGACGCTCTTCGACCTAATTCTGGCGGCCAATTACCTGAACATCAAGGATCTGCTGGATCTTACCTGCCAGACGGTGGCGGACATGATCAAGGACAGGACGCCGGAGGAGATCAGGAAGCATTTCAACATCCCCAACGACTTTACCCCTGAGGAGGAAGAAGAGGTTCGCAGGGAGAATCAGTGGGCTTTTGAGTGAAACGCGCCGTAGGAAGGCAACGAAAATCTAAGTGATGATAGTGGTGGCAGTATAGAAGTTAAGTTTTTTTTTTTTTTTTTTATCAGGAGTGGTAGTTGTATTAGTAAGTAGAAATCTGATTTCTTGCAATGTTTTAGCAGTTTTGTTTGACTTCTGTCGTGCGAAACAATTATTTAAATTAGTGAATGCTTATATGATATATGGTTTGATTTTTCTATTTACCGGAGGCATAGAGATGCCAAAAAGAATTGTGGCTCACTGAGAGTTAAAGAAACAGGGTAAAATTAAAACGAAAAATGAAGCGGCAACACATGATGAATGAAATGACGAGTAAATTCATTCTCATTAGATCTTGAACGCAAATGTGATGAAGGTCGGGAGGGGGCTTCTAGTTCAAACGTTTCAAAATGATAGATGAGATTGCACTTTAGAAGTCAACTGCGATTATATTTAGTTTATGATATGTGCGAATCAAGCCAATCACTCTCCCTTGTGATCACTTTCAACGAACATAGCTTACAAACACACTAAATAATATGACAATTGTCTTCTTCTGGTGGAAATACCTTACCTACCCTCCCTTTCCACTAAATCCATGTTTTTTGTCTTTTTGGCCCCTTATCGAGTTATCGTGGACACAAAAAAGTGAAAAAATCCTACATTTTCCTCTCTTTATGGGAGATGGTCTAAACCGAGCATAGTTAGTAAATACTCCATTTAATATGTATATGTATTCTTACGTACTTTATCCGTTTAAAACTTTTGTATTTATATTATTGTCAAGCCGTTTTATTTTTGTACGTTCATTTGATGGCTCCCGTATTAAACCCGGATAAAATCCGTATAACACGTTTAATATATGTATTTAATGAATTAAATGACTAACTTTACTATTATTAATTAATTTATTTATTTTTAAAATATTTATTTTTTCTATATTTATGACAATTGACTTACTATTAAACGTAACATTAGCATAGAGATGAAGTAAAATACACGTATGTATTTTATACGTAAATTTCCCGTATCGTATTTTACTAACTATGAAACGGAGAGCGAATGCCAACTCTTCTTCGTGTATTCACTATAAGCTGTAGCACCCAAAATTATCGTTTCATTAAAATGATACTCCATTGCTTATGGGGTTTTCCTAAGCCCGCCAACATTATGTTAGAAACCTCATATTAAGGCGTCTTGTGTTTAGGGTTCTGAGATCGGCATTGATGGGGATTTGGGGTTAGAGATTCAATAGGGGTAGATATGAGAGAAAGAGTGGGTCGGCGGCCAGGGATGGGCGACGATGATGATGGTGAGGAAAGAGAGAGAGTTCAGTCGAGAATGAGAGAGAGAGTGGAGATATTAGGATTTGGAAAATTAATAATTATGTTGTGTATTTGCTTACTGAGAAAATATTAAGGTTGTCAATTCGGTTTAGCCCGTTGGTCCGGTCGAATAAGTGGGTTGAGGGTTAATGGGCCTAACGTACGTTTTAGTCTGGTTTAGTCTGAATATATGAAAAAGTCATAATATTGTTCATACATATATAAATTATGTCAAATCTCAGTGAATAATAACATATAAAATTATACTAAAATAACATGTCGTACTTGGATCCAACATTTAATGAAAATTTACACACACTTAGATAAAATCAACATTCAAATGTTCAACTTAGAATTCCAACGATAGGGTTAGGCAAAGAGGAAAACCGAAAAAATAGGCGCATTTCACAAACTGAAGGAAAAACGAAACCTTGTGATCTCCAACCCGATAACCTTGCAGCGCGTCGACACGGTGGGTGTGTACGAGCCGTTTTTCTTAACGGATCAGGGTCAAAACAGACCAACCGATGGGTCGACCCGCGGGTTGACAACCTCGGAAAATACCTACTAATTACAAAATATATAACCCGAATAATTCCCACTAACTACCCAGAATAATATCTCATGACATAAATAATCAAATAAACCCAAATGTGCCCAAACACAAATAAAATTACAAACAAGTCCAAGTCCCGAAATCACCCCAAAAGTGGGTTTCTAACAATCCATCCCTCTCGAAACCAACCTTGTCATCAAGGTTGGACCGGCGCACCATGGTTCTCCTTGACCTCCTCTACTACGAGCTCATCGGTCTCATCCTCCAAATTGTCCACGAGAAGCATCAAGTGATCCTTGGCGCATTGGTGCCCAGCGATATACCTCACATCGCAGTTGCCATTGCTTATTCGGTATTCTAGGAGCTCTCTGCTGCACATTGAGACAATAAGCCTATCCAGATTACACAGTAATGAGGACCATTGGCACCATCTCTCCTCCATGGACAAGGAGTTTTTTCTGCATATTCTTCCTATGGTTGTGCCAAGAAGCCCGTCCTTGTGCTTCTGCTCCATCTACACCGGTGTAAGCTTCACGAAACCTCAAGGCACTAACCTGGGGTCCTGTCGCCCGTTTGGTAGCATTGCAACCGTCGATGCTGGCATGGCTCTGGCTGGAGTCGCGGCCATGACTTTCGTCATACCGCCAGCTCCCGCATTCTCGCCAACTTCCTTATGAACTTGTGCATTGCTCCCCTTCCAGCTGGTCAGCTCCTCTTTCTTGCGCACTGCTAGACGAAAGGCCACCCTCAAGAAACCGGTTTCAAACGCCTTAACCACTGCAGCTAACTCCGACCTCAAACCTACAAGACACAGACCAACCAAACTCTCCTCTGCCATACCCTGTCACATATTTCCCAGCCTTAGGAAATTCAATCGGAACTCTTCCATAGTGCTTGTCTGCTTCAGCTTAGCTAGCTGCTCTAGAGCCCACCCTTATGATTTCTCAAACTTGTATTGTAACTCTTCCTTGAACCGATATATTTGTCAGACTGGTATACTACAAGTACTTTTAGTGAGATATCTCTATTTAGACTATGAATGAAACCAAGTTTGAGGGTTAATAATATACCCTAACCTCTAAATAATAAACCCTGGGCCCTGATTCTCTAGAGCCAAACTTTATTTTCAATTTAATAGAAAATAATGATTGATCATTGAGTTTGGTCGGAAATTAGAATTAATCAAAGTACATCTAATAGTTAGATCATTTAGGGTATACTATACTCTTGAAGTATACGAGTTTTTATCATCTAGAATTTCTCAACACCTTGTCAAAGCTTGTTGGAAGAAGTCTCCATGTTCAAACTTTTTGTAAGAGGAGATAAGCTTCATTATTTCAAATTACCTTTTAACACCATATCTTAATCTGCAATTTGGAGCAGCTCTGTGAACTTCTCGAATTTTTCTCGGGTGACCACCTTTGTCATGATATCTGTTGATTGATTATTGGTGTTGATAAATTCCATCACTATTTCTTCGTCGTTGACAAGATCTCGGATGAAATGATGACACAATTCCAAATGATTTGATCTTGCGTGAAACACTGGATTCTTTGTCATGCCTATAACTGACATGTTACAACTTACAATTAATATTGATAACCTACATTAACATTTCATTTTCAACAATTTCGAACTTAAAAAATGACAGAATCACCGATTCCCGGTCCTACTGTTATTTTTACTTTTTGTTGGTTGACTATTAATATTTTTTATTTTGTTGAAGTTAATTTTTATTTAAATCATGCTGCATAAAAAAGTAGATTTGTTATAATAATAAAGGTTTGAGTTTCTACCAAAAAAAATTCAAATCCTTTTCTTATGCGGAAAATCCCTTGTGCTAGCTTCTAGCAAGTACTATTCCTTTTCCGTTCTGTACTTCCTTCCCGTTTCCTTTCCCTATGCGGTCTGTGAAAACCCTGGCTCTTCAATTCTCTATATATAAACAGCACAGATCTTGCTCGCCGATTCACAAAGAAAAAAACCCCATTGATTGCTTATCGCTCGCGGCGCAGAACACATAACGAAGAGAAATTAAGCAGAATTGCCACAATGTCGACTGCAGAGAAGAAAGTGATCACCCTGAAGAGCAGCGACGGCGAGTCGTTCGAAGTGGAGGAAGCCGTGGCGATGCAGTCCCAGACGATCAAGCACATGATCGAGGACGACTGCGCCGACAACGGCATCCCTCTCCCCAACGTCACCGCCAAGATCCTCGCCATGGTCATCGAGTACTGCAAGAAGCACCACGATTCTCCCAAACCTGACTACGCCGGCGCCGTGGAGGACGAAGCTATGAAAACTTGGGACAAGAAGTTCGTGAAGGTCGATCAGGACACCCTCTTCGACCTAATCCTGGCCGCCAATTACTTGAACATCAAGGAGCTACTGGATCTGACCTGCAAGACCGTGGCGGACATGATGAGCGGAAAGACACCGGAGGAGATCAGGAAGATTTTCAACATTAAGAACGATTATACTCCTGAGGAAGAAGCAGAGGTTCGCAGGGAGAACCAGTGGGCGTTTGAATGAATCCTGGTAGTATAGCATTAGTAGCAGCATTGTTACTTTATTTTAGACTAGTGCGGTATTAGGATATTTTTGTCGGAGGAATTCTTAGTGAACTTTTGAGGTTTGTGAGTTGAATTTTATTATTTTGATTTAGTGAATGATTTTGTGCAATTATCAACTGGTCTGCCAATTTTGAGATCAGGCATGCTGTTCTTGTAGGAGCCTTTAGCAGTCGCGAAGCCGCCGCGATATCTCTAACAAGCTGACATGAACCCTTCGCGCTTCCCCTTCCTTTCGACGCTACGGTGTTTGCATTCATGTGGTTGTGGTGTGCATTTGGGGATGAGTTAGCGTGGTTACTTAATTTTTAATAATCATGGTGGTTACCTTAATCTAAACCATTCATTATTTCTTTTTTATTCTATTTTTAAATTAATGATGGAGATTATATTAGGGTAATTTGGGAAATAAAAAATATACCACACCTGATTACTTTATAAATTATACCCAAACCCTAACCCTACTATAATCTGCCGCCTACCACCACACTCCCTCCCCACTATCTCCCGCCGTCCACCCTCCCTCCCTCCCGAGAACCCTCTCCACCACCGGCCGGCCGACCATCCTCCCATCCACCACCCTCCTCCATTCCCCTCCTCTCTCGCGTAACCTCTCATCCCCCCTCCCTCCATCCCTAGCAACCCCCCATCTCCCTCCCACCATTGCATCGTCACTTTTGAATCTTCCTCCGACGTTGTTGACGGCGGCGCTGGGTTCCGAACATGGATCGCCGGTCGAGGTCGTGGTCAGAAACGGGAACCCGATCAGAGAGATCAAATACAGTTTGCCGGAGAGCGTTCAGCTTTGCTTCTGCAGGTAATCTAGAATGGTAGAGTTTGCATTGGTAGAGGATTTGCTTTGGTAGCTATCTTGCATTTTATTATGGTAGTGTTTGCATTATGCTTTGGTAGTGTTTGCATTATGCTTTGGTGGTTACCTGCATTTTCTTTGGTAGTGTGCATTACGCTTTGGTAGTTACATGCATTTGTGTTGGTTAGATGGAGCATTATGTTTTGGTAGTTATCTGCATTTGGTTTGGTAGTGTTTGCATTATGCTTTGGTAGTTTGTCTGTATTTGTTTTGGTAGTGTTTGTATTGATTTATTTATGCAATGGTATTGTTTTGATTTCACGGTAGTAGTGGTATTTGTTATTTTGGTATTTGTTTCACTTTTGTAACGGTATAGATTATTTATATTGGTAGTTTTCGTGTAATGGTATAGATTTATTTCTGCAATGATATTGATGTTTTTCAAAATGGTAGTGGTTTTCTAATGGATTGGTAGTGATTTCATGTTTTTTTTTTTGCAGAAAGATTGAGAAAAATATGGAAAGGAGATCTGGCTGGAGATTACGGAAGTGAGAGAAAGAGAAAGAATTGTAATTAATAGATTTTTGTAACTACCTAAAATATAATTTATTAAAATTAATATAATTTATTTTTCCATACCCAATTTACCCTTAGTAACCATGGTGATTACTATTTTGTAGTATTCACCGTAACCGCTCCCGTGCATTTGGTGCAAAGTAGTAGGCTTTGAGCATTATCTTGCAGCATAGTTATGATCGAAAAGAACTTGCCTTTGCACTTCAGTGAATCCAACAAGCATGAAAGAAACGCAACAGAATGTGCAGTGGGTTCTTTAAACGATAAAGGACATCCAAACCTCGAGGTTCGATAAGAATAAAAGTCCCACTAAAAACATCTAATCCAGATCACAAGTTCAATTGATCTCCCATATCCAGCATACCTTTTTCTTATTTTGTGACCCCAAAATGAGTTTTCTCCCAACTTTCCAAAGTGTACTCCGAGGCCTGCAATTGGCGTCTGTGATCATGCAGAGAGCTTAGCCTTCAACTCAGCAGCAACAGCATCGATGAACTCCTCCGTGTTAAGGTAAGTGTCCCTGCTCAACCTGCATACACACCATCCACAAGGATCAAAGTTATTTCAACGAAGCGAGCATGGAGCCTAGTAGATGAACCATGTCAAACTGCTGGTGTTGGCACTCACTTGGATCCATGAATAATCAGAGCAAGATCTTTGGTCATCTTGCCCGACTCTACCGTTCCGATGCATGCTTCTTCCAGCTTCTGGGTGAAATCCAAGAGTCCAGCATTGTCGTCCAACTTTGCCCTGCCAAAAGCCACAAAAGTTTTATTATGCGAGCCTTATTTTTTGAAATGAGAGCTACTTTTAAGACGCAGTTTCCTTAAAGACTACTTTTGATCAAGTAAAAAAATAATGAAATCCATAAGGATGGGTGGTATCAGACCTGTGTGCAAGTCCTCTTGTCCAAGCAAAGATAGATGCAATACTGTTTGTGCTGGTTTCACCACCTTTCTGGTGAACCCTGTAATGGCGGGTGACTGTACCATGTGCTGCCTCTGCCTCTATAGTCTTTCCATCTGGGCACACCTGAACAGAACATAATAAAATTCGCGTTAATGGATAAGAGGAGAATGGTGGGAAAACAGCACCGAAAACACAACAAAGGTTTAAGAGAAGTAAAAGTTCCGGTGAAAATAGGGAAGATTTGGAGAGAGCTCTTCAGCAGCAACAGAAGTACAGAACCAACAACAATGAGCAATAATGGCTTAAAATCTCAAGCGCATGAAGTACAGCAGGAGAACGATTAAAAGTTCTCCCTTCAATGATTTCAGAACAAAAGGTAACACAATATGAGCAGCAGTAAATGCTAAGACCAAGAAAATGAGCTGTATAAAAGAAAACAAAAGCAAGAAAGTAATCGGGGCTGTCTTCTTAAGGAAACTAATCAAGAATGTTGACGTACCAGTACCGAAGTCATCAATCCAAGAGATCCAAAACCTGCAGAACCAACCCAAAAGTTATATAAGAGATTCTCCTGATAAATGGAGCACAAGCAAAACCCAGGAATAGCACAAAGATTCAACGTGAGAATCAATACTCAGTCTGACAAAAGCTTAATCATTTCTTAAATTGGTTAAATAGAGATATCAGGATGGTAGGTTTTACGTGCCTTGGGCTAACATATCGCTCTGCACATCTCCGTCATAATTCTTGCATGCCCACACATAGCCCCCTTCACTCTTAAGGCAATAAGCTACCATATCATCGATGAGCCGATGCTCATACCTACAAGATCAACCATTTTGAGTGAGAATTAAAGCATCAAGAGAACAAAGATTGTACTAAGAACCAAAAGTTATGTAAGAGGCACTACTCACCATATACCAGCAGCCTCATACTTCGTCTTCCAGCTGGCTTCATATACTTCTTGAAATATGTCCTTGAATCTTCATTGAAACAAACAAAAATCAGTTCAAGTAACCAAAAGAAAGGAAGGGAAAACCATGACTAATACAGTATGCAAGATTGTGAAAGTAATAACCAAAAGAAAGGAACATACCTTCCATCATACTTCTTCAGAATTGTATTTTTTGTGCTAAGATAAAGAGGCCACTTCTTCTCAAAAGCAGTGGTCATAGAAGCCTCAGCAAATGCACGGATTGACTGCATTCCATGGTATGTTAAGAGAACAGCATTTCCCCTAAGAAAAATTAACTGAAGGAACTTAAAAACACACATACCTCATCTGTGTTGTACATGGACAAAGCTACACCACCAGCACCTGTGAAATTGTAGACTTCTATATCTTGCTTCTCACCTTCACCTTCTGGAACTGCAGCATTTTGGACAAATTACTTAAGTATTCGTGGATAAAGGAAAACAAAAAGTTACCATGACAACATATTGCAGAAAATTAGTTCTGAGAAAATATAAGTTGCAATGCTGCTCATAAATTGAGCTCATATACCTCTCACATCTCTTACATTCCTTTTGAATAAAAAACGGAAGTAAGCTATGCGGAAAAGAATGAAATATCAATGCATAAGTATGAAATGGCAAGGACAAGAATATACCAAAGACCAATTTGAGTTTGCCAGGCCCTTTAATGACAGAATCTGTTGCTCTATATTGATCACCAAAAGCATGCCTACCGATGCAGATAGGCTTAGTCCAACCTTTAACATGTCAGCAGCAGAAACAGGTTAGCCAACCTCCACAGGATTGGCACAATAGTAAAACAATAATATGATAAATATCTAGATAGGATAAAAGGAAAATACCTGGAATTAGCCGAGGGACATTTTTGCAAATAATTGGTTCTCTGAACACAGTACCTAAAGCCAAACCCACATACCACAGATTAGGGGTGTTCAACAGAGATCTGGTTAATTTTTTTCGTAAAAATATTTAGTTAATTTAGTTTAATTTGTTCTGTTTGGCCTATAGACAATGCTAACCAGATAAATTGCATCATTGTATACTATTTAGGTATTTGATGAGTTTGACAAACACGAAATTGACAATTCAAGCAGGATGCTGAATATTCATATGCCTGGAAATTTGAATGCTGTACTGTTTAACCAATTAACTGGACTAATTAAATTCTGGACATGCTCAATTTGTGTTTGGTGTAAATTTGCTCGGTTTGTTGAATTGTTATGTATAATTGTCTATTGATTCTGAAGCGTAATTGGTTCAATCACAACCAAAAACCAACTACTCGAACAACCCTACCACATTCTAATATTAGAAGTCAATGACTACATGAATGCAATCATTAGAGAAAGTGGGAGAACAATTACCATTCAAAATGTTTCTGATTGTCCCATTTGGGCTCCTCCACATACTTTTCAACGTGTATTCCTTGACTCGATCTTCGTCTGTCAATCATAAGTTAAAGTTATAATCCTTCTCCAATTAAAGAATCCACAATTGTAACAGTAAAGAATCATGCAGAGGGAGTAGATAATCCTTTCCGACCAAATGGAAGCCTACCTGGTGTAATTGTTGCACACTTGATTGCAACATTGTACCTTATCAAGGGGGAAAGAAGAATTCAGCGAACACAAACTTACCAAGAGAAACACAAACTAGTCACAAGCTTATAATTCCAATAATAGGAAGATGATCAAATGTGATGTTATCCCATCCATGACACAAAGCACAAGCAGCAAGAGTTGAAGGTAGCACATAGAAAGCACATGTATCACTGCATACCAGTACTTCTATTGTATTTAATGCTTACTTGTGAATTTGTTAGTAGATCAGGGTACCAATTGATATTAGAAAACTTAACCATCATAAAACTACCTCGCTAGCACAAGAAGTGTAGTAATATATTCAGAATAAAGAGGGGATATAAAAGAGACAGAGAATGTATGCAAGACTCACAAAAATTTGGAAATGTGATAAAATGTTCATATAAGAGATACCTCGTAGAAACTATGCCAGAAAACTTACTTGAGAGTAGCCTCAGCGCTCTCAACGGTAACCTTATCATCAGTTGCATCACGATGTGGAAGGCCAAGGTCAAAGTACTTTATGTCCAATTCCAAAAAGGGAAGAATAAGCTGGACAAGGAATCAAAACCGAGAATTCAGAGGTTGCAAAACATGACGCATTGCGTTGAAAATGGTAAAGAATTGCTTTCTTAATGACCAGAACATAAATCCTTAAGTACCTTATCCTTAATGGACTTCCAGATGATTCGGGTCATTTCATCTCCTGCAAAAGACAAACATATATGTGAATCACTGATTCAATCAATACACATCAATTGAAGCGACCAAACAGCAACGAACTCCCAGATGAAAGCTTTCGAGAAATAGCATCAAGAACAACCCAAACATGACATCCGTGCTTGTACAGTTGTACCAAGTCCCCTCATAAAGTCAGCCAGACACACTCCATTAACAGTAGCCTCCTCTACAGATTAAATGACGACTGACTAGAGGACCCTCTGCCTATGGCTTCCGAATAAGATATACAAAGCGAAACTCCCATTACTATGATCCTGCATCTAGGATAAGAAACTCCTTTTTATGCATCAGCCATTCCCGTTTCTCAGTAAGACTGTGGTGACAACAAAACACCGAGTACATTTCCCTCTCTCCCCAGATTCGAGATCGCACATCAAATTAGAAACACGTTTCCAAATCACGATTACAATCTTTGAACCGCAACACAAGCAAATAGAACAAATAAAAAAGCCAACGAACGAAACAAATATGAAACGATTGCATGGTGATCAACAGCAAAGGAGGAGAAGACCTCACCGTCCATCTCCACGATGGGGTTAGCAACCTTGATCTTCTCCAAAGCCATGGCTGGTTTCAGGAGGAGGAGTAGCTAAGGATTTAGGATGATGTTCCGGGGATCGGAGTTTTTGGGAATGTTTCTTTCGTTGTTGACTTGCTGTTCGTCTCCGCCTCTCCGGTAGTGGCAGATGGTAGGTGAAAGGATGAACAGGTTTAGTGCGCTTCGTCTCGGAGAATATAACGAGGTGAAGCAAAATGACGGGGAGACGAAAATAAAAATTAAAAGGGAAAGAGAGGTATTGTTGGATTTTTTTCATAAATATTGGATTTTTTAAATATATTATTTACAATATTGTATTTTCATCAATAATCTAAACAATACTTTAAGAAGGTTCTTCCTTAGGGGTGGAAGTTTGATTTGCGGTTTTGTGGGGTAAGGAAGTTTGGTTTGCGAGTTTGAAGGTTACCGCATCAAATCGCACACTTTGTGGATACCCATACCCACAATTTGTGGATAGTGGGTTGGGTGGGTGTGACCGTGTGAGTAGCAAAATATTGATTTTTGTGGTTAGTGGTTAACCACTACCCACAAACGGTTTACCCACAAAACACACATTAACCATATTAGTTAAATTTATTTCTCCAAAATACTTTGCAACCCACATTAACCACATTAGTTTTATTAGTTTGTGAAACTTGGAAGATTAAGAATTAAAGTAGTTACCAAAATCAAATTCGCCCTAATTCTATAAAACAAAAACAAGTCAATATGCAATGTTCATGTGAGATAATTTTATCAAATAAGCATTGTCCGTGTGGTATATGTTAATTTTATAACAAAACCAAGTCCATAGATATAGTCAGATAAATTAATCGATTCGTTAAAAGAGGGGAATAATCGATAAAGGTTAGTCTGATACCCAAACTCATCTCCATTTCTCCACGAACTCACGAACAACACAACATGCAACCAACTACCAACAATACAATACTATAATCGAGAGTGGAGAATAATCGATCATTAAAAGCGGGCGCCTCCACTTACCGAGTCACTTTTGTGTTTTGCTGTTGTCGCCATCGGAGGAGCCGTGACACGCAACGATGTTTGTCTGGTAACAAGTCACTCCGCCTCTCCGTTATCTTCAAATCTCTTTCCAAATCCATCTCTTCTGAATTTACACTAACTAACCTATTGTATTCGAGAATTATAATTTATTTAACCCTTTATTAACTTTCTTTTATATATGTTTTTGTTTTTATGTGAGAAGAAACACAACATCACTATTTAATTATCATATTATATAACTAATGTGAGATTTTTATGGGTATCCACAACCAACCCGCAACGGGTAGTACTACCCACTGTGGGACGGGTTGTGGGTAGCATAATTCTATATTAACCACTTCCCGCTGCGGGGCGAGTTGTGGGCGAGTTGTGGGTAGCATAATTCTATATTTGTGAGTGTGGTTACCTGCAAAATGTGGGGCGGGTAACCACACCCACCCCAATTTCTACCCCTATTCTTCCTCCACAGTCCACACCTACTCAAACTCGTTTTTTCTAACTCATGCACAGCTCACAGAAGGGTCATTTAGGGCATGTTTGGAGGTTATGATTCATACAATTGATGTATTCTATCAATAAGTGTATTGTAAATATATGTATTCTATCAATTGTTGTATTTGACAAATCCCTTGTTTGGTGTTGTATATTGTACTTTTCACATAACCTAAAAAGTGGCGCACTTTTCAGGTTGAAGGACATAATTGCCCTTCACCAACTCCTTCTTCCTTTAATTCCATTTCAGCTGGCGGGGAAGGGTGTTAGGTCTGGTAAAGCAGCAGTTCGTGCAAAATAGCAGTGAGTTCCTGCCACATGACGGATGCGCAGCGGTTCCGGCGAATCCCCGACGACGACTAATAAGACATCTCTGTAATTTGCAAGTGTGGCTCTCCTGCAATCGTTAGGACATCGCATACAACGGGCAATCCGAATAGAAGGTTCTTCGGCTGCCCAAAATGGAGTCCAGAACAGGTGATGTCTTCAGTTGTGCTGGTTTCTTGTCTGTTTCACACTTTCACTAACAGAGGGCTTCACTATGCAGCCCGCGAAGGCCTATCGTTTCTTTGTTTGGAAAGATGTACAAATGGCAGTTGAGAAGGAGAAGCACAAATATGAATTATTGATTTCTGGCTTGAAGATGGAGAATGCTCTTTTGAGGGAAGAGAATGAGGCACTTCAAGAACACAGCAATGAGCTCCAGGAAGAGGTTGCTGAACTGCTGGTCGAAAGGCTACATCTTCAGCCTGACATTTGCTCATATGAGCTCTGTATGCATAGAAAGAAGGAGTTACATGAAATTAAAGCAAGGTTGAATGTTCTAGAGTCCAAGTTGTCTGGTTAATGTAAGCTTATCCATAATGGAATTTTTTTGGGAGGTTTTTCTACAAGGGGTGTTCTGTAATGGTTGGATTGTAAGGGGTGACTTGTAAGCAAGTGATTAATGACTTTGTTAATGTAAGTTTGTCATTGTGCAATAGTGAGAAGTTCCATTTGTTTGTTCTATGCTAGAACACTGCATTTGTTGTTGTCCAAATAAAACCAGCATTTCATTACAAGCATAAAATCTAACCTATCATAGTACTCTGCATTACAAAAGGAGTTGGAAAGAACTGTTGCAAATTACAATCCTACTAGTAGTTCCAACTACACCTAAGGCCTCCTTCGTCTCTAAGAAGGTTGCATAGTTTTTGAAAAGTCCTACAATTCATTCTAACCAGCATGGTGCAAGGTATGTCGCCGTGGGAAACAATACACCACATGAAAGAATTCCTAGCTAATTGTCTAGAAATCAGTGTCTCCCAAGCAGAAACATGCTCTATAGCTTGAAAACCTTCAGATTCTAATGCATCATAATACTGTATAATCAGCCTAATGAAATTGAATAAGAGGTCCAAATACATAGACACTGCAGCAATTATTGCCTTCTTCCTTTGCTTGGGGCACCTAGCCATGACCTACGACATAAACATCTGATTTACTGGGCTGAAATGAGGTAAGAAAGGATTGTCAAAAGAGAGTACATATGGGTAACATACCTGTTCAATAAATGGAATGATAACCACGTAGAAATTTTGGTTGGTCTCCTTCAATTCCCGGCTGAAATACAAAGCCCTTCTTCTTTCGATCCAGGACGATTTCCGATGGCAGGATATAGCTACTGTCCTGGCTTCGTCGTGATGGTGATGCACTGATGCCTAATGATTGCAAATAAAGGTTCAACCGATTTTGCATACCAACACCTACCATAGCTACAATGTTCCAAATTAAAGGTTCAACCAATTTCCATTCTTTACTAACCAATGTTTCAAATTAAAGGCTCTAACCCTAGTAAACAAAATTAACGCCTGGCAACTATTCCCCTTCCAAGCTACAAACACAATTCTAGAAAATTCCACCTGCCACAACCCCTCAGGAAGACAAATCCCATAGCATTTGCTTCCAATAGATAAACTTTTTAAGAACTCGAATCGAAGGACTAACCTGTTCAAGATGAAGCTTTTCACCCGGCGAGCGCGGCCATAAAAGGACACCACGCCGATCGACCTGGGTGGAGAGGCAGAGGAGTTCAACGATTGGTCTCCTGGAATTCCGACGCGGATCGTCGAGGGAGGAACAGGGAAGCTTTTTCCCTTATTTGGCTTCTGTGTTTGTGTGTCGATGGAAGGAGAGAGAGTTAGTGGAGGATTAGGTTAATGTTGGTATAAAGAAAAGAAAGCAAGGATAGAATTGGAATAGAAAGTTAGGCCAAAATCATTTGTTTACCGAACAAATGATTTTGGCCTACAATCTCTACTTTAACGAGAGATTGTAAATAATTCATTATGAGGGATTGTGAGTGAACTCCATAAAGGTAATTCATGTATTTGAGCCCAAATTAAACCAAAAAAACAACTTAATCTCCTCAATATATGTATTGGCTGAATCATTCAAACTAACAACCCCTTAGTCTTTCACTAAACAGGCGACGGAATTATGAATTTATGAGATGGGCCTCTAGCCTGCTACTCCAGTCTCCACCCACGTTCAGCCCTTCCCATTCTCATTCCCATTCCCATATGATTATTACAATTTTTTGTTCTTTAAAAACTCGTTCTTAAACAATTGCATATTTGGATGCATTTATTATGGCGGAGAATTGCCTTCTCTAATAGAAGTAGTATTCCATAGATCGATTTTTTTGGCAAAAAATATTGACCTAATTTAGATTTACACACAATCAATCTCATAATTAATTGACCCAAACATACCGTTTGGTATAAATGAATTCCATAAGTTTTTAGGAATTCATTTTGAAATGAAATCTTTTTGTGTTTGGTATTTAAAAGAATTCATTTTCAATTCTAAATTTTGAACTTCTACATATATTATTTGGCGCCAATTCATGCAGTATGAGGAACGTCGTCAAGAATTTGATTGTAACGCTAATAGCATATACCAAACACAAGAATTCATTTGACAATGATACTATACAGGAATTCATTTTAAAACGAATTAATTGACCCTAGGTTAGTAGGTTACCCTAATTAAACCCTAATAAATCCCATAATTGTCCTTTGCCTTCGCGGAAAAGCCTTGTGTTAGCTTCTAGAAAGTACTACTCCTTTTCCGTTCTGTACTTTCTTCCAGTTCCCCTTTCCTTATGCGGACTGGGAAAACCCTGGCTCTTCAATTCTCTATATAAACAGCAGAGGCCTTGCTTTGCCGATTCACAAACCTCATCCATTGCTATTAACTCCCTTCTCGCAGCAATCGCCAAAATGTCGACGGCCGCGGCGGCAGAGAAGAAGGTCATCACCCTGAAGAGCAGCGACGGCGAGTCGTTCGAAGTGGAGGAGGCGGTGGCGATGCAGTCCCAGACGATCAAGCACATGATCGAGGACGACTGCGCCGACAACGGAATCCCTCTCCCCAACGTCACCGGCAAGATCCTGGCCATGGTGATCGAGTACTGCAAGAAGCACCAAGGGTCTCCTGACGGCGCCACCGCCAATGCCGCCGGCGCGGACGACGGCCTGAAGACTTGGGACGCGGATTTCGTGAAGGTCGATCAGGAGACGCTCTTCGACCTAATTCTGGCTGCCAATTACCTGAACATCAAGGATCTGCTGGATCTTACCTGCCAGACCGTGGCGGACATGATCAAGGACAAGACCCCGGAGGAGATCAGGAAGCTTTTCAACATCGTCAACGACTTTACCCCGGAGGAAGAAGAAGAGGTTCGCAGGGAGAACCAGTGGGCTTTTGAGTGATAAAACCCTGTTTCTGGTAGTGGTGAAAGAATATTAGCAGCGTTAGTATTTGTTTTAGTCGTGGAATTCCAAGTGAAATTCCCTTTCCTTGTTTTTCTATTCCACTTGGTAGTAAACTTTTTGAGGATTTTGTGTTGAACTATTGTTTCGATTTTGTGAATGATTAGTGGAATGTCTTTTGAGTGGATGATAATTTAGCATGTGAACTAGTACCGCAAATGTAGTACCGCAAATGAGCCGAGTCGAGTTGCGCAATCTCACTAGCAAACTAACGTAAAACCTAATCAAAACCCCAACATGAGCCAAATTGTTCATTTAGTTTTGATTGAAAACAAGTACCATTCACATTCGCAACCCACTAAGCAGGAAAGAAACGCAACAGCATGAGCAGCGGGTTGACATCCAACCTCCAATTGAAAGAAAAATCTGATTGAAGACATCCGACCCAGATCGTAAGTCCAACTGATATCCCAAACCCTTTGATTATTTGTGTAAGCAAATCTCCTCCAGACTTTCCAAAGTGTACTCCTGAGTCCTGCGATTGGCATTGATGATCAAGCAGAGAGCTTAGCCTTCAACTCAGCAGCAACAGCATCGATGAACTCCTCCGTGTTGAGGTAGGTGTCCCTGCTCAGCCTGCATACAAGGATCAAAGTTATTTCAACGAAGCAAGCATGGAGCCTAGTAGATGAACCATGTCAAAACTGCTGGCGTTGGCACTCACTTGGATCCATGAATAATCAGAGCAAGATCTTTGGTCATCTTGCCCGACTCTACCACTCCGATGCATGCTGCTTCCAGCTTCTGGGTGAAATCCAAGAGTGCAGCATTGTCGTCCAACTTTGCCCTGCCAAAAGCCACAAAAGTTTTATTATGCGAGCCTTACTTTTTGAACTGAGAGCTACTTCATTTCTTCTAGAGGCAGTTTCCTTAAAGACTACCTTTGATCAAGTCAAAATATAATGAAATACAACAGGACGGGTGGCATCAGACCTGTGTGCAAGTCCTCTTGTCCAAGCAAAGATAGATGCAATACTGTTTGTGCTGGTTTCACCACCTTTCTGGTGAACCCTGTAATGGCGGGTGACTGTACCATGTGCTGCCTCTGCCTCTATAGTCTTTCCATCTGGGCACACCTGAACAGAACATAATCAAATCCGCGTTAATGGATAAGAGGAGAATGATGGGAAAACAGCACCGAAAACACAACAAAGGTTTAAGAGAAGCCAAAGTTCCAGTGAAAATAGGGAAGATTTGGAGAGCGCTATTATCTTTTCAGCGGCAACAGAACCGACACAAATGAGCAATTATTGCTTAAAATCTTAAACGCATAAAGTACATCAGGGGAATTGTAAAAAGTTCTCCCTTCAATGATTTCAGAACTAAGTGTAACACAATATGAGCAGCGGTAAATGCCAAGACCAAGAAAATAAGCTGTATAAAAGGAAACAAAAACAGGGAACTAATCAGGACTGTCTTGTTAAGGAAATTAATCAAGAATGTTGACGTACCAGTACCGAAGTCATCAATCCAAGAGATCCAAAACCTGCAGAACCAACCCAAAAGTTATATAAGAGATTCTCCTGATAAATGGAGCACAAGCAAAACCCAGGAATAGCACAAAGATTAATGTGAGAATCCATACTCCTCAGTCTGACAAAAGCTTAATCATTTCTTAAATTGGTAAAATAGAGAAATCAGGCTGGTAGTTTTTACGTGCCTTGGGCTAACATATCGCTCTGCACATCTCCGTCATAATTCTTGCATGCCCACACATAGCCCCCTTCACTCTTAAGGCAATAAGCTACCATATCATCGATGAGCCGATGCTCATACCTACAAGTCAAACCATTTTGAGTGAGAATCAAAGCATCAAGAGAACAAAGATTGTACTAAGAACCAAAAGTTATGTAAGAGGCACTACTCACCATATACCAGCAGCCTCATACTTTGTCTTCCAGCTGGCTTCATATACTTCTTGAAATATGTCCTTGAATCTTCATTCAACAAAGAAAAAACAGTTCAAGTAATAACCAAAAGAAAGGAAGGGCGAACCATGCAGATCATAAGAAGTGCTTGAAGGAACATACCTTCCATCATACTTCTTCAGAATTGTATTTTTTGTGCTAAGATAAAGCGGCCACTTCTTCTCATAAGCAGTGGTCATAGAAGCCTCAGCAAAAGCACGGATTGACTGCATTCCATGGTATGTTAAGAGGAAAACATTTCACCTACGAAATTTTAATTGAAGGAACTCAAAATTACATATACCTCATCAGTGTTGTACATGGACAAAGCTACCCCACCAGCACCTGTGAAATTGTAGACTTCCATATCTTGAGTCTCACCTTCGCCTTCTGGAACTGCAGCAATTGAACAAGTTACTTAAGTATTCATGGATAAAGAAAAATCAGAAAGCAACCACGTCAACATAATAGAAAAGGGTTAGTTCCGACGAAAATAAGTTGCAAAGCTACACATAAAATGAGTTAATAAACCTTTTTCAGCTCCCACAATCTTGTTGAATAAGAAACAGAAGTAAGCTATGCGGAAAAGAATGAAATATCAACGCATTAGAACGAAATGGTGAAGCCAAGAATATACCAAAGACCAATTTGAGTTTGCCAGGCCCCTTAATGACAGAATCTGTTGCTCTATATTGATCACCAAAAGCATGCCTACCGATGCAAATAGGCTTAGTCCAACCTTTCACATGTCAGCAGCAGAAACAGGTTAGCCACCTTCACAGATTTGGCATGAACTAAAACAGGAATAATAAATATCTAAATAGAATAAAAGGAAAGTACCTGGAATTAGCCGAGGGACATTTTTACAAATAATTGGTTCTCTGAACACAGTACCTAAAGCCAAACCCACATGCCACATATTAGGGGGTGCTCAACAGAACATGTATACTTGTAACCATTTAAACCAATAGGATATGGTTAAATTCTTTGGTAAAAAATTTTAATTAATGTAGTGAAGTCGATCTGTCTGGCCTATAGACAACGCTAACCAGATAAATTGCATTATTATGTTCTATTCAGAGTATTTGATGAGCTTGATAACAAGAGATTTTCTATTGATGTAGAAATTTGAATTCTATACTGGTTAACCAACTAACTGGACTAATTTAAAATTTGGACATGGTTAATTTGTGTTTGGTGTAAAATTCTTCGGTTTGTAGAATTATTATGTTTAATTGTCTATTGATTCCAGAGCTTAATTGGTTCAATCACAACCAAACCAACTATATTTGAAATAACCTATCAAATTCAAAAATTAGAAGTCAATGACCACATGAATGCAATCATTAGAGAAAGTAGGAGAACATTTACCATTCAAAATGTTCCTGATTGTTCCATTTGGGCTCCTCCACATACTTTTCAACGTGTATTCCTTGACTCGATCTTCATCTGTCAATCACAAGTCAAGTTTTAGTCCTTATCCAATTAAAGAATCCACAACTGTAGTAACAGTACACGGATGTTTAGGATGAGCAGATCATCCTTTCCAACTAAATGGAAGCATACCTGGTGTAATTGTTGCACACTTGATTGCAACATTATACCTAATCGAGGGGGAAAGAAGAATTCAGTGAACACAAAGAAGTCACAAGCCTATAAATCCAATAATAGGAAGATGATCAATGTGATGTTATCCCATTTATGACACAAAGCACAGGCAGCAAGGGTTGAAGGTAGCACATAGAAATCACATCTACAACTTGCAGATAACTAATTTTATTATATTTATGCTTACTTGTGAATTTGTTAGTGGATCATGGTAGCAATTAATATTAGAAACCTTATCCATGATAAATACCTCATTCGCACAAGAATTGTAGTAATATATTCAGAATAAAGGGGGGATATAAAATGCCAGGAAGAAGAAGGAACTGGTTCAAACTACAAAGGAAAGGAATGAAAAAGAAAGAGGCAGAATATGTACGCAAGAAATGTGATATAAACATTCATATAAGAGAAACTTCATAGAAACTATGCAGGAAAACTTACTTGAGAGTAGCCTCAGCACTCTCAACGGTAACCTTATCATCAGTTGCATCACGATGAGGAAGGCCAAGGTCAAAGTACTTAATGTCCAATTCCAAAAACGGAAGAATAAGCTGGACAAGGAATCAAAACCGAGAATTCATAAGTCGCAAAACGTAAAGCATTACGCTGAAAATGGTAAAGAATTGCTTCCTAAATGACCATAACACATATCCTTAAGTACCTTATCCTTAATGGACTTCCAGATGATTCGCGTCATTTCGTCTCCTGTAAAAGGCAAACTTGTGAGTGAATCGCTGATCCAATACACATCAATTGAAGCAACAAAACAGCAACAAACACATAACACATTTAGTGAATAGAATCGAATTAACACAGGCAAAAACTGCGCTGGTGGTATTTTCAGATGGAATCTTTCGAGAAATAGCATCAAGAACAACCCAAACATGACATTTGTGCTTGTACCAATGACCCCGATAAAGTCAGCCAGACACAATCCGTTAACAGTAGCCCCCTCCTCTACAGCTTCAACTGGCTTGGACCATGCCCATAGCCCAGATCAAATGGCGACAGTCAGCCAGACACACTCCGCTACCACTAGCCTCGTAGCCCATATTAAATGGCGACTGACTAGAAAAGGTCTCATAACTAAGATCCTGCATCTGGATGAGAAACTCCCTCTGTTTATGTGTCAGTATGGTTGTAGTGACAATAAAACATCGAGTCTCTTTCTATCTCTCTCAGATTCCAGATCGCACTTCAAAATAGAAGCACGTTTCAGATGATCCAAATCACGACCGCAATCTTTCAATCGCAACTCAACCAAATAGATCAAAGGGGGGAAAAAAATTCAACGAAACAAACAGGAAATGATTGCACGGTGATCATCAGCAAAAGGAGAAGAAGATCTCACCGTCCATCTCGACGATGGGGTTAGCAACCTTGATCTTCTCGAAAGCCATGGCTGGTTACAGGAGGAGGAGCTAAGGATTTGGGATGAAGTTCCGGTGAGCGGAGTTCAGGGATTGATTGTTTCGTAGTTTAATTATCGTTCGTCTCCGGTGGTGGGAGATGGTAGGTGAGAAGAGGAATAGCCGAATAGGTTTATAATTTATAATATTGCTTCGTACATCAACGGAGGGGAATAATTTTCCACTTCCTGCAATAGAGTAATGAGCCCCGGGGTTTTCAATTTTCCCGGCCGACAAAGTGCGGCTGTTTTCTTGTATATATTATTATTATATATGAACGAGGTGACTCAGCCAGTCTGCCGTCTGCGGTCCGGCCACTTTTGAAAATCATGAATCACAAGTTGATCCCTCAAAGAGGAAAGGTCGCCTTTTTCCAGTTCCAGGGGGCGTGTTTGGTTGTGGGGTAGTATACCCTAACCAAGGTTCATCTATTCAATTTTGGTACTCACTCAAGAGTCAAGAGGTCATCTTTTGAATAGATGAGACCGTGAGGAAATCAGTCTATTCAGTCAAAATCAAATCGAGTTTGCTTTGAAATCAATTAGCTTTTAGAGTTTGTCTTTTGAATAAGTGAGATTGTAGAAAATCAGTATATTTCTTTTTATAGATGGATACGGGCCATCCTAACTTTCAATCATTACTAGACGGGGCTCAGAAATACCCTGAACATCATACATGATCCAATACATCGAAATGAGGTCAATAATAGGAAAAGAATGGACACCTAGCGGCAAATAACGACCTTGATTAGCAAGGTAGTCGCACACTTGTTACCCTCCCAATAAACATGATAAAAGGCGACCTCCCAATCACGCCTACACAAGGCCTGGATACAATCGGTAATAGCACTATGCTGATGATCTGGGTGCGCGTTGCTGCTGAGAAGGTGGACAACGCATATGGAATCCAACTCCACCCTCACGCGATGATAGCCCAGATCCTAGGCCAGTTGAAGTCCTTCCATAGCGTCTCTCAACTCTGCTCGGGTGATCGAACAGATCCTCAAGTTACAAGCGAACGCTGCAATGCAGTGTCCTGAATGATCTCTAATCAGACCCCCAACTGCAGCAGAGCCTGATTCATGATGCACGAAGCCATCAGAGTTGAGAGTGACCCACTCGGGAGGAGGAGGCTTCCAAGAGATCATCTCCTCCGTTCTAGCGGGCGGACATGTATGATGAGCAATCTTGTCCTTGTCCATGACAGTCCTCACGACAGTTAACCAAGCCAGTACGTGCTGTAGAAAAGCTTAAACTGAGACGAACTTGTTTGCAAAAACGCGGTCGTTTCTAGTCCGCCACAGGGACCATCAAGTGATGTCGAAGGCCAAACCAGTATCCTCCTCGGCTAGATACTTCACAATCCATTCCTGTAGTGACAAACTGAAGAAAGTATGGTATTCAGAAGGTTAGAGTAGCCGCATCCAAGTTAACCTGGCAAAATCACAGTCTCGCAACACAGGCAAGACTGTTTCTGTGTGGGAACGACATGAGACGCACGTCGTCTGATCTCTCAGATGCTACCGATTCTGCTCGACATTGGTTAGGAGCCTATCTCGAACTGCAAGCCAAAGGAAATGCTAAACCCGAGCTGTCCCCCTCCATTTCCAGATGATGCGCCAATCAAACTCTCGCTCCATCTGCTCATGGTTAACTGCTAGGTCGTACGCCGACCGGACTCGGAAACGGCCATCCGCCTCGGGTCCCCACGTGGCATGTCTGTCCCTGAGCCCTCTATAGGAGGTTGAACCCCCTGTACCTAGGGCTGGTAATCGGTCGGTATCCGGTATACCGGATACCGAATAGTCGGTATCCGGTATACCGGATAACATTGTGTACCCACCGAATACCGATACCGAATGTTATCCGGTATACCGAATACCGAATACTCGGTATCCGGTATTAATACCGGTATACCGAATACCGATTAATGCATTGAGATTATACCATTAGAATTCGAGATAAAGAAACTGACGATAGCATTGGAGATTAACTAATTGGAATCCAATTGAAGTTTATAGTGAATACTTGGAACTTGAAGCATTGGAACTGACTGACGCTCAAAGCATCCCCTTGGTGATAAGGAGAATTTGAGTTTAGGCAAAGGATTAGATAGTAGTGGTGGCGGCGGTTGGTGGAAAGGCATTTGCGGCCGATAAAGAAAGGGCGGGATGAATGTCCTGGGGGAAGACCGCCGGGGCGTGCTGTGGTGGCGCTGGAATTCGCCTCGGCGGGTTGGAGAAGAAGAGTTGAAGTCGAACAAAGGAAAGGTGGAGGGGCCGATGTGCTGGGCTGCGCAGATGTTGATTTGATTTTAGGGTTTACACGCCCCCCCACCTCCCAATTTCAAACGCTGTCGTTTCCTTTTTTTATTTTTGTTATTCGGTAATCGGTATACCGATTTACCGTCGGTATATGACTGGTCGGTATTCGGTATACCGTTTGGCCAAGAAGTGCAGCCGAATACCGATACCGACGGTATTCGGTATACCGAATACCGATTATAATCGGTTCGATACCCGGTATACCGAATACCGGTTTACCGAATACCAGCCCTACCTGTACCTGCAAAATCAAGTCTTCAGGGAGCAAGGAACGCATAAGGGGGATGTTCCACTCACCTGAAGCAGTCACGAAATCCGCCACTGCAGTTTGTGGATTAAAAGGTGGCGCGTCCTCCACGATATGGTCAATGAGACGCTCCCCACTGTCAATCCATCTATCAGTCCAGAAGGATGTCGTCTGGCCGTCCTTCACGCACATGTGCATCCCTGCTGACATGACATGCCATGCTTTACGGATCCCTCTCCAAAGAGTATATGCTCGAATAGCATTCTTAGCCACCAACTGACCGTCTTTCGCCTGAAGTACCTGCATCCACAACTCCTCTGGATTTTTTTATAAACAACCATGCAAGTTTAGCCAAGAAAGCTAGATTAAGCCCACACGCTTTTCTTAGACCCAAACCACCCTCTTTCTTTGGCCGACAAATCACCTCTCAGTGCACCAAATGCATCTTCCTACTCTCGCTTACAGATCCCCAGATGAAATTCCGAATCTTCCAGTCAATCTCATCACATATGGAGATAGGCAGCATATTAAGGACCAACGTAGCAAGAGTCACTCGACCCGCAAAGGACAGGTTTTTGGCCTTCCAGCATGCTAGTTTATTATCCATTCGAGCTAGAATATACCTGTAGGTCTCTCTAGTGACTCTTCCATGCATCGCCGACACTCCTCCTGCATTTGCGGAATCCCCAAACCAGTTTGTACCAATCAAAATCAAATCGAGTTTGATTTAAAATCAATAAGCTCTTTAGAGGTCATTGGTTTCGAATCAAATTGATTCAATCTGTTTGAACTTATTTGCATTAGATTTGGGTTGGGGGTTTAAACCATTTTGTTGTAGTATAATCGGAAGTGAGACTAAGGCATTGCCTTCATTAAAAAAATAAAAAGATTATTGGTTAGATTAAATTAATGAGATTAATTGTTATTGTTTTGAATTTTGATCGTAAGTTTTGTATGGAATTGATAAATTTAATTTTCACGAGAGAAATTGAGATATGAATTGAGTGTTGAAGATTTCAAAATTCTATCGATTTAAATTTTTGGTTTTGTTCATTCAAACAGTAGAAACTATCAAAACTGCTTCACTTGATGTAGTTTAAACATAATCCTTTCATCCAAACAACCCCATAGATCAAAAGTTAGTGTTAGAAAGTAGAAACTGAGTGATTCGGGTCAAGAAATTGGAGAAAGTTGAATTTGAGAATTAGGGATTTCATCAGATTTGGGAAAGCAATGGGAAGGAGTCGAAGTAGAAGAGATTAGGGATTTAGTTTTCAATATTGGTCTACTCATGATTCTCAAATAACAAAGACGAATCCTTTAAATAAGAGTCCTGAAAAATAATTGCAAAAATACCCCAAATAACCCAACCACTCGCCTTAGCCCTAGCCCTACCTGTCTACTGAGGTCGGGTTTCTAACATTCTCCTCCTCTTAAGACCCAATTTTGCCCTCAAGGTTGAAGGAAAGGTAACTATGTGGAATTGTCGTCCTATCCTCCCACGTGGCATCCTCTAGATTCACTTGTCGCCATAATGTAAAACTTTCCTCCATTAGCTTACTACCCCTTGCGCACCCATCTCGTAATAGCATTAGCAGCAAATCCAAATCCAAGTCTCGATCTGCAGTAACTAAGGGAGCAACTTCCTTCGCTTGTGTGATGGCCCCTCTTTATCATTTAACAATGATACATGGAATGTCATATAGATGCGAGCGTCTTCTAGTAGCTGGAGCTTGTAAGACACCTTACCTACTCTCTCCAAACATCATAATAAAGGCTTAAAGTAGATTGTTGCAAGGCTTTTGTAAGCTCACGTGAACACTAAGGTATGTCGATAACAGTGTAGTCAAAGTAGTGCCATGTCACCTGCATCGAACTCTTCCTCCCTCATGTTCGTATCTGCCAGTTGCTTCATCCTGTGATTAGCAACAGTCAAATAAGTCCTCAACTTATTAGAGTCTCATCTCATGCCACTAGCAAGCGATCCACATTGCCCACAACACTCATTCCACTCCGGTAGCGCACCATGGTAGGAGGCGTATACCTATATAGCACCTCGAACGATGGCATCTTGATCATCATGTGGTATGTGGTGTTAGACCATGATTCTTCCCATGGCAACATAGCCAACCAACTCTTGAAATGTTGGTGCATGAAGCGCCTAAGATACCGCTTTAACAGTCGATTGACAAACTTCGTATGCCCATCTGACTACGGATGGTAGGTCGAACTCATTCGCCTCTCTGTCTGTGCCATAGAAAATACCTCTTGCCCAATGTAGTCAAAATCGAGTTTTAAAGTTTAAAAGCTTACATTTTTACACTTTTAGAATCGCTTCTACGTAGAATCGCTATTTTGAATGCATTGCTCTTGCCAGAAATGTCCCAAGAATAGAGCGTCCATATTCCTAGCGATAGTCCTGAGAAATCCATGGTGGCGAGTGACTCCCTACATGAACTGCTCTGCCACGATCTTTGTTGTATAAGGGTGTGCTAATCCATAAAACGGACATACTTCGTGAGTCAATCAACTACATACTATACCACTATATCCCCAGATGTCGATAAACCCATAATGAAATCCATATTGATGTCCTCCCACACCCGCTTCGACAACTGTAATGGCTACCGTCGATTGCAATTAAGAGGACTTGACTCTCTGGAAAGTGTCACACGCGACTACATACTGCTTTACCTCCTACTCCATCCTCGGCCAATAAAAGTGAACCCAGATCCCACGTAGGGTCCTCTCATGCCCTAAGTGCCCTCCAAGTGGTGAATCATGAAACTCTGAGAGAGCTAATGTCGAGACTGTAGTCATTGCTTCCTTCAGAGACTAGAAGGTTGAATATGCTCCCAGGACCCACTAGAACCCACCCTTCTTTAGTAGATCAATTAGAGGCATGCAATCATACTGCACCCATGAACAAACTTCAAGTAATAACCAATTAAGCCCAAAAAGCCCCTTAGTTCAGGCACATTCTTCGCCACTGGCAGGTCCAATATAGCTTGGATCTTGGATTGATCCTCTCAAACTAATTGATGTGATACAATGTGTCCCAAGTACTATACTTCTATGACTCTAAAGGCACACTTGGATGTCTTCACATAGTACTGGTATTGTTTTAGGATCTCGAAAATCTCCTGTAAGTGAATGACATGGTCCTCCCAAGTTAGACTATAGATCAAAATAACATTGAAAAATATCAGTGCATGCCAGTGAATGAGTGGTTTGAAGATGTCGTTCATGGCTGCATGTAATGTTGATGGGGTTACAGAACCCAAACGACATCACCAGATGCTCATGGTGACCATTGTGCTTGCGCAAGGCAGTCAAAATCAAGATTTTGATCGTAAAATCATAGGATCTTAAGATTTTACTTAGCCATTCTGATCCCTACTTTCACAATAAGAATCAGGCTAAGTTAATACTATGACAATGGGCTTTCTTTCTTTCCATAAAACACCAAACAAAACTCTAAATTTCCTATCGTTCTTTTCCATCCAAATCGATTTCTTCTGTGGTTCTACCTCAGTCGCCAGAGACCGCCACCGCCAATCGATTCCCCAGCTCTGCAACCATCGCCAACAACAGTGAAGCCACTTCACATCGATTCATCCCTTCCCACACCAATCTTCCCCTGGAACTCTGTTTGCATAATCGCAACCAGTTGAAAATACTAGAACTAGAAGACATGTTATCATCCTCTATCCCTTCTTGTCCCTCTGCCCCTTCTCGTCCCTACCCTCTCTCAGCCTCTCGCCCCCTGCCCATTCTCCTCTAATTAGAGGAATGTGAGCGTATGTTTAGATTTTAAAATTTTAATGCGGATGGAACCCGATAATTGTTTTTCCATATTACGGTTAACTAGGGGTCTGTGAGTATATTTTAGATTATGTATTCTTGCCTCTGCCTTGGTTAGAAACCTTTAAAAGAAGCAATTTTATTATTTTTTCCTACATCAGCACTTAACATCCCTGAAAGAAGTGATTGTTATGTCTACAAGAGGAGGTGTTGTTACTTCTGCATCTAAGCAAAGCAACTAGGGTAGAAGTGATTCGGCTTGTCTATATAACATTGATGTTGATGGCGATGGAAAGAAGTTCAAATGTAATTCTTGCTCGAAGATATTCGTTGGTGGTATCTTTCGTTTTAAATAAATTAACATCATCTTGCAGGAACAAGGGGGACTGTAGGACCATGTGTAAGTGTTCCTAACGACGTGAAACAACAAATGTTGGTATTCTTGCACTTCAACTAGTTAAAGTGATCAGAAATTACAAGTTTTTTATGTAAAGAATAAATGAAACATAAGCAATGTAGCTTAAAATTATCATTTTAAGTGATTCATGATTTGTCTTATTAATATTATTTAGTGTATGTTTTTATATGGACCTTAAAATTCTACGATTTTATGATTCCGACTTTACATTAGTTTTTTATTTTACGTGAAATTCTTATTTTGACCGCATCGTGCGTGCAAAATGTTGTATTGTGGACATATTCCTCATGCGTCCTGATCTGGTGGCACCATGCTCTTAAATCCAGCTTCGTGAAATAATGGCAGCCATGGAGCTCATTCAACATATGATCCACTACCAGTATCTGAAACATGTCCTTGAACATGGCCTAGCTAGCATATCTAAAACATGGCCTAGAAACGGCCAAAGTGTCATCCTTCTTCTTCACTAATAGTAATGGTGATGAAAAAGGAATGGTACTAGGGCGAATCAAACCAGTCTCTAGCTAGCATCTGTGCTACTTGCTTCTCGATCTCGGACTTCTACGAATGGCCATAACAATAAGGACGAACATTGACTACATCGGTACTTTCCTTTAAACGAATCTTGTGATTCACCATTCATTGGAAGGTAGCATCGCCAGCTTCTCAAACAAATCGTGGTACACATTCATTATAGCCTGAAAATCCGCATCAATCTTTGGTGCTTCTACCAAGGCATTCGACCAGCATAGGACTTCCAGTTCAATATCGTCTCCAGCTATGCAATCCTTCATGGATATCGGCCCGAAGGCGGTTGTGAGTCCATTGCAATCTTCTAATCACTCGTAGTCGGTCCTTAGAGCTTCAGCCATAAAATTTCCAACACAATCTCAAATTCCCTCAAGGGCAACACAAAGAGGTCAGTAGTTACCTCCAAGCCTTGAATATGCATCTTGATAATCTGGTACACCCGATCACACCTCATAGGGGCTCCATCAGCTACCTTTACCACAATTGGTTTGATCTTCCTTGCCTTTTACTCAAGGGCTTGTGTGAGCCCTTCTCTAATCTAATTCAGAGAATCCTGCTATCAACCAAGGTCATGGCTTGTTAATTTTCCACTTGCGCACGAAATTGTGGAGTTGCTGGCAAGGAAAGCGTCCCTGAGACCCCTCATCGTTCCACCCTCACCGAGTTGCTTGCAGCTATCGGGAACATCGATGATTGTCCAATCTCATGGCATTGTGTGCCTTCACCAGTCATCCATCTCGGTCGTGGCTATCAGCCTTGATTAGGAATGCGGTTATCTTGGTTACTCTGTTTTAAGTAATCACCGTGGCTACCTCATTTTTGGCCATACAGATTATGTGGATCCAATCTAAGAGCCTAGTTGGCTGAAGGGTATTTTTGGAAGGGACCCACACGATCACTTGATGTCATTATCGGGCCCCGAAATCAGTGGAGTTTTCCTTTTCCCACGCTTCCCTTTCTTTATTGGTTTTTCCTTTATCAGCGTCGCTGCCATCCTTTTTAGTTTTGAAGAAGCTTCTTCAACGCCCATTGATATTCCCTTCTTCTTCCATCGTCTTCCTTCTCTCTTCGGCGTCGCAATCTTTCGCTCTGGCCGCCACATTCATTCTATATGTGTCGGGGACAAGTTGTTTCTCGGTTTGTGGATTGGTGAGGATTTCAAAGGCTCCGGTGACATTGATTTCAGCTCCTACGACGTCCCCGTTTTGCTTCCCGGCGCAGTCGACAGAACCTTCATCCGGATCTTGACGGGAAGCAAATTCTCAAAGGCTCGTCAACACATCTTGGCAATGAGCAACTGGTCAAAGGTTGGTCCTCCGCCAAAACCCTAATCATCAAGTTTAAAAGTGTTGTAATGACGCTCTTTATGGTATAAGCATTGCATGTTTTTCCAATCATATATATCTAGGGATTTGTGGAATGGAATTCTTGTTGATGTTTGTTTCTGGATTGGTATATTTTTGGATTGGTAGTGGTTTTTATTGGATTGCTTTTTGTTTCTTTGTGGTCGTGGTCATTAGTTTGTGGTGGATTGGTATATTATTAGAACGTGCATTGGTAGTGATCGACCTTTCCGGTTGTTGTACGTCTCCCTGTGATGTTTGGTGTGGAATGGTAGTGGTCATTTGGTATGTGTGCAATGGTAGTTTTGTGTTTTATGCATTGGTATTAGTTTACTCCTACTATAATGACATTGGCTAATGTTAGTATCTTCCATTTTTTAGGTTTAGGTATGGAAAAAACCAAGAGCCCCAATCGTGGAGCCTCAAAAAGCAAGAATCCTGTGAACTATATATGTCGTCAAGTGCAAGTTGAAGATATTTGGGCTTCCGAGTCTGTTCTCCAATACCTCTTACTGCAAAACCCCTCCCGTGCGCGAAGTCCTTGTAGAACTTGACAAAAGCTTCCCTATTGTCAAATCTCAAATGCTCCCATGTCGATTTGTCTTCCGGTACAACTTCATACACCTCATCTGCAAATTGTACAACAACAACGAATCACTACCATTGCACTAGCTGATACTACCACTATCAAATCACTACCATTTGCTAGTTGCAACTAACAAAAACAAAGCGCACAAAACACAACAATTGCTGCAAAACAATAAGAAAAAATGCAACCAATGAGAAACCAATAAAATCCATTAATGCACATCACGGACATCAATACCAATCCAATGTGACACCACAATACGAACACCAATACCATTTAGACAATGCTAAGCGAAATACCAATATCAATCCAACTAATACCAATACAATCATCCGACTTTGAATTTGTACTAATGCACTCAGTACATACATATGACCACTACCAATGCGACTCACAAACGTAAGTAACAATTCAAATCCAATTCAGGTAATACCTATACCAATGCGGATCGTACTACCAATACCAAATTACCAATCCAATGAATACCAATACAATCACTACCACTGCGACCAAATAAAGTAAGTAACAATACACATACAATCCACACAAGTAACATAAAAATCCCCACTTCTTCTAAATTATAATCTGCGAGGCCTTCGTTCACGTTCTGATCTTCGACTTTGGATTTGTCCATTACCAAGGGGTTGCAAACCAAAACCAGTGTGATATTTTGCCGTTCACGAAAAATCGTACAATCATGTATGGTAAACTAGGGGTTATATTCTTACCACCTCTATTTCTAGCCTTCTCTCCTCTACCACATCCGGCGATGGTGCAACATCGATGATCGCCATTCCCCCCTTCGGCGACGTGTACACTGCCAAATTCTTTTACTGCCTTCTGTCCTCGTCTAACAAAGCCATGCAGTTATTAAATCTCCTTATAATTAGTTTCCATAATTATCTCTCCTTTCTTATCCCTAATAACCACAGTGATTACTAACACTAAGTAATCACCATAACCCCTCCCGCCTTGGTTCAGTCAGGACAAGGACTCGGTCCATCTTCTCTTTCAATAGTCAAACCAATTCTCGGGTGGTGGGTTGTGAGTGAGACTATGATACCACTTTAGAAAATGAGTGATTCAAGTCAAGAAATTGGAAAATATAGGATGTGGAAATTAATATTGAGAAGGTAGATTAGGGATTTGAGAAGAATTGGGAAGAATGAACCGAAGCACAGAAGTGAGATTAGGGATGGGGTGTTGAATATTGTTATATTCATTATTATCACATAACAATGATGAATTCTTTTTTTATTACCCAGGAACATTCTCACGCACACACCACATTTTGTGATAACGAAACGAGACCAAATTTGGGGGTCACATGCTGCAATTTTATGCTCCAACAGGGCTTCGCTCCTAGCAGCCTGACACCTTCGAGAACACCACACGGGACTTCGAGAGGGCATCAAATCTAGGATCTCACACGTCCCGAGACGACCTACTACGCACTGTCCGCAATGGCACCGCATCCGCTAGACTGTGGCAGGTGCTACTATAAGGATCATCGCTGTCATTGGGGATCGAACTCAGAACCTTGCCTGAGACGCTCCAACATCTAGGTTAGTGTTGTTTCGCACAATGATGAATTCATAAAATATGAGTTCTAAAAAATAACCGCAAAAAACTTGGCCACTCGATCTAGCCCGACCCATCTACTGAGACCCTGGTTTCTATCACTTAGGTTACTTCATGTAATACATATTTATCCAGTTCACACAAATTTAACTATCACATGCACATAACTAGAGGTGGCAATTGGATTGGATTCGTGGATTGGTGGATTGGATTGGTGGATCCATGGATTGGTGGATTCATGGATTTGACCAAATGGATTGGTGGATGATCCATGAATCCAAATGACATCCAAGACTTGGACCAAAATGTAAATTTGAAAAGTTTAGGTACTAAAATGTCATAATGAAAAATTTTAGGTACCAAAATGTAAATTTTCAATTATTTTTTCCGTATAAAAACATAAATTTTAGGTACCAAAACGTAAAGTATAAAAAATATAAGTATCAAATCGTAATTTGCCATTTGGATCCATGGATTGATCTATGAATCCACCAATCCAATTGAATTTGGATCAAATGGATTGGATTTAATTGGATTGGATTCATGGATTTGGATCCTAATTGTCACATCTACACATAACCTATGTTTTTTTCTTCAATCCAATCCTATGTTTTTCCCCCTTGCATGATTGCATCAATCAATTAACTAAATTTGTGATGCAGCCTCATCAATCTCATTGACCAACCGATAATCGCATCAAACATTTATTATTCCATGATTGGTAGAATCAACCGATAATTGCTTCAAATATATATTATTTCATGATTGGTAGAATCAAATCGTTTTTATATCATTTTGATTAGATAATGATGGCGACATAAAAACTCTAATGATTGGTTCGTTCTTTATTGAAGTGTTTTAGATACATCTACCTAGCTGGAATTGTATTGAATTAACGACAAGTAGAACGACTGAATGAGATGAATAGATGATCACATTGCATAACACTTTTCCCCAAAAATTTGACCTATCAGTCAAACTTCCTTCCTTTTCAGTCCTTTAAAATTTGAAAATATATTAAAAAAAAAGAAGTACGGCTGTATCTGTCTCACATATGAGAAGTCCTAACTTTTAGCTTGGTTCAAACATTTCGCTAAAGGCATTACAAACAAAAGAGACTGATCCAAAAGGGATTACTATTTACTACACAATTCCTCCTCCCTAAACCCATCATTAATCCGCTCCATTACCCCAAACGTGGCTGCCCCTGCCCCTGCCCCTGCCCCTGCCCCCAACGACCTATGTACATCCAAGCTTTAAGATGCTACTGCCATGGTTTCTACAAAATGAAAGAATCAAAGGTGCTGATAGGCACATCACGGTACGATATTTACTCTCTGATTCTCCAGCTTCACGTCACCCAACAAGGTTAGTTCTGCCATTAGCCTATCGTATTTAGCATTTTCTCCTTCTAGTTCCTTCGTAAGCTTTATCACCTGCATGACCAAAAGTTTCTATTATCATCTAATACAAGAGCCTCTGGACAATTTGAATGTCACGAAACGGATCATTCTGTACCAATTTATACTATAAACCAAATTGCAGGACAATTTGAATGTCACAAAACGGATCATTCTGTACCAATTTATACTATCAACCAAATTGCAGGATAATGCTTTGTATCAAATTACCTTCAGATTCAGCTCTTCCTTCCGTATCTCGTATTCAGATAAGCTGGGAAAAGGATAACAAAAATGCACACAAAAGGTTGAGCACAATGAAGCACCAGGAAAATTTGTGGCTTGCTCTTAGTCTTTCAAGTGAAATCATAAATATCAATCACTGGATCTCTACTCAAATGAATTGTGGATATGGGTGACAAATGGAATGGAAACCGTGGTAGACACACCAGTAAGCTAGTAGCATTGGAATGTAGTGACTATTGAGTGATACTTACTCTGCTCGGAGTTTTTTGTTGTCCTGCATCAGAACTGCAACCGTATTTTGCTGCTGCTGTTGCTCCACGAAATTACCGGAAGGAGAAAAGAAGGGCAAAGTTAACACTAGTTTCAGTTCAGGAAAAAAAATTGAGGCGTAAAGGGAATAATATAATCCACAATGCACTCAGCATCACACTTCTATTAGACACTTACTATGGGAAAAGGTTACAGACCACTCAACGAAGAATGAAGTAAGCTCCAGCAATTTTACGAGGAAAGACAAGATAAGTTATAACCGGTTCTTTTTTCTATATAATAGAAAAAGCTTTTTACCATCATTCCCCATAATCATTTGGCATATAATGTGTATGTATAATAAATGGGTTGTCCCGCCCCTCGTGGGGAAACATAAAACAAGTACAATGCATGACAAATGAAAATGTGGTACCAGTATGCAGATGCTAGTTTCTTACAGAGATCTGTCCGCCAGAACTGGATGCTGAATTATCTATGACACCTTCTCCATGTCTTGGCAGCTTCCTGACAGTTTCAGGTGGAGCTGAATTGCTGTGCTCCTTCCTTTTAAAGCCTAATACTGATAGATCGAGGCGAATAAAGAGTCATATCATATTAGAAACCTGCTTAATTTTCTACCGAATACTCAATATCTCATAACTTATCACACATTTACCGGGAGAACTTGTCTGTGTTGTACCAACAGAAGGGAAGGTTTGATTTGACCTGGCAGAATCAGCATGGCAAGTTTGTGGAATAATAGGAGGATCGGGTGCAGACCTCCTTGCTCCAGACTTCCTTTCCACGTGGTATCCAATTAGCCCGCAATGATAATCCCTGACACAGTACATCATATTTGGATAAGGATAAATTAAAATGGCATATTTCATGAGGACAGGGAAATGTAACAGTGAGATGAGTAAACGAACCACGCATATTTTTAACATCATCGACTTGGAATATCATTGAGAACGAGAAACAAGTTAAAAATTTATTTCATGTTGGAAAGCGTCCTTTATGAACTTAGCGCAAAAAGTCGGGAGCCACTAAAGTGAAGATTCAAAACTATTAAAGAAGGAACGACATAACCTTCCTTCCCTACTTTCTGTTTATGGACAGCTATCCGCACCAGGTGCCGCTTACATTTTGCTACATCCAACTTTTAAAACATTATCAACAGATCAAATCTAAGGAAAGTCCAGCTCTTCGCGAACAAATAGGTAGTAATACAGTTTCATTCAATCCACTTCGACTAAGCATGTATTTCATTCCAGTTGATTTTCTAATTAGTTCACAAAAGTACCTTACGGAGTTTTCTTATTCTGTATTTGGGGTTCACTAATCACATTCCAATTGCCTAGCTAGTATACTCTATTAATCGAAAAGCATTCATCACTTGCCCAGCTTTGTAAATGTAGACCATAAACTTCACATAGTTACTCTGTTCCAACAACTAAGGATACCTAGATGATATTGGTTGAAATATAAAAAAGAAAATATCTTACCAGTATTCACATGCCATATCTTTCAATCGAACTTCAAGCTTTTGGAAAAGGGAAGTTCTCTCAAAGTCTTGTTTACTATGAGTTGGCTGGATATAATTCGCTTCTAAGATACCTGTGCGAATAGTAAAATTCGTACATTTGTTGTCTATCATTACTAGCGCCAATCAAATATAATGGGAAAGGGATGTTTCAGCAGACTCCTCACCTACCACTCCTCTGCCCCTATTATTAGTATAAGTCAAAACTTGCATAAAAGGCTGCAATGAAAGGCATGCTTACAAGTTAGAGACATGGTTACACAAAACTAGCAACTAAAAAGACATGCTAATGTCATGATAAACTTGAAAGAAATTTGCATCGTGAAGAACAAGAACCAGACAGCTCAAAAACACTTCTTTCATTATTCATGCATAGACCTAAGTGAACACCATGGTTGTCAAACCGGGATCATGCCAGCCGGTTCAACCGGGTCTGACCGGTACTGGGCACCAAAATGGCTGGAAGACTCCCGGTTTGCAGTGGCAGTCAAAGCCGATCAATTCCGGTCAAAACAGGGAAAACCGGAGGTCCGACCGGTTTGCATGTTACATTGTAAGTTTTAAAGCTTTTTAATACTTTGTTTACTTAATTGTATCATCTTCTTTGATTTGTAGGTGCTTAAAGAAAGAGTGGAAGAGGGATCAAATTGATTAATAGGTTATATATACATGCCTAATTCATTTGATGTTAATGGTTTCCACTTCCCCACATATTCTTTCAAAACCAGTATAAATCGGTTGGACACTGGTCAAACCATACCACCTTGCTTCACCTGCTAACAATTTAAAGTTTAAACTGGTTTGACAATCTTGGTGTCTGGTGAACACAACTGCCTAAGGAAGACACAGTGGTAGCTCTTTAACTACCATATCAAGTGCATATAAGTCGAAACAGCTTCTGGTAAAGGGTTTTCTCAAAACACCCAATCAATGCCGACCAAACTTGAACAGGCTAATACACTGGATGGAAACTCCATCAACAAATTGGCGGTGTGTTTGAATATATCTAACATCTTAGAGAAATTAGTAAAATTATGAGATTTTATGTTTGGTTTTGTAAGAATAGAGTGTTAAGATAAACTGACCTTTATTAGACGGTTCTTGTGATAAATATTGAAGCCGTGGATATTGACCAGTGGTGCATCTTTTACAAATCCAATCGTAGTTATCACGTGAACCTAGAAAGTGAATAAGATAAAACAATCTCCTAAGACATATGGGGGTTTATGCTTTGCAGTGTAGTTGCAGCATCAGCAGATAAGAAATGAAACAAGATGCAAAATCGAGCTAATCAAGAACAGGCATGCATCACAGTCTCATTTGTGTTACGAAACCACCTCATCCATCGAACTAGAGAAAGGTATATGATATAAACAATTAACAGTATTTCACCATTGGAAGTTTAGACTTCTTTCTTAGTTCTTACTAGTAGTTTCCATGAGCAGCTCCTACTACGCCTCTCCACTCCACCACACCAAAACATATATACTAGGGCAAATACGACAATCTCAATTTAAAATCATGGAAACTATGACACAACCACAAAGATCTAAACTTAAAGATGGGATACAACATGACAAGGTGCAACCCACTATTTGATCAGATACTTGTGGTATTGCTTTGATATTAACTGCAACCTAAAGGTTTTCTAACATGGCCGGACGGGCATCTATGAGCTCGAGTGGCCAATGCTAAGACTTGAGAACACGAGCAAAGTATATAGAAAAGCTAGCATACCTCTCTTAGTCCACCAGCCTGAGGTTTATACAAGATATATTCTGGAAATTTGAGATCATCAGCAAGATTATGGGCCATAACAACTTGCCCTCGCAATATTAAACTGAAAGTTTCAGGAATTCGCAGGTACAAGATGGACATATATGCCTACGAAGCAAAACGAATGAGTAAGATGGGTTCAAAATACTCTTACAGCGAAAGCAAGGAATGTGGTTCACCGTTAACTTACATGGAGAGAGTATTGTAAGCGCTTGGCAATGTGCTGTTCAGTTGCTATCCTCCAAGCAGAAGGTGATTCTTTCTTTCTGCAATCTCCTTCAACAAGAATGTCCTATAGAACAGCAAAACCAACTCAAGTTCAGATCAAAAGTCTTATACTAGATTCCAAAAGGAGACCAAGATTAGTGATCTCTACATCATATAATTACTGTGCTCCCTTCAAGGCAGAAAAAAACACTAACTATTCTTACAACGATAAATAAGAACATAATATCTTGCAAAACAAATATTTTAGAGATGAAAACAATGGAATTCATTTTGCTTTTGATCAATTTAACTGGAATTATTAATAATTGTACAAAGATTTCCTGAAAGCTTTAAATGCCAGCTCATCCAAATAAAACTTGAACGATAGTCAAACAAAAGGCCCCTTCCTAACAATATAGTTTTGTAAAACCATCTGAAATAAAAAAGTTCAGCCCATTCAAAGAAAATAACAGAGGCAAACCTGTGGATCTGTATTAAAGTCCAATTCCAAGTTTCCATCATCATTGTTCCACAGGTTATAGATCACAACTTTTGTCCCATGCAATCCAATATCATCAAACTGCAACAATATTGGATGATTACAAAATTAGGATGTGAGAATGAGGGCGACTAATGACTGGATGATTAATATAGCAAGAACGATGGTACGAATTTAACAGAATGTGAAAAGAGTGGTTTCCAAGAGTGCAATCTGTTTAGATTTTTTATTCCAGCACCGCAGAGTAAAAATATTCCGAACACCTCATATAATTAGTGAAGGAAACAGAATCATCTCCCAGAATACAAACTCTTTTACCACCACATTATGACAATAGATTTTTAAAATTCTCCTACTGAGCACCCAAATGGTTGAGATAGTTCTATATTGTGGAAAGGCCAATCAAATCTCCATAAGATTTAAACTGTAAAATGCATCAGGCTTTACCAACTTCAAAAGCTCTGATTCAGTAGAATATGGAGACCATTGCAAAAGCAGCGAAAGATTAGCCTTGAAAGACTCATTGGTATGCCGTTGTGAAATTTCCAACTTGCCATTTTCTGCATTAAACTCATAGTCCACCTGCATAACAATGTATAAAAGACAGGTAAATTGTTTAGAGAAAATTCGCTCACTTGTTGAATTTCTATGTGTACTCTAACAGGTTAGGGTTCTCCTTCAAACATAAACGGAAAGGAAAAAGCTTGTAGAGTAAATGTCAACTCAAGTACAATGCTGGCACTTACCATTGGCACTACTATTCGGTCATGACCCATCTGCATCAAAAAAGAATAAGACAGGAGACCAATGCTCTGAGTCGCGATCCTATGTATTTGATATGAATGAATAGATTAGTTGGGGATCATGATGAATACCAGAAAACAACAACATTAGGCTAACTAGTATAGTCGATAACAATAATGAAGCACAAACTACAGGTACAACAAGATTACTTGTTTTTTACATTATTTGTGAAATAACAATTTGCAGACAGTGGCACCAGTATCACAGTATAAAAATATAATTGTGATTGGAAATTCAGTAGCTCATCCCAATGATAATTGAACCTCTCAAGGGGCAAATATTTCATATTACATGACTAGCCATGTCAACAACTGATCCATTTGCCTCATGGAATATAAAATACTGAAACTGCATACAGTAACAAGTTTGAAGAGCTCTTGCTAAAGTTGAAAGGACGAATACTAATTTATGTGATCATTCGAGCAACGGGGAACCTGAGTGATACAGCACAAAGTCATCACTTCACCAGGTTTTTAAAGTGAAAGGGTTTGGAGAATCCTGAGGTTGTTTCCTCGGTTCTTAATTTCTTATTATAAGCCTAATATGGCTGTCAATATATACACAGGTCTATTAGAGACCTTCCTAACTTAGTGATCTAACATAAGGTAACTCCTCTAAATAATCAATTAGGAATATTTAGCTACTTAATCAGCAATAACCACGTTATTCTCTTCATAAAGGTATCATTTAATGGCGCACCTAACTATAGCTAGTATGTTGAAACCAGATTTTATTGGAAAATAAAGTAGCAAACTGGATCCTAAGCTGAGTTACTTGCTTACACCCATGAACAACCTACTTCGTAAGGAGATTTCACAGATTCAATCTAACCTATCCAGCATATGGCGGGTGAAGACAACAACATCAGCTCCAAGCCTCATGCTGCTGGTTTTAAAGCCATTACCATCTGCAACACCAGATTCCACTGCAATAACTAAGAGACACAAAGGGAAAATATATTGATGTATATAATTGTCATGCAAGATGCATACACTGTCCAATAGTTCCTGTAGACTTCTTATCGGAGAACCCAAAGCTCATACATTGCCGGAAAGCTTCAGGATCCATTCCCCCACCATCATCTAGTTTTCGGAGACAGCCAGGTTTTTAAACGGAATAAGAAACATTAATCATCCACACAAATTTTTCATCGAGAAAGACAAAAGCATCACCCATAACCATCTAGAAGTATAAACCATTTACCAAAAAACAGATTACCTTGAATTAACAATGCTGAACCCCCATCTCTTGGATTCAAGATTTTATCTACCTTGACAAAAGTTGCCCCATTTTGGATCTATCCATAACAGGAAAAACATGATATAATGGGGGGAACATCATTATCGTGCAATATCTGGAAATCCGCCGCAGAGTGAATGAACTTTTAAAGAGAAAAATGAGCAGTAAGCCAAGCTATAGACACTTATCAATCGTTGCTTAAGTCTTCCTTCTTCAGCTATACTTAAGTCATGAAAGAAAAGTTCTCGAATTCCCCATCATATTCATATTTCTCTTTGATAGTTTAAATCATCAAAGAGGGAAACAAGAAAACACCTCGTTTAATTTTTCATTACTTTGATAGTTCAATAACCAAGTCCGAGAGGTAGAGGTGGCAAATGAATTGGATTGGTGGATTGGATTGGTGGATCCATGGATCAAATGGATTGGATCTAATGGATTGGTGGATTCATGGATTGGATCAAGTGGATTGGTGGATTCATGAATTGGATCAAGTGGATTGGTGGATTATCCATGAATCCAAATGACATCCTCAACCAAGGACCAATATGTAAAATGTAAAAAGTTTAGGTACTAAAATGTTACAATGAAAAATTTTAGGTACCAAAACGTAATTTTTCAATGATATTTTTCGTATAAAAATTAAATTTTAGGTACCAAAATGTAAAAAATAAAAATTATAGGTACTAAACCGTAATTTACCAATGATCCATGAATCCAATCCATGAATCCACCAATCCAATTGGATTTGGATCAAATGGATTGGATTTAAATGGATTGGATTAGATGGATATTTTTAATGGATTGATGGATTGGATTGGAGGATTGGATTGAAATTGCCACCTCTACCGAGAGGTTATTATTGTTTTCAATATAGACTATAGTTCACAATGCTTGCTACTTATTGTACATGAAGCATAACCTCACGAACTTATGGAAAATAGTCATGTTCATTTTTTTATGAACTATTAATGACTACAACAAGGCCACCGTTTAGAGAGGTAAAACCATAAAAATAGACAAATGAATTAAGGTGAAAATATTACCTCATCAATGGCATTGTCAAGCAATTCTGCAATTGCTGAAATTTGCCAAAATAAGAAAATGAGATGCAGACAAATGAATAAACTATCACAACAGCAAAACGAAATAAAAGTTACCAAAAAACTAATTCAACTACACGTACCACCAAATGCCCACTTATGCGAAGTGGCATTTGAATGAAGAAACATGGGGTGAACATGGAGGAAGGTTTTCCCACCTGGTAACCATCAGATTGAAACATCAGCTAGAAGAATGAGGTGGACACTGGAAAGTAACTGCTTAACGAATATAGCACTCAGCAACTCAGGATTAAAAGGAACCAGAAAAAGTATCATCAGCAGATGCAGGGGCAAAGGCACACATCAGAAAAGCACACTCATCAAATGGTTGAACAAAAGTGCAGGAAAAAGCTTTCTAGAAGCAATTAGTGCATCAAATGCCCACTTATTATTTCATGTAATATAATTATTGTTTTCAGCATACTCTGAAGATTGACTTTGGAGCCATGCGCATCACTGTAGTTCCCAGCCTTCCAAAACTGGCGACAAAGAGGTGCTGGAGGCAAGATAGTGCTAGACGAAACCCCAGCATTGTCCACAGGAGACTGTCCCTGCTCCAACACAGTAGACCCAGTTAGGGAACCATGTGAGGTATTTGGGATTCTATTATCCTCAAACTCTTCTTGTCTGCTACATTGGCTCGTGTAATTCTGATGCTGTACTTGTTCAACAGTCCGGTTAATACTTTCCCGAGAACCGACCCTAAGACGATCTGGCTCCACATTCACAGCTATCATGGTCACCATCCCAACTTAACAGCTTTCACTGGACAAAGTGAATAGTTCTTAATTAATCCACAATCTCCAATGTCATCGCTACATAAACCCAACACATTTGGAAAGACAAGAACCAAAGGTGGGGAAAAAAGGACTCGAGAAGACAAGTCAGCACGGCGTTAAGAAATCAGAATCATTAGCCAGTTCACTATATCATAGATCAAAAGCACAAGCCAGTTCACTTAATTAATCCACAATCTCCAATGTCATCGCTACATAAACCCAACACATTTGGAAAGACAAGAACCAAAGGTGGGGGAAAAAAGGACTCAGAGAAGGCAAGTCAGCACGGCGTTAAGAAATCAGAATCATTAGCCAGTTCACTATATCATAGATCAAAAGCACAAGCATCATGACATCTACTCGGTTAAAAGGCACTTCAACACGCGCATGCAACCTAATATCCCAACACTAGCATCTATAGCAAAAGCCCTAAATTAGCAAGAACGAAAACACCTAAAGCACTAAGAAGTGAAGGAAGGAGCAGCAACAGGCAGATTAGATGCGTGAGAACATACAAACCCTAACCCAACCCAATACAATCATCCCGTGCAGAAGACTACCACCAGAAGGCCACTTATCTTCTCAAAATTGCCATCACCGCAGAAAAAGAGGGATGAAGAATTACTTGCTATGACAGCATGCAGCTACACTCTTTCCAACACCTCCATTAGCGATCATGATTCGAGGAAATACAGTCCAGTAGGGGAAATGACAGTGAAGAGGAGGAAGAAGAAGAAAATTGAAATACAATTCTAACGAGCGAGACAATGTTGCATGCGATGCTAACGACACCATCCACAGCAAATGAGACTGATCAGAAGATCAAAATTCAAGGAAAAGCAATCCGCAAGGGCGGTTCAGTCGTAATGTTCGGGAAGAGAACATCATTTGAATAGAACAATAATGAAGCACTGACCTACCTGAAGCAGGCGAAGCAGCTGAATTTCGGTTCAGGTTTGAAGCTGATTCCGATTATAGGAAGGACACGAAAACTTGAAGGTGGCTGCAATTGCTTCGGCAAACAGAAAATGGCCAGCTGCTGAGTGCTGATCAGTGATTTTGAAGGGCGTAAATAGTGCCCGCTTCCTAGCACGGCTAACTAGGAAGGAAGAGTAGAGGCTGGAGCAGTGGAGCCCGCTTCTATAATATGTAGAAAGGAAAGCATCTGCCAAGGAAAATGTCGGTACCATTGAGTATGATTAAAAGTTTCGTACTTTTTTAGGTGTAAAATACGAATAATAAGAAAGCAACAGGTATTTACATGGTTTTCCGTTCGAATTAAGGTATCGATTTAGGTTTAGGTGATTGATTTGATAAAAAGGTATTTTTTGTTGAGCTATATACATATTTGCAATATATTTTCAGAACCGGACCGGCGGCTGAACCGAAAAGGTTAGTAGTTTAGAGTTCAATAGTTGACCGTTACAAAACAGTTGATAGAACCGTTCATGATATATCACATATAAGACTTGTACATTACACTAATTTAAGAATGACGTTATCATTGACCATAAATCATTTCAAATTTATATCATCACCAAAATATCTAATTAATCATTCAAACAGTCTAAAAAAGAAATCATAATTTTTTAGTTCAAATTAAAAATTGCGTTGCCAATCAATAATGGAAAATGTAGAGTCGACAACAAGGTTGAAAAATGAGGCAGTGCTTCTACTATTTTTAAATTTTTTTGGTTGGTTGTTGACCCCAAAGTTGGAACTCAAGGTATGATCGATGTTCTCATCTCCACATTACTAGTAGGCCAACCACTTGGGTTTGGTGTTTTTCCTTCTACAACTAATACAAAACCAACTAAAAATAAAATGAATCCCAAGGGGAGAAATGATTTGGTTTGTTTGTATGGCTACATGGTTATGAAAAGAAGTTCAAATGTCATTTTTGCTCCAAAATACTCGTTGGTGATATGCTTCATTGGTTCATTTTAAACAAGGAAGAGTGTAGAGTTTTCTCATGCTGTGAAACAGCAAATGTTGGCATTGTTGGCTTTCAACTAGAAGAAAAAATTAGAATGAAGGCTTTACATAATCTCCAATCCACACTTGACTTGTATTCCTCCTCACTCCATCCCCATTCCAATCAATCCTCCATAGAGGTGGCAATTAGAATTCAAATCTATGAATCTAATCTAATCCCTCCACCAAATTATCCACCTAATTCAATTCATTTGATCTAAATCAAATTGGATTCATGGATCAATCCATGGATCCAAATGACAAATTACGATTTAGTACCTATATTTTACATTTGGTACCTAAAAATTATATTTTTATATGAAAAATATCATTGAAAATTTACATTTTGGTACCTAAATTTTTTTTTTTTGGTAGAAGGTTCGACGCTAAAGCGTCTAGTTCGTATTAAGTATTAAGCGATCATGGGAAACTCCCACAATGTCATGACTTAGCAGTCTGCAGTCAGACATTTCAGTTCTTCAGAATAGGTCTCTCATGAGATTAGAGGACATGAAATTGCCAGGAATGTCTGCCTTGGGAAGGTTAGAACTTAGAAGTGTCATTACGATGATATGTGTGTGAGCCTCAGCCAATCCTGAAAGGGCCTACAGTACACCTATTACAATTTCCGAAGGCAACATCTTCCCAGCCCATGAAATTCACTCCACAATCCCCCAACCAACCCTCACGAGTCACGCCAACTCTTCCTCTCGCCTACTTCTGCTCATCTAAGCATTAAGATACAACATGGACTTTACAAATGAAAGAATTAAGACGTGACGGCTACTACAGCACCATGGATTTACATATTTACGATCTGATTCTCCTGCTTCACATCATCGACTAAGGTTAGTTCTGCCATGAGGCGCTCATATTCAACATCTTGTTCTTCCAGTTCCCTTGTAAGTTGTATTACCTGCATATCCAAAGTCTTTCTATTATCATCCAATATTACAAGAACAAGCATTATTTGGGGCCAATAAAACACTCCATCAGGTCAGTTAAAAAGCAATGGAAGATCGTAAGAATTGGAAGTAATGCTTTGTATCAGGTACCCTTAGATTGAGCTCTTCCTTCCGTATCTCGAATTCAACCAATCTGAAAAAAAGAAAGGGATTCAGAAATAGAGCATGATCAAGCATCAAGAAGATTCAAGGCTTGCACAAGTTTCTAAAATGCATGAAGATCACTCGATAGTCATTCAGAGTGCAATCATAAAGATCAAGAATTAGATTATTCAATGAATTGAATACATGTGGACTGCGGTTACAACGGAACCAAAACCACGTCCAACACATGAATACGCTATTAGATTAAAAGTATAATGATATACTTACTCTGCTCGGAGTTTCTTGTTTTCCTCCATCAACACTACATCCTCATTTTGTGTCTGAGGCTCATGAACCAGCTTAATCACCAAAAAAATAAGAAAAAAATAGTGAAAAAAAAGTTTTTCAACAATACAAGAATATGTTCAAGCTATGTATAGTACACTAAAAAGGAAGTGATTCTAACATAGTTTTTTGGTTCATTGCAATTTTGAGATTTCTAGAAATTTCTTTATTCTCCTTCCGTGATAATTATTGCCCCACAATCATTTGGTATAATATCATGAGCATGAATGGAGAGTAATTTCCCCGACAGGGTAGTAGAAGGTTAAATAATAAGGTGCTGGTTTCTTACAGAGATCTCTCCTCTGGAACTGGATGCTGAAATAACAGAACCTTCTCCAGTTCTGGGCTGCTTTTTGACACTTCCAGCTTGCAGTGAATTGTTGTGCTCCTTCCTTTTAATGCCTAATCCGGATAGAGAGACAGCAGCATTGATCAGATGACTGAATAATCGTATCATGATATCTTGTTTTCCTACTGAGTACTCAAAAGCTCAAAACTTCTTTGTGCGTTTACCAAAAGAAGTTGCTTGAGCTGTATCAACAGTAGGGAATCTTTGATTTGACATGAAAGAATTTGCATGGGAACTATTTGCTATAGCTGGAGGATCATGTGGAGTGCTCACTGGTCTAGCCTTCTTTTTTACCTGGTATCCAATCAGCCCACAATGAAAATCCCTGCCAAAGTACATCAATTAAGTTAGCATATTTCAAAGAATAAATTCAGTTAGCATATTTCCTGAGAGGAGAGAAATGAAACATGATTCAAAGAATAAATTCAAAGAAGAAAACCATGATTCAAAGAATAAATTCAGTTAGCATACTTCCTGAGAAGAGAAAAATTAAAAATTAAAAGAGTAAGGCAACACTGCAGCATTTTTCTATCAAGTTGGAAAATCATCAAGCCAACAAGGTAAAATCTCTCCCATTTGTATGTTCTTTACTTGTTCTCGTGACTTAACACCTTAGACTTCACATGGCTACACGCTTTCAACTTTATGAGTATCAAATGGAAAATTGGTCCCAACATGAAAACATCTTACCAGTATTCATACGTCATCTCCTTCAATCGAACTTCAAGCTTTTGGAAAAGGGAAGTTCTCTCAAAGTCCTGTTTGTTATGAGTTGGCTCAATAAAATTTGCTTCTAGAATACCTACATAAATAACAGCTGATTTGTTATGTATCATTCCTAGCACAAACCAAAGTCACAGGGAAAGGATGTTCTTCAACAGACTCTCACCTACTACTCCTCTGCCCCTACTGTCAGCATAACTTACAACTGGCATAAAAGGCTGCAACGAAAAGCATGTTAACAAGACGCATGTTAATCTAATGGCAGGATTAGAAGAAAGGTATTGCAAGAAGAAGAAAACATGCATAGTTGAGAAGCATTTGTTCCATTCACTTAGTCATGCATGGACCACAGATAACACAATTGTGTGCCACGCATAGAGACAGTTACCTTAATGAAGTCACAGTCATGTTTTTCTATAAACCACTCTACCTAATATCAAAGGCTGAAATTGATAACATGACAGTGTAGGGTTTAAAACACTCCTAACAAATACCAGCAGGAAGAGCTGCCATCAAGCCATACACTACATGGAAACTTAGCAAACGCATCGGCCATTTTTTATGTGATATGATATGCTTTTTATGTAACTAAAAAGTAGTTGGTAGGGGTTGAAATTTTTTCCTGTAATGAAAAATAATATTAAAGTTTTCTCAAATGACTAGAATGAATAAAAGACATTCCCTATTCAAGAGGCAAATTTAGAAGCAACCTTTCCACAATGAGGTGACATTTTATAAATTTATTAAATGTCTGCAGACCCACCGTGTACAATATTCCTAATTTTACAGAAAGACTTGAGAACTATAATTTTATAGTTGAATCCCCACATGAGAGAGGAGAGAAACAAGTATTGGCTATTGGGGTGAACACTACCTGAATTAGACGATTCTTGTGATAAATATTGAAGCCGTGGATGCTGACTCGTGGTGCATCTTTTACAAAACCAATTGTAGTTATCACATGACCCTGGAAAAGGGAATCAAAGCCAAACTCCTATCAGATAAGGGGATTATGTTTTGTGGTGGCACATTGACAAGTAAAACATGAGACAAGGTGCAACTACAAACTATCAAAAACAGGCACGTGTACCACTGTTTCACTTGTTATGCTGCACATAGGCATATCATCTCTCAATTGAGAAAGGTGAATGACGTAAAAAGAGCCAGTGTCTGGTCAAACAGAACCTACTAAGACTTGTGTCTGGTCAAACAGCGCCTACTAAGAATTTCCACTAAACCAACAGATACACTACTATCACAATTTAAGATGCTGGAAACAATGTAACTATGAGAATCTGAATTTATACATAGACCATAGGATGACAATGTTTAACCTAGTCACAAATATATGCTCTCTTCTTTATGACAGGTTGAAGAAATCATTGTCTAATATGCACTGGACAGGATAACCTTGATTTGCAAGGCAATAAAAAATGAGACGATGAAGACTTCATCTTAGAAGGAGCAACCGATAAACATTGATATTCCATCAAGCAGTGGAACTTCTACTAGCTGGGCATATCTCAAATACTCAAGAGCCATCCAATGCAGGTGATGAATGCATGAAGGACACATCAATGGAAAATTGGGACTATTATGGATGCCCCTTGTTCACATTCACTTCTCCAATGGTGAGCACCATGTCTAACTCCCTGCCTCTTATTGCTTGAAAAGAAATGGTAATGACTTTGCTTAATGGTCAGATTGATGGATAAAGTAGAATTATCCATCACATTGCAGAAGTAAAGAATGTTGGTTAATGTGAAGAGTGCTACTTCCTTGGTCGAGTATTCTCCAAACAACCATTCAACAACATACTGCAACTCTTATTTATCTAAACAAAGGCAGACGCATTATGCTCTGCTGCTAAGGAAGTAACAATCATCATATTAATCAACGGTGCTGCCTTTTGTAACCCGCCGGATATTCTAATCTGTCCGTCAAATCTCAGTTTTGTTCCAACAAAACACCGAACTCATCAGCATCATATTCAAGATCTCAATGGATAACCAAAGCCTGGGGAGTTAGACATGTTCCTCGACAACACAGTCAACCAATTAGAAAGAACGGTTGCAAGTCTATTCACACTGACACCATAAAGCCGAAGCGGATATTATTTCATGTCTCCTGCCCAATTTTCATATAACTTAGTATATGAAGTGGCATTACACTGTAATGTGCAGGTTGAGTAACAAGACACTGTACCAACATCCACAATCTAGGGAGCGGTTCAATTGACCATGGGAGACCAATAAAGCCACACAAAAAAAATAGAAAAGATAGCATACCTCTCTTAATCCAGCAGCATGAGGTCTGTACAAAATATATTCTGGAAATTTGAGGTCCTCAGCAAGATTACGTGGCATAACAATTTGTCCACGCAATTTAATACTAAAAGTTTCAGGAATTCGCAGGTACAGGATGGACAAATATGCCTAAGAAGCAAAACGGAACATCAGTAAGAGAGGTCAGGATACTCTTATAGAAGATGCAAGGAACGGCGTTCACTAGCAACTCACATTGAGAGAGTAATGAAAACGATTGGAGATGTGCTGCTCATTTACTGTCCTCCAAGCAGGAAGTGATTCTACCTTTCTGGTATCTCCTTCAATACGAATGTCCTAAAATAGAACGGAAAAAAATGACTCAATACAAAACAAAATCCTTACACTAGATGCCAAAGGGAACCCTAGATATGTATTTAAACAAGAAGCTTCAATCAATTGAAAGAAAAGAACAGAGGCAAACCTGAGGATCTGTATTAAAGTCCAATTCCAAGTTCCCATCATCATTGTACCACAGGTTATAGACCACAACTTTTGTCCCATGTAATCCAATATCATCAAACTGAAACACGTATTATAGGGTTAGTAAATTAGGATGTGAACATGAACACACTGATTGGATGATCAATAAAGCAAGAACGAAAAATCACAAAACATAAAAATGGAGAAGAATTGTGGTAAAAATTTAACAAAAGTGCACCCTGCTTGAATTTTCTACCTCCACCACTGCAGACTCAAAATCAACTGAACTTCCATATAACTAGTGAGGAAAACAGAATCAGCATCCCTAATTATGAAGTCCATTACCGCCTCCATACAACAACATATATTTATCATTCCCCTACTTTGCACCCAAATGAGTTCAGAAACTTAAGAAATTATGAACAGGCCTATAAATCTCCATTAGAGTTAAATTGTTACAAAAGTAGCAAAAATGGATGATACCTGCTTCAAAAGCTCAGCTTCAGTAGAATATGGAGACCACTGCAAAAGTAGAGTAAGGTTTGCCTTGAAAGACTCATTGGTCTGCCTATGGGAAATTTCCCACTTGTCATTTTCTGTATTCAAGTCATAATCCACCTGCATAATAATGCATAGGAAGTAATTAAGATTTATGAGAGCAAACCTCTCACTGGTTTAAATACTAAGTGTACCATGAAGGAAGAAGTGTTTGATTCAGTGCCGACATACATTTTGAATGTAACATTACCCACTCACAAAATTAAGAGCTATAAAAGTCTTACTAACAAGACTTGAATAAACAAAAAACAAAAAAAAGGTACAGCCCCTTCTAACGTAGACAGTAAGGAAGAAGCAAGTAGACTAAACGTCGTTTCAAGTGAGATGTTGGCACTCACCATTGGGACTATTATTCGATCATGGCCCATTTTCATCAAAAAAGAATAGGATAGGAGACCAATGCTTTGAGTCGCATTCCTGCATATTATACATGGAATAAATAGATTAGATGTATCTGATGATGAATACGAGACAACAACATTTGGCCCACACAAATATAGTCCATTACAACATAATAAAGCACAAATTTTGGGAGCACCAACGCTTACTTGCTTTGACACTATTTGTCCAAAAAATAGCCAAAAAGTTACCATAGTGTATCACAGTACAAAAAAGATTTGTTATTGAAATTCATAAGCTTATCAGGAATCCATATTAAAGAACCTTTCAAGATGCACAACTTCCACATTACAAGACCAGCCATAGAAAAACTTATCCATTTCATTTCAGGAACATACAGTTCCATAAGTGCTAAGCAAAAGATTTTATGTGCACTTGCTCTCAAAGTGAAAGAACAAATATTAACTGATATCAACACCACCTCCTTTTAGAGGAATGATTTAATGGCCCCTTCGCCTCACAACAGCTAGATCGTTGAAAACAGATTTTAACGAGGAAAAAGTACCTTGCCAAACTAGATGCTAAAGTCTATTAGTTGATCACTCCAGAGTATAATACAAGTTGTAATGAGATTTCAATGATTCGGTCTAACCTATCTTCCATATGACGAGTAAAGACAATAACATCAGCTCCAAGTCTCATGCTGCTGGTTTTAAAGCCATTACCATCTGAAACACAGTATTCGACAACAATAAGTAGGAGATACAAAACAAAAAATCATAGATATAGAATTGTCAGGTTCGATGCATACATCGGCCAATAGCTCCAGTAGATTTCTTATCAGAGAACCCAAAACTCATGCATCGTCGGATCGCTTCAGGGTCCATTCCCCCGCCATCATCTAGTTTTCAGAGACACCAAGTCTTTAAGGAGTAAGAACCAATATTTACAATTATAAAGACAAAGACAAAAAGAGGAGATAGCCATCTAGGAAACCGGACCATTTATTTTAAAAGGAGTACCTTGAATTAACAATGCAGAACCTCCATCTCTTGGATTCGAGATTTTATCTACAATGACAAAAGTGGCCCCGTTTTGGATCTACCCAATAACAGGAAAATCATAACAGGAAGAAGGCAAAACATCATTATGAACTGTGTTTGGCATTCAAGGTTTGCATAATACTTGACCAAGTGGAATGAATTTTGAAAGAGAGAAGAACTCTACAGGTGACCTCACTTATTGTAACTTCAAATTCAGATTTCTCATTGATAGTTTGAATAAACGAAGGGAAAAGAAGAAAGAAACTTGTCCAGATTTTCTTTTCTTTCGCTCTGAAAAACAACAAGCTGACAAACTTCAAGAGCTTGATCACAAGTTTTTGTATCACTTGATTCAACTACCCTACAGAAACTAAGACGAAGGAGGTCCTTTTCACAGAAGAAAACAAACAAGGATAAGAAGATACAGTGTATTTCCTAGCCAGTAAATATCTACTGTGCATCCTCACTTAAGTATTCAACAAAGCTATACATACACAGAAACACGAGAACTACGATGTTTTGCCAGCCATACCTATGACAACCTCCCAAAGCAACCAGTAGCGGAAGGGGAAAAGAGCATCGCTTTAGAGCTAGTAATGGTTTTAGGTCTTTATCATGAACCCGACTACTACAGACCTACTGCCAGCTGCTGAGCCAGGTATGTATAAGTATCGGAGTAGAATTTTTAGGTAGTTCAACCACTAAGCATCTACGAGCCAATGAGCTTTCATATGGACTTAGCTCAAAGATCAAAAAGAGTCATCGACGTGGATTTGAAACGATGACTAAATTTATACCTTACAACCTATTTCAAAACGGTCATCATCAAAAGTTGAATAACTCTTGCATAAGTCCAAACCACAGTGCATAATGCCTAACATGCATTACCAAAACATGGTCTCACAAACTTATGGAAGGCAGTCAATCATGTGGATGCTCAGGCTCAGGCTTTGATGACCCATGCACGATAAGAATAATGCTACCACATACGAAGGAAAAACAGCAAAACAATCTAAGAAATTAAGGTGCAAATATTACCTCGTCAATGGCATTGTCAAGCAATTCTGCAATTGCTGAAAGCGATCAAAAAGAGTGGAATAAGATACAGGAAATTGAGTGAAATTTGACAACATCATATTGAAATAAACATGAGTGAAAAACTGTGTCAACTACACGTACCACCAAATGCCCACTTATGTGAAGTGGCATTTGAATGAAGAAACATGGGGTGCACGTGAAGGTACGTCTTTCCATCTAGCATCCACCAGACAGAAAGCACAACATCAGATATAAACAAGAGGTCAACATATGTAGTAGCTGTTTGATGAAACAAGGACAATCAGCCTTAATTGGAGAAACAACATATAATGACTCAGTTGCAAGGACAAAGCAAAGCAGAAAAGAATCACACAATTGGTAGTGCAAATGTGCATGGGACAGTCTTCTATCAGCAATTAATAAGTGAAAACCTCGTTTTTAGAGGTATTTATCATGCAACATAAGAAACATGCAGCATACTTTGAAGATTGACTTTGGAGCCCTGTGCATCACTATAGTTCCCAGCTTTCCAAAACTGCCGACAAAGTGGTGCTGGACACAAGGTTGAGGTAGAAGAAATTCCAGTATCATCCACGGGAGACTGTCCCTGCTCCAACACACTAGAGCAAGATTGGGCAGTATTTAAGGTTGTGGAGCTTCTATTCTCCTCGGAATCTTGTTTTCTAGATTGAATCGTGTACTTCTGAAGCTGTACTTGTTCAACGGCCTGGTTATTTGTGGCTCCAGATCCATCCCTCAACAGATCTGGCTCCAACTTAACAGCTTTCATGCTGACCATCCCAAGCTAATCATCACTACACAAGCACATAGTTCTTAATTAATTCACAATCTCAGAAGTAATAGGTACACCAATGACCAAACACATTTGAAAGAAAATAACCAAAGGTGCAAAAAGAAAGTAGCAATGGTAAAAAGGATAGCAAAAGCCCCAAGTTAGCCAGAACACATCTTAAGCATAAGAGGTGAAGGACAAGCAAGAGGGAGATCAGATGCAAGATAACAAACAACACCCAACCCAGCCTTCCAGACCAGAGCAACCCTATAGAAGCTCTCTCCGGCTATGCAATCTATCTTCTCAATTACCACCACAGCAGAAGAAGAAGAGAGGGGAAAAAACTTGCAGATGACAATATGCCAACTGTCGAAGCAAGCATGCAAATGCAATGCAAGCGACAGCTTCTCCTTCCACCACTTGCATTGGTAAAAATGTTCCCAACAAACACAGCCCATTACGGGGGAACAAGAAGAAGAAAGAAAGAAGAAGGTTGAAAAACTTCCAACAAAAACGGCCCCATTAAGGATAAAAGCGTGCTGCATGCAGTGGCGATTTGCTGACGACACCGTCCACAGCAAATGAACCCAGCCACTTGAAACAGAAGTTACAGGGAGACCAACGAGAAGATAAATTTGAAGTAAAAGCAGACCCCACGAGTTGGTATGCAGTAATCAGACAGATGAGAGATTACCCAACTCACTGAGTTGGTCATCTTTGGGCCAACGACATTTAAAGGCAAGAAAGCCAAGGGCTGACCTTTTTGAAGCGAACAAGGGAACTAGAATTTGCTTCCAATTCGCTTCTAACAGCTGATTCCAACACTAAGGATCGTCGAAAACCAGAAGGCAATGCCAATTGCTCCAGACGCAATAGAAAAGCTGCTAACTTCGAATCAAGGCGAGGAGAGAATGGCTGGCAAGTTTCGATCTTCTCCCTCCCGCGCGTTCTTCGTCCTTCCCTCTGACCTTCTAATGCTATTACTTCCACGTTTGGAAATTATACTAGTTCTTCTTCTTCTTCTTCTTCTTCTTCTTCTTCTTCTTCAATCTCCTCCCTTGAAACTACAAAGTAAACGACACTAGTGTCTCAAACCCTAATTGGGTTGGAAGTTGGAAGAGGGTAGGGTCTAGGGACTAGGGCGATACCTAGTATGGGTATTGATTGGGCGGGTCACCGTTCATAACCATCCAAATCCACCCAATAAAACCGGGTAGTTATCATAAATGGTCATAAATCTATTAACTTTGTACAAAATGGTAATAATTTTCGGTTAAATAAGTTTGAATGAGTAACAAAAAGGTCAATCCGTCCACTTCCGTCCAAAATTCTGTTAATATTACCCAATCAGCATGACATATCATCAAAAATATTTATAAAAAATAATTTAATTGTTTCAATTAACCACAACCGTAACCGGTTCACTATTTGTCTCCGTGACCATCTTCTTGGACCAATCTCTCCACAAACTCCATTGTTTCTTTCAGCATTCAAGAGGACGATTCAATTTCCCTTCCCTTTGTTTAGCGTTCTAGATTTCGTTTTTGTCGTTTCTCTGCCAATTTCCTATTCAATTGTCTTTCTCGGTGATTCCCCATTACACTTTCTTGATTGCTCTTTTTCCTTTTTGTATTTCCCATTTGAGTTTTTTTTCTTTCATTCTTCTCAGCCTGATTCCTAATCCCTCTCTCCGCCATTATTTTCTTGATTCCGATCAATCGCTCTAGAAGTTCGCCCGTGATTCAATGGTGGGAGTCTTCATCGCCATCGATTTTTATGTAACCGAGCGGCCGCCGAGCCCCTGAATCTTATGGAGACGGAAAACTATTCTATGACGACGGAGAGCCATACACCGTAGACGAAGAAACACAGAGGCGGAAGAACCCTCCGCTGTAGACGAGCCACCCACTGGAGATTACGAACCATCCGATGGAGCAATAGACCAGCCAATTGGAAACTGCAATAACGAGCAACCAAAAGAATTCAAGCGGCCACAAGTTTCTGTCTCCATTTGTGCTCGTCTGGGATCGATCGGCATGGAGGATCTATGACCCATTTGTGCTCGTCTGGGATCGATCGGCATGGAGGATCTATGACGCCGGCGGATACGTTGGAAAGGTTAGGGTTGTACGGCCGGGTGGTACAGATTTAGTGAACCGGTTAGGGTTGTTCGGTTAATTGAAACAATTAAATTATTTTTTATTAATATTTGTGATGACATGTCATGTTGATTGGGCAAAAGTAACGGAATTTTGGACGGAAGTGGACGGATTGACATTTTTGTTATTCACTCAAACTTGTTTGACCAAAACGTGCAAAATTAAAGAATTGTGACCATTTTGTACAAATTAAATAGGTTTGTGACCATTTATGATAACTACCCCAATAAAACCAGACCCACTATAATATGGGTGGACATAAGAGGGTGGATCAGGTGAGCCGATGGCAATGAGTCGGGTTGGGTCGGGTTTTGCCAACCCCAAACTCATAGGTTTATCCGTGAAAAAAATCTGGGGTAAAACCCACTGAGTTTGAAAAACTCAAACCTAACCCAACCTGTTGGGTATTCGTGGGTTCATAGGTACCCACGAGTTTTTGTCGTAAAAAATTTAGGGCAATGTCTATTTTTTACCCAAATCTTTTTCAGATTCTTTTATTTTAACCAAACCTATATAAATTCTATTTATTATCCAAACGTATTATAATTTATCAAAGTCTGGGTATTCATTATGTTACCGTTACTTATTTCGTCCACGTGAGGGGTGGGATTTTGTTTTGTCTTTTGATAATCTTTTTATTAAAAATAGTAAATGATGATATTCCGACCGCCATGTAGGAAGTCAACTCATTATGGTCATACTTAGTCAGCATTACTATCAGAAAAGTTGACGGAGAGTTAACGTTTGGATAATTTTTAGGAATTATATAGGTTTGGTTAAAATAAAAGAATCTAAAAAAGGTTTGGGTAAAAAATAGACATTACCCAAAAATTTACAATAACAAGTTCCTATCAAAATTAAAGTCAAATATCAATCTCTCAATACAAATTATCCATGTATAAAATACCATTTTAGAAAATTGAAGCAAATCACAACTTAACTATACAAATTGTTCAACACCAATCTAGAAAACTCAAGAAAATTGAAGCAAATCATAAATTATCCATAAATAACATGATTAATTGAAAACTTATTCCTTTCAATTAAGTTTCTTCACTCTCCACTTGATAACATCAACTTCATTCTACACAATTTGAAAGAAAAAATTAGACATGTCTCCACAAACATAAATAAGATTAGTTGTTTAGAATATAAATTAATATACCGAGAAAATTAACAATATGGGTGTGGGCGGGTACCCATGGGTCGGGTTTACCTAACCAACCCGGTGATAGTGAACGGGTTTAAACCCAAACCTGGCCCAAAACCCGTCAACGTGAATTTTACCTGCATTGACCAGGTTGGGTCGGGTGGGTACCCGTGGGTCGGGTTTTGTTGCCATCCCTAGGTGAGCACTTAGATCTGGACACATCAATCTTATAGTTAAAAAATAGAAAAAGCATTTTAATAGGGGTAGTATGGGTATTATGAAAAATTACTGAAGTATACAAAGAGTACAAACATTACAAACTAGAATGACAAAACATAAGATGTGCAAACAATACAAACATACGAACTATACAAACAATACAAAGTAAACCGACAAACAATACAAACAATAAAATATGGAAAAACAATCAGGTTGACTTTGGAAGCTCCATCCCTACATAGAGGGGCAACGTGTCAACCTAGTTGTTTTTTAGACATACAAACATTACAAACATAGTTGACAAAAATGACAAACTAGACCAACAAACCATACAAAATAGAAAACACACCCTGATTGAGTTTAGAGGCTCCATCTCTATATAGATGAGTTACGTCAAAAAGTCAACAAGGTTGCTTTTCTAAATAAAAAACATTGCAAACATGATTGACAAAAGTAACGAAGCTTACAAACATTACAAAAGAAACCGACAAACATTACAAAATAACAAAGTTTACAAACATTACAAAATAAACCGACAAACATTACAACGCATATTAATAGTACAAAAAAACACTACTTACAATATAAATCGGTAAAATTGTATTACAAATCAATGAATACAAAGTATACAAATCATAACATAAAATCGCATAAAAAATATCATAACATAAAATATACAACTACTCAACTAGACTAACAAATATTATAAATCAAAATATATACAAATTATTCATATACACAGTATAAACAAAATAGACAAAAATAACAAACTAGAATGATAAACTATACAAACCCAATTGATATAAACATTACAAACTGAACTTATAAAACATTGCAAAATATGTCGACAAACATCACGAATCCAACACAGCTGGTGGAAAATCCTCCTCCACCTTCTTTGGCGCCAAAAAACCTCTTCCGCCATTGCCGGAAAATCTCTCTCTCTCTCTCTCTCTCTCTCTCTCTTAAGTGAAGGGAGTAGGTCTGGCGTTTTTTATTTTGATTAAGTAAATTAAATATTAGTGAAATTACTAAATTTTCAATCATTAAATTGGATTAATCTGAGCTATTGGATTTTAATGAGTTGGAAGGGCTGAGATTCACTTAGTCATATGACTAAGGACCCCCTTAGTCACCTGATCTTAGCCTGTGAACATAGTAGGCGGATGTAGGTTAGTTCCAGTCTAACTCATAAAAATGTGGATGGGTGGGTGTGGTTAAACCTATCAAACCCGCCACTCACAATCTCATTTAAACTTCTTTCCAAAATTTTACCATTTGATTCTAATTGTCCTCCACCAATAATTTATCTCAATAGTTATTCAATTCATTTCTAATTGTCCGCCACCAATGATTTATCTCAATTATTCAATTCATTTGGTAATTAGTCTTCCATATTCCTCTCTTTACTAGTTTTTTTTATAACCTCTCTTTACTAGTTTACAATTAAGCTTATTATTGGGTTTGTTAATAATTTTTCTCAAACTTTCTCGGTTTCTCAATTCAATGGATGTTTTTGTTGACTTCATTTTTTGATTGTGTTTGGTTATTCATACTTATATTCAAATCTATCAAAATCACATTCATCCACCCAACCCACATCAAATCTATCCAACCCACCCAATACTAAGACCATCCACTATGGTTGGGTGGGAAATTTGGGTGGGTTGGGGGAGAAATTTGGATTTTTTGGGTTTGAGGGTGGGAAACCCCACAATAGACTGGGAGGGAAAATTGGAGGGGTGTTTTTTTTTATGAATATGATTTAGTGGTGATTTTGTCATTTTAATTAAATAATTTGATTGTTCTTTTTATATATGTAGTAATAATTAATAAGATGGACATTGTGATATAATTTTTTTTAATTTGGACATAATTTTTCTAGTCATTAATTAAATATGGCCATTTATGGTTGTTGAAAAATATAGCCATTGTAAAATATATCCGTTGGAATTCAATTATAATCGTTATATCGCATTGAAAACGATTTACGATTTAAAAAAACTCAAACAAAAACGAAAAAGAAAAACTAAAAGTAAAAAGCAACTCTAGCACGCGTGCCCCGCCAGTCCACTCTCCTTCCTCCTTCCCCCTCCTTTTGTCCTGTTGTGGGGGGAAACCCACCCAAATCACCCAAAAAATCCTTCTTTCCCTTTTTTTAAACCCCACTGTGAGCCCCCATTTGCAAAAGACTCTTCTTTTCCTTTTTCCCACCATCCATAATGGGTGGTCTAATATTTGCGTGAGAAGTTCATCTGCTTAGTTGCGAGTGAGTGAATTTTTGCTCAAAATCCGCCCAAACCACATTTTGTTGTACAATTCTCAATATTTGTGAGTATTTAGTATTCACTCGAACCAACCCGGCCCCGAATTTAGCATGAAACTATCGACCCCATTCGTTTTTAATAAGTAGAAGCTATTATCATTATTCTAAGGGTTAATACTTAAAATCATATATTGGTTCGAACTTTGCATTTAAAAAATCAATTTGATTTGAATTTTCAAATATCTTTATCATGTTCAAATGTTACCGTATTTTGATTACTTTCACCTGATTCGTGAGTTGAGCATCAAGTTAATTGCTCAACACCATCAATCATTATTCATTGGTGAGGCAGTTGACATAGTTGCTATGTAGTTTGAAAACTAATGAAAATTTAAAATAATTTATATAAAAATAATTTTTCCAACAATGATTTCATTTTTATTTGGGTTAATATATTAATTTCCCTAAACTTTACACTAATGACTACTTTAGCCTGAATTTTCTAAAATCCACATCATGTCCAAAATCCTAATTATTTGGACAATTTTGCTCTAACACTTGGGTTGGGCCCAAAAGAAAGTTAATTAAACAAAGAGAAGATGAAACATGGAGAGATGAAATTGGGAACGAGTCACATTATAAAGGGTGAGATGGAGAGAAGGGTTTTGGGCCGCTATGCAAATAAATGGCGATAAAAGAAGGGATAGAGATGGCGAGAGAGAAATGAAGGTAGGGAGTGAAAGGAAGAGAGAAAAATAATCCAACTATTTTTGAAAGTTCCCTTTCTCATGTGACTCAAGCATAACAACCTTCGAGATCTGGGCAACTCTTCTCATCCAAAAGTCCTCCTCCGGTCTTCGATCTGTATACAATCCGGCAAGGGAGGACAACAACAACAAGTGCTTTCTCGGAAGCAAAAGACAACTTGAACATGTGGCTACAGGGGCGGAGCCAGGAGTTCGAGATCGGGTGGGTCAAAAATGATAAATATAAATAAAACTAACGACAGTAGGATTTGATTTATGGGTCGTTTGGAAGTTGTGATTGTTGTGATTGTTGGTTTTAGATTTGTGTCAACTTTTTCTTTCCATTTATATCCCCAGTAGTTTTTGTCTTATTCTAAAAGTTGAGGGTAAATGTGACATTTCTCCATAAAAGTAACTTTATGTAAATCAATGCATAATGTAGAATCTCAACAACCAAACAATGTATTGTTAAAATGCATCCATTGTATCAATACATTGGTGATTCATTACAATACAACGATTTAACATTCACAACTTCCAAACGACTCCTTAATTGTTTAGTACTTAGTAATTCCTGGCAAGGATAGCTAGCATAGCAGAAATATCCTGTTTGTAGAGAATTGGATTAAAGTGATTAGAAAAAGTGAATTAATTTGGATATGATAGATTAGATAGTGAGTCGGGATGTTTCTATCAAAACTTTCTCCCATTGATTTCAACAATTGAGAGAACATAAAGTTGAACCAGTCCCTGAGAAACGATACCCTGATTTTCAATTTTACTACAAGATAGGAATTGAAGCTCTATGCTTTTGCCCTATCACCTATCTTAACCACCATAAAACCATGTTCAACAATCAACACACCTAAGAACACAACATATAAATGTGCCAGTGGACAGTTATCAGCGGGCTAAGGATGATGAGAAAGACAGCTAAGAACCCATAAATGTCCCTTGAAGGCATCCATGTAATGTAAACAAAGAAAAAAAATGCTCTGGTTTGTTCTCCCCCCAGTAGCAAGTAAAAACAAACAACGAGCAACCAGAATTCATCATGCAAACTGTCCCTTTCAGTCTCTGAGTCACAAATGGCTTTAACTCTCTCGGATCTCTCCCCTAGGTTTTCTTGCCCACTCAAGATGCCAAAACTTAATGCCTGTCTCCAGTCCATCTTTAAATAGATCCCAAGTATCATCCTTCCATTCGTAGGGCTGGTGCGGTGCCCTCCCTCTTTTAATTCTCTCTTCCAAGTGATGAGCTTGCAGTGGTCCAGTCAGTTTTGCCATTCTGGAAAGGCTTTAAATTTAAACCTTTATATTTTCTCAGCTTTGGCACTTCATCATTGTACTTGGAATGACTTTAGGGCTTCTAACTGTAACCTGTACTAAGCGCATGCATGTGGCTGTCAGGTGAAATGAAACTGTGGGTTTACTGACGATGAGCCAAAATGATAGATTCTACTGGTGGTTTGGATGTTGAGATTCTATAATCCGAGAAATCGTAATTACTCCTTTCATATCATGTATCGTGGCGTGGGAGACCCTAGTGACGAATAACCAATCCTGTAAGCATAGTGTAACCTCTAACAAGCTTGATTCGACAACTAAGTAAATTCTTAAGCTAGTTCTTAACTCTACTGTTGGTAAATTGACACAGTTCAATGGTAAACTTTTAACGAAAATGTATCATAACATAAAAGTGGTATGTGTAGATGCAGATTGGGGGAATAGGTACTCAAAAGTGGAAGAATGGCTTGAATGTGGGTAAATTGTATGGTACAACACAATAAAGGTTTTCATCAAATACAGCAAAGTTTTCCATTAATGTTCCCTTAGCTGCATGCAATTGCATAGGTACAGCCAAGGACTTGAAAAGTTCATAACCTCAGGCGACTGGCTTCAACTACCACACATTAACATCACAGTACACAAGGTCCTGAAAAACCTCCATGATTTTTGTGGCGCCATTTTTGAAGAATTGGTAGAAAAATCCAAGCAGTGTGGGGCTTTCTCTGTCTCTCTCTTCAATGTAAAAAGGAGCCAACTGCTACGAAGTTAGAAAGAAGCCAAATTCGTGAAGCAGGGAAGGCTTATTGGTTTCAAACCCAAAGTCTTCCTCCCTTCATTTCCTGACAAGAAACACTTGCGACTGCATCTTACTGCTGCTGCTTTCATTGCTCCTTTGGTTGTCTGTCTTCTTACAAACACCACAATTCACAATCAATTCTTCACCAGAAAGAATCTATCTTCTCTCTTCTTCTTATCTTGTCAAAGTTTACACTTGTACCGCTCTTGAGTCTCACATGCACTATCCTTAAGCATCCGAAAAAAATTAAAAAGACTGAATCTTTTTGTTTTTTTGCCCTCCATTGCATATCAATCATAATCAGTCAACAAAACTCCAAAATTGTATTATTCATTCATTCCATTATCCTTTCTTGGCCACATTCTGCCTTACCCATTTCCAGACGCCCTTTGGATTCCACACATTGGCCACTAAATAGGCTGAATTACCCAGAAAATGTGTGCCACTGGGTTAAAGCTTTAGGCTTTGAGGCTTTAATTTTGGAGTATTTTTTCTCTCATGAAATGGGTTCGCTCAATCTTTCCTGGGTGGTTTGTTTGCTTTCGATTTTGGGCTATAGAGCTCTTCTCTGTTGTGATGCTGCTGATGTGTCTCTCAAGTTCTTGAAGGCTCCACATGAGTTTTCTCAGTTGAGCAGAGCTACATTTGAGTTCCTAGCATTTCTGGGTGAGAATGAGAGTGCTGCTTGTGTTAACTGTAGTTTCAGTTGCAAGGTCAGTTTTTTTTTTTTTTTGCTTCAGTTGGTGGGAAGTTGGTAGCTTCTGTTTTTCTAGAATTCAAAATTAGAGAAAAATGATGAATCATGCATTTACTGGCTGGCTCTCTATTTGTTTTGGGCACTTACAGCTTGATGGCGGCAAACCTACAGATTGTGGATCCAGGAAGGTTTACTATGCAGGGTTGCAAGATGGCAACCATGGGTTTGAAGTCTGCAGCAGTAATGGAAGCTCTTCAGTCGTCTGTGCTGACTACAACTGGACTGTTGGTAAACCATGAGCTTCCTTCTACAGTTCATTCCTTTTGAGTATACAAGACTTGAATGTGCCTTCACTTTTGAGCCAATTCCCTCCCTTGAATGATGCTGAAATGGATGATGCATGTTTCAAGATTGAGATTTTGAAGAAACCAAAGATTAAACCTGGGTTCATTCCGCTTATTCTCTGCAGACACCATCTCTCCAAGTGCTTCCATTGCTGCATCATCATCGTTCACAAATTCCATAAACGTTTCTGTAAATATCACTTTCACCGAGCCCTGCACCGGAGGGGCAGGTTTTCGATGTGCATCAGCGGACTCTTGCGATGTGAGTGGTACTATTTGTTTGAACTTTATCAAGTGTAGGCAATTTCAAACTCTGTAATCTAAGTTAGATGCATATAATGAAGAATGTTAGGCATCCAGATGCAATTCATTTTTCAATTAGTGGCACTAATCTTTCTTGTAGACAAGTTATTTTAATGCTACTTTATAACTGTGTTGTTACAGCTGCTAGTATATGGTGCTGGCCAAGTGATGCCATCTTCCTTCACCGTTATTGAACCAAACCTCAAGTATTCTCTTATGGTGACCTTGTCGCGTAGCGTTGTATACGGGCGAGTTGTCTTGGTAATGAACAAGAACTTCTGTACTGATAATGCCGGAAACATGTTTACCAGAACAGAGAATTCTAGTTACTTTCTTCGTTTTGGTGAGTGATAACATCATGTTCGTTTTCTATTATCTAATTCATATCCTTTCTGATTTCCTTTCGGTTGACGGTTTTGCTAATGAAGATAGGAGGAGTGTGTTTGTTGACATGAGAACTCGAATTCCTGAAAGGTTACTTCAACTCCAAGGCGAAACTAGGACGGTTCAAGCAACTAACAGCTATGATAACCTCAAGTTGTATCTCTACTTCCCGGAGCCTATCCTCAATTCATCAGCTGAAGTGCTGAATTCTCTTAATGCAAGTGGAGGCTCACTGCTTCCATTAAGTGGAGAAAGCCTTGGCAACCGTAGATTTGGTTTCGAGGTAAATGAAGATGGACAATCTATTGTTATTCTCTACCTTTTTCGCTTGCCTCATCTCATGTCTTCTTGTTCCTTTTTCAGGTTGTAAATGTTTCTGCCATTTCTATTGTTACAGTTGCAATGCATTCGGACTCGATTATAAGCAGACCGGGGACTCCTGTCACTCCTATTGCACCAGCCACCTTTCTTTATGGTACCAGCTTTAACTCTTTCCTCTTACATCACGACTACTTCCAGGTTTCATTAGAATCAAATTTTCCCTGAAATGCATCAGATACTGAGAAGCCTGCTGTGAGGCTAAGCACAACATCCAACACAAGGACAAGGGAACACAATCTTCTGGTGTCGATAAAGTTCATGAAACCGGTATTTGGTTTCAACTCTTCTTTTCTATCTATCTCTGGAGGGCATTTGCAGAGGCAAGCTTACTAATCACAATTACTTCATCAGGAAAATAAAATTGAGTATTTCACCATATTCTTACATTGTGTTCTTCCATCTATTTCCAGTTTCCATGAATTAAGTAGGAGCAGCTACATTACAGAGGTACAAGCTGATGGCGACACAGTATCAGTTAGTGTTCCTGGCAATATCACTTCTGATATTGCTGGAAACAAGAATCTCCCATCCAATGTTCTACAAGTGAGGCACTGTAAGAATTCTTCTTCTATTTCCATACCATTTCTTGCATTGTAATGTTTGAAGTAAGATGTATAGATATAAATGGACTTCTTGTTGCTGACATGCTCTAATTTCTTCTCAGATTCCTTACCTAGAATCTCGTGCATTGTATCCACATTTTCAACTGCTTGCTTCATTGCTACATGTCTAGTTGCTGGACTGCTCACTCTGTCAACAGCTAGCCTTCAGGCCATTGGAGCATTTTCAAGGCCATCTCCCCTCCTGACTTCCGAGCCAACAAGGAATCTTTTCGTATGTAGCTTACTCTTATCATGACTACAGTTTTACTGCTTCAATAGCTCTAAAGATCTGCCCTTTTGTCTATCAACAGAGAATTGCATGCTACATTCAGATCTTCGCACTCTCTCGGTGGATGGCTGTCACACTCCCAGTCGAATATTTTGAAGTCTCAAGAGGCTTAAGATGGAGTATTCCATACTTCACACTACCGTGGGAAACCGGCGGTATTCACTCAGTAACTCTCCTACCAAATTCATCCGCTGTTGTTCCGCACTCCTCTACCATTTCTACATTCCACAATCCAGAATTTCCAGAGCAAATGCATATGGAAAAGGAAAGATTGAGCATGGATGCTTCAGTATATGGATTGCCACTTACTCCAATGGAGTACAAATTCTTTTTCGAGGTACAGCAACTCTTCTGGATCCTTGTCACTTCCTAAACCAAATGACCAATGTTCTAGTGTTAAAGAGAATCATTTGTGATGTCCAGAGCCAGGACATGAAGCCAGAAGCAGATTTTATCACGGAAACTCAGCGCTCCAATGGGTGGAAAGATTTTAATAGAAGTATGTTCTGGTTAGCAGTAATCTGTGGTGGTCTAGTACTGCTGCATGCCATAGCACTCCTGATTCTCAAGTACAAGAAGAGAGAAGAAGAATCTCAAAAGCACAACAACAATGGAGCATTAGTATTTCCAAGATTTGAAATATTTCTTCTGGTTCTCGTGTTGCCTTGCATCTGTAAGGCCTCTGCAGGCTTGGTGAAAGGTATGTTATAGGTTATACAAATAGTAACTTGACAAAAATTTGGCAAAGAACTGAACTTCCTAAAACAACTATTCATCCCAAGTCAAACAAAATATTGGGGGGTACTAAAATGTAGTTCTAAAATAAAATCTCATGTAAATGAAAGGAAGTTTCTGCTGATCCTCTTGCTCTTGCTTTTTATTATGGTTCACAGGTAAAACGGTTTCAGGCACTATAGTCGGGAGTCTACTGCTTTCAGCAGTTGGCATGTTGCTTCTAGCCTTGCTATTATTCCTCTCCATTGGGATCACTCTAGGGAAGCTACTTCAGTACAAGGAAGTCCATCAAGTAGGGCAGATCTTCCACTGGTATCAGGAACTGGTTCGTGTCACATTAGGCCCAGGGAAGAGAGGTCAATGGACATGGAAAGATCAGCCAATCAACTCAGCTCAGCTAACGAAGCTCGGCCCTTTGTTCGAAGACCTCAGAGGCCCACCGAAGTACATGCTTTCCCAGATAGGAGTGGCCAGCAGCAAGTACAGGGACAGAATCATTGCATCAGATGACGAGACAGAAGATGCAGAAGCACCCTTCATTCAGAAACTCTTTGGAATTCTCAGGATCTACTACACATTGCTCGAATCCATCAAACGAGTCGCTCTGGGGTTCACCGCTGGTTCATATGCCAACACCTGGTCTTCCAAAACCCCGAGCACCGTCTTACTATGCATCACTGCTTTCCAGCTCTTCTTTGTGGTTCTGAAGAAGCCATTCATCAAGAAGAAAGTGCAGCTAGTCGAGATCGTCTCCCTTTCCTGCCAAGTCCTGACTTTCACCACGTGTCTGATTCTCTCAAAGATGGAACCTTTATCGACAAGGAACGAAACCCGTGTTGGGATCTTCATGGTTGCGATGTTCTTGACCGGTTTCTTGGCTCATACGGCAAATGAATGGTATGCATTGTACAGACAGACGAAAAATCTGGACCCCGCGGTGAAGTCGTTCTCTGCAGGCTTGAAGATGGCAGCAGTTGGGTTGCTGGTTTTCTTGGGGACCAAGAAGATGTGCTCTAGCTTGCTCTCCAAGCTACCGAAGAAAGACAGAGAGGCAGGTGGTGGGGAAACGGCTCGGACTTCGTCGGCTGAAAGGGACAAGAACTCGGGAAGCTCGGGGACTCCAATGGTGGATAAACCGTGGATGAGACAGCTGAGAGAAATGGCGAAGGCGAGTTTTACGAGAGAAGGAAGCGCAGGTGGCAGAGGTGTAAGTGTTCCGACGGATCCTTCCAGCAGCAGGACCAAATGGAGTGGGTTATGGGGCAGTAAGAAGAGCGAGAGCTCGTCTCAACAATCCTCTGCTGATTTCAAGTCTAGACCAAACCGCTTGTACAAAGATTTAGAAGCCATTTTTGAATCTAAATGATGTATTTTTCTTTCCTTACTTTCTTAATAAACGAGAGTGTGAAAGTTTTAACAGGGAATGCAGACAATCAATTCCTTAGATCAGTCTTTCTTCAAATTGGGACATAACACTTAATAACCTTAAGTAATCACCGATTCATGCAATTTTTCAATGATTCATGCAAATTACATGTTGCAAATGGGCTGGAAACTTTCAAAGTCTGAATAGGCCATGTAAAAAGTTTTGAAAGAAAACCAATTGCAGCAGAGTATAACAAGCTTAACACTCCTCTGACACTTCAGTGATATACCAGAAACAAAAACCTCATGTGGAACTAGTCGACGAGAATTATTATGTGGGCGATCTCTTTCCTAGACGACTGACTACAAGGAACACCAAGTGACAAACTATGCAACACATGGATATCCTATCCTGTCAAGAAGACATGGTCTAAAATCGAGCCTTGGGAGGATTAAAGTGCACAATGATGCTGGTGTTTGCGCAAGTGCACAATGATAAGTGTGATGGAGAGTAAATGAAATAAAATTAACATTGAAATTATAAGTGGAGAATAAAACAGATAAAGTAATATTAGCATATCAGCTTTTAGATTTAAGGGTTAAGAGGAAAGTGGCCAAGAGCCAGGATAATACTTAGTCCTAAACTCTGGTCACCAACGAAATATAATTTTCACTTGCCAGACATCGATTTCTGTCTGACAAATTGATGCTTGTTCCCGACAATAATTTGAGGGAGGCTGTTGATTATGATCATTGTACGTAGTTTGTAAATTACGAAGTGTAGTGTAGAGGAAATGAGCCATTTGTATTAAAGGCTTGTTCGGCCCATGCAGCCCATGTCGACCCATGTAGAATGACGTGTGAGCTAGGGTTGTGGTAATGAAATATAGGGCAGCCGAGGTCTCCTGTATTGTTTCACCGAAAAATCTACAGCAAGATCAGTAGCTAGCCGAAGAGTGTTCAAACTCTTCCATGAATTAGTCCTGGAAACTCCAGGAATACCATGTAAATTTGTGTCTATTTCCATTTTTGTCTTTGAATGTCTCAATATATAGAAGGAATAAAGGGTGAATTAGGGTGTTTTATATAGACCTGGTAAATTATAACCCGACCCGTTGACCCGACCCGAAACTAGAATTTTTTGTAACCCAAAATCCGAATGACCCGAACCTGATAACCCGTGATTTTTTGGGTCGGGTGGGTTAGCGGGTCGACCCGTTAGACCCGTTCCATTTAATATATTACTCCCAAAATATGATAAATCACTAGAAGTGCTAAAAAATTTCAAGGTTGGTCACTAGAAGTGCTAAAAAATTCACGTTTAGTCACTAAAAGTATTTTATTCTATTGGTGGTCACTAGAAGTGGTTAAACATTCACGTTTGGTCACTCTCCGTTAGTCACCGTTAAATTTATCTGATGTGGCAGTCAATTCTGATTGTTGACCGTTAAATTACGTGACATGGCGATTAAAATATAATAAAAATTAATTTTTGTTTTCCATCTCATCAATACAATTATAAAAAATAGAAGGACATAATTTTTGAAATTTTCCTCCACCACCCACCAATTATCAATGACCTAGCATTGCCCCCGTCGTGTCACTAGGTTTTTGGAATTTCTCGTCGATTCAAAAACTGGAATTGGAGTTCGCAGCCCTCGCCTCCTCTTCCTCCAAACTCCACCATCCCGCTCTACTTCATCCAATGCGGCGACCACGAAGAACCCCGAGTATTTCTTCTTCGCCCCCATCACAAACTCGTCGATCCCGATTCATGAACCTTTGCGACGGCCGCCTCCATCTCCATCCTCCGCTGCCACCATGTCATACTTACCTGATTTCCAGCTCATGGGTGGAAGATCGCTGAGAAACTGCCCATGGATTCGAGAAAAGAAGCGACGGATGCGGCGAGGAGCTGGAGCTTCGAATGCAGACAGATGGATGAGGAGGACGTAGAAGAAGAAGAAGAATGCATGTTTTCCAAAGTTGTTTGTTTCTGGGTCATCGCTACCAGAAAATTCAAAATCTCCAATTTTTACCTTAAAACACCTAATTTAGTAGCTCTTCCCTCTCCCCTCACATCTACATGGTCCGCACCCTCCTCTTAATTGACGATTCGGTCATGGTTCGGTGGAGAAGCCAACAATGGAGCTGAACTGAAGCATCCGCCACCACGGTTTACGGGTACGGGACCTGCAACTAATTATATTTTGCTCGGCCTCGCCCAGCCTTCGTCGGAGCTGCAAACGCTCGATGGATGGTCCCGGTGAGAGGCGGCAGAGTTGGACAGGGGAGGATGGGATAATGATGCCGAAACGTGGGTGGTGAAAAATTAAAAGAATTATATCTTTCTATTTTTAATAACTGTAGTGATGAGGTGAATTTTTTTTCATATTTTAATTGACATGTCACTGATTTAACGGTCAACTATTACACTATGTTCATGAAGGAAGGGAGGAAAAGGAGGGGAGGGTAGGAAAATTTGGAGGGGAGGTTAAGTTTGGGAGAGAGGGAAATTAGAGGGAATTAGAAAGAAAATGTTGTTTAATGGAGGAAAGTGGAAGAGAAAGTGGGAGGAAAAAAGTAGATTGGGAATTGTGATGGATATGTTATTGTATTGGGTATATAATAGTAAAATAATTTGATTATATTGAGATTATTTTTATTGGTTATGAATTGTGAATTAAATTTGTACTTTTTACTAATTTTGTTCTTTATTAAAAATCAATTTGTACTTTCTTGCTAATTTGGTTCACGACTAAAGAAAAATTTCTCCATTTAGAATACAGTTCATTTAAAATACCGTTCATTTTAACTCGAGTAAACATACAACTAGGAGTTTAATTACAATTATAAAAATATTAATCAAATAATAATATTTATTAGGTAATCCTAACAATTAGAGAGGTTACAATAAACAATAAATAATTTTTTTTGCCTTATCATTACACCCAACGTGGTGTAGACAGAAAAGGAAAGAGAAAGACGCAAGAGGAAAAAATTAATTACAATAAATGATGATAATTAATTACATTTATACTTTCATCTTTTTTAGCGGGGTTAGACATTAGTTGATGGGATTTGTATTGGAGTGAAGAAAAGAAATAAAAGTAACGAAAAACAAAAAAAAGTACCCGTCCAGCCCAGCTTTCTCTCCGATTTGGAGGGGAGCTTTGAACAGTATATTTTTTTGCCACTTTCCTCTCCTAGCTACTGTTTCAGACATAAAAGAACAAGGGAAAGTTTCTTGGAAATGACATTTTCCTTCCACTATCTCCCCTCCCATCCTTTTCCCTCCTTTATGAACAGAGTGTTAGAGTTGACCGCCACATCAGATAAACTTAGCGAAAACTAACGGAGAGTGACCAAACGTGAAACGTTTAACCACTTTAAGTGACCACGAATGGAATAAAATACTTTTAGTGACCAAACGTGAATTTTTTAGCACTTCCAGTGACCAAACTTTTAATTTACCCAAAAGCCTTGCTTTAAGGTTTACTATACATTAGGGTGTGTGTTAGATAGAAGGATTGGATTTGGTATTCATGAGTGATTTGAATTTCTAAATGTCAAATAATTTGTTTGGATATTAATTATATTTGGTATTAGTATTTCTGCCAAATTCATGGGGTGATTTGCAAATACGTCTAGTGTATTACTTGTCACCTTCAAATACGTTTCAACAGCTAGTGGTTTGAAATTCCTCTTAACAAAAGATTGGACTTGTGATGAACCGTAACTCATGATTCAAAGGTTTTGCTTGTAACTCACAAGCGAGAGAAAGACGTTGGTGTCTATAAACCTTTGATTTATTTGATTGATACGGAACTAATGCCAAATGTACATATTTATAGGCTTAGAAAGCCTAATATGTAACCCTAACTGACCCCAACTCTTAATATGTATCCCGTCCCATAACTACTACTCTACTACTCGGCTGCAACATGGCTCAAGAAACCCATACCTACGTACTAAACCTAATAACCTTCAACCCAATAACACAAATACATAATAATCCCCAAAGCCCAATTATTTATTCTCATCAACCTGTCACTATAAATAAAGTGTCATCAGTGTGCTAATGCCGTTCTTTTGGAAGGAGAGGAATGCTCAATTGTTCAATGACGTGAAGCTAGTCGCTGAGAAAATTATGATGTGGGCGATCTCTTTCCTAGGCGACTACAAGGAACACCAAGTGACAAACTATGCAACACATGGATATCCTATCCTGTCAAAGACATGGTCTATATATCGAGCCTCGGGAGGATTAAAAGTAGGGGTGTCCATATGGTTCGGTTAAATTGCCCGAATTGATCCGGTGCCAATTTGGTCTTTTCGCGAATATATGGACCGAAGATTGGATTGGATACAGTACGGTCTTGACCCGGTCCGGTCCCAATTCGGCTTGATTTTAGATTGAACTTGTGGGATTTGAGTGGCCTGAGGACTCAAAGAGTGAGGAGTTGGTTAAGTTTTGGGTGTTGAGCTCTCTTATTCGGTCTTTATCCAGTTTTTGATCCGGTCCCAAACGGTTTTTTACCTAAAATTTAAGCTCGAAAATTGAATTGGATTGTTTGCTATCCGATCCCGATCCGGATTATACGGTCCAATTTTGGATAAAACCAAATAGTCCGGACCAAATAGCCACCCTAATTAAAAGTGCACAATGATGCTGTTGTTTAAGCAAGTGCACAATGATAAGCGTGATGGAGAGTAAATGAAATAAATTAACATAGAAATTATAAGTGGAGAATAAAACAGATAAAGTACTATTAGCAAATCGGCTTTAAGATTCAGAGGTTAAGAAGAAAGTGGCCAAGACCCAGGATAATACTAAGTCTTAAACTCTGGTCACCAACGGAATATAATTTTCTACTCGCCGACATCGATTTCTGTCTGACAAATTGATGCTTATTCCCCAGTATCAATTTAATTGGGGGAGACTGTTGATTATGATCATTGTATGTAGTTTGTAAATAACGTAGTGTAGTGTAGAGGAAATGGACCATTTGTATTAAAGGCTTGTTCGGCCCATGCAGCCCACGTCGGCCCATGTAGAATGACGCGTGAGCTAGGGTTGTGGTAGTGAAATATAGGGCAGCCGAGGTCTCCTGTATTGTTTCACCGAAAATCTGCAGTAAAATCAGTAGCTAGCCGAAGAGTGTTAAAACTTCAAACTCTTCCGTGGATAAGTTCTTGAAACTCCAGAGATATCACGTAAATCTGTTTTCATTTCTGTCTTTGAATTTCTCAATATAT